ATAAGGCGGCAGCAGGGTGTGTACACTGATGTACTGGAACACTGCATAAGAAGTTGTGTTAAATGAACTTTCAAAAAACGTCTGAAGATTGTAGAGGATTTAGAGAAGAAACCATAGAAAATAGTGGTAGGAGATTTAAGAGGCTAAGTCTGTTTACTTGTTAAAAAGAAAATGAAGTTATCTGATTATTTAGTTTCTTTACAGGAGAAAATGTAATCTTCATCTGAGAAAGCTGCAGTGGGAACAAGATTAAGAAATAAATACAGAATACGTTTTGAACAATTTTTACCAGTTCAGCTAATCAAGCAGTAGAACAGATGGCTAAGGAATTGATGGATTCCACATCTCTTGATATCTCTATAATTGAGATTAAATACCTTCCTTTAGTGCATATGAGTAAAACACAATGTATTGGTCTCAGTGCAAAGGTTATAAGGCTGGTGGAAATTACTAACAGACTGAATTTAAGGGAATAATATCTCTACTTAGTGAAACTTCATCTCCTTTTCCAGTTAGGAGTCCGAGTCAGCTTTAATAAAGAAATGTGTTATAGGTGTTTATCCTAGTAGGTATATTTAAAAGACTTAATGGGAGCTAGTAAGACAGAGCCATAACTTGCCAAGTAAGCATCCTGTTGATCCCTGGCTTCATCAGACAAATGGCAGATTCATCATTGTGTGATAAAAAACAGTGACTCCCTTTATTGTAGATTATTTATTGATACATTTCAAGGGCAACCAAAAATTTGCATTTATCCTTGTTTACTTGTAAACTTTGTTGTGAAGCTGGATGGCTAATTTCTTCTAGAGCTCTCACTGCTGACTTACTGACCTAGCTTGTCACATATGCCACATCATTTTGATAACGTGATCTAGGCTACAGAAAATAAAGCTGTATTCAGTGCCCCCAGATGACACTAAAGAGATATAATATCTCTATGTTGGAATATATAGGACAAAAATGTCTCTATACTATTTAATTGATCTTCACGTATGTCATCTGTATACAATGTAAACAAATACATAATATATATGTAGTTTATATATTCAGAGAGAGTGAGAGGGAGAAAGAGAGCCGTATCAGAATACTCCAGTTTCTCCATGACTGTGTTCCGTTATCTATATTATTCTGGATATTGGAGTAGAGGGAGAACTGTTTTTTCTTTTTGGCCTTTAAATCTATAAGTTCTTTAAGTCACTTTCACTTAAGTGAAAAGAAGAGTCGAAAGCCATGAAGTCTTGTACAAATGAGTGAATCAAAATTAGTAGTTTACATAATGATACAGTAGTGAGTAGATAAAGTACTATTGCCTTGGGCCAAAAAGAGTTTGATTTGTGAAATAAGCACTTAAGAAAACGTACTGTTCCAAGCATTTGAAGATATTTTTTCTTGCTTATGGCATAAGTCCAACGTGACCTCCATTGTGCAAAGTACTGCAAATTTAATTGCTACCTTGTAAAAACTGATGTAGAGCTGTGATCTTTAACAGATGCATTAATTTATTCAAAGAAGAATTTATCAAGCTTTAGGTAAGTGATGTGTACGTGGGAATAATGGGCAAAATCATCTGTGTAATTCAGGGACAATTCTAAAAAGGAAGTCTACTTGCATATGTGAATTTGGGAGTAATGGTTTGTTAGATATCACTGAAAATTCAGTTAAACAATCTAGGGATGATGGCTAGTTGCTTGCCGTGTAGAGGGATCCAGATGAACATGTTCAGAAAAGAACATAGCAGTTAACACTTTCAGTACCTATAGATATTAAAATGTTGAATTCAGTATGGATTGTGTTCTCGATCTTATGGTCCTAGAGCTCAAAGTTCTCAGATAGAAGAGATTTGAGTAGCGAGCCATAGAAAATACTGATATTCAAAGAGCTTTGCGTATATGAAACATGCTCTAAAGTTATGTTGGTAATAATTCAGTGAAAGGTATTCTTGAGAAGATCTTCACTACTGTGATAGAACAGCAGTTTCTCTCTCAGCACAAATGTACACTGTTGTTATTTTTAGTTTGAAGGCTTTTAAATGCTTCATCTGGACCTGCATTAAAAATTACATTTTTTCTCAAAGTCATCTAGTTTGTCAGTTAGCGTTGATTTTATTTTTGAGAGAACGGCACAGAATGCATTATCAAATAAAAAGCCATCATAAGCAGCATTCTTGATTGATTGCGTTCTTTGCACTGTTCCACCCTGCAGAAGTTTCAGTGTGCAACATCCAGTGATACAATTTGAATAGTAATTATTTTTGATCCTTCTCCTGTACTCTTTATAGCCATCAGAGATTACAAGATTGGAAGAGGTTTCTTAACGATCTTTTAGCAGAAATAAGAGATGACAGTGCATCTTGAACCATTTTGTATTTTGCTAGCTCACTAGCCCAGTTGAGATTCAATTTCTTTCATAGTTGTCTTTCAGTGAAAGATACCAAAACTAATAATCTACATGTAACATAATTTGTGACTTGATAATGCATTGTCAGAAGAGAGACTAGTTGGACTGCGCTCACTGTGTGTGATTGACAATAACATTTATTTTGTACCACTGAAAAAGTGGAAGGAAAATTTTCTTTTGGAGGAGAGTTCTGACGTGATGAACAGTTTTACCAGAAGATTTGTGCAGAATGAGATAGTGGTCTGGAATGAAGAGAAGAAGATAGGAAATGTCCCAACTTTCCTGCTGTCTCCTACAAAGTGACAACATTATGTTTTCCTTTTCCTCTTAAGACTTGTTAGCTTTTAGTTGGTTTTATTCTGCTTCCTGCAAAGCCTCTTCCTGTTGCTTTCTTAAAAACTTCTGTTTCTGTTCTCTTTGGCTTTTTCTCTTGCCTCTCTGAGATTTCCATCAGTAGCAGCCTGGACACTAAGTGTCTGCCTCGCCATCTTTCTGGAATCATAAGAGCCATAGGAAAATAGTGATCTAACTTGAATTTACTAGCTGGATCATAACAGTAGCCCAGTGAAGTAAAACTGGAGTTAAAATGACTTAGCTCTTTGTTGTCTGTTTAATGATGAAAGTCCTAATCTTTTCCGTAAGTCACCAAATGTATGGTACCTTTCTGTTTGATAAACAGCAACTTGCAAGAGTAAGCCTTCTTTATGGAAAAAAATACTACTGGTTTTGGAGACATTCTTTATAAGCTAGCAAAATATATTCACCAAAGACTGGTGGACTATATTAAAAATGAAAATCCATTGACTTATTGGGTGTGTACCTCATACGCTGCCTAACTGTACTGAAGTTAATCATTCATTTCAAGAACTAAGGCTACATTAACATTTTAATGAAAAGTCAACTGTAGGTGCTCTTCCCAGTTATAGTATGTCAAATCTGAGATTGTGGTGATGGGAAACAATATATAGTATATATAGTATGTCTTTTACTTCTTGCTTCCTGTAGTCAGACTAGAGACGTGTGTTTGCTTTGAGGATTTGCCTCATGACTTGTCTTACTATTTCATAGAATCATTGAATGGCCTGAGTTGAAATGATCATCCAGTTTCAACCCCCCTGCTGTAGGCAGGTTTGCCAACCACTAGACCAGTCTGCCCAGAGCCACATCCAGCCTGGCCTTGAATGCCTCCAGGGATGGGGCATCCACAACCTCCTTGGGTAACCTGTTCCAGTGCGTCACCACCCTCTGTGTGAAAATTTGTGTGATGTCACTTAGTATACGAAGATTTTCCCATACGTATGTGAATCAAGGTTACTTCTAGAACTCAGCAAAGTTAAAATTATTAACTACGTAAAAAGAAAAAGGGGGGGAAGAATTGGTTCAATACTACTTAGCAACGAAGCAAGATTCTGTCTTGATTCATTGGAATAGGAGGTTATTTTGCCAAGTGTGTGCAGGATTGGGTCCATAGGTCTTTTGTATGCTAATGTTGAACTCACAGCTATTCAAATGCTATGGGGAATGGAGGGTCTTCATTACGTGTTACAGAAATAGACAGCCAAGTGAGCTGTAAATTTAAGAGAGGCTCTAGCACTGTTAAAACTATGATCTACTCAAGGCCATTAGACCTGAACAAGAACAATTATCCTAGACTGAATGTTGAATTAATGATTGCACTGCTTCTGGTTCCCTTGGATAGGACTGCAAACACTGCAAAATTATATGTTGTGAACCACAGAAATGCATCACTATGGATAATACCTGCAGAACTTGCACATTTTGAGGTTGTCCTCTTTTCTGGCACAACTATTTTTCTCTCCGATTCCATCGTGGGCTTTTACAGGGGCCGTCTCCACATTTGTTTAGTTTTCTGTTTTTGTACTTAAAGAGGTTTAGCCTCTCCCCACTGCCTTACCAGAAAGTAGAGAATTCCCATGGGAAGTTCAGTTTTGAGGTGGAGTATGATCAAAGCTGAAATTGTTTTTTTGCGGAGTTCTAGCCATTCTTTGGTTTAGTTCAGTTTGCAACTGAAGTAGAAAATCAATGAAAAGCTGTCATGGGTAAAGCAGGCAAAATTAAAACGTACTTAGTTAACAGAGCTTCTGAAGGAGCAGATTGTTAAGTGTAATATGAAGAAAAGATCAGAAAAAAAATGTGGTTTTTTTTTTTCATATAGCTTATTTCCTTTTTTGCTTTAGAATATTTTCAAGTTCTTTAGAATATTTTTCTCAAAATTTCAGTTTGGAAAATGCCAAAATAAGGGGAGAATATGTATCAAAGTAGATAATTTTGTATTTATATAGAAAAGTCAAACATTTTCTATATGTTCTGCATCTGAGTTTATCTTTTTAGTCTAAAACTTGCTGAAATATGAATAGGTATTAAAAGTACACCTAAGAAAAAATAGATAATACCTGTAAATATGTGTATATTCTGTCCAGTTCTTCAACAAACTGATTGATTTTGGAGGCTGTATCAGGCAAATGCAAGCTTCGTGGAACTGTTATAGCATCTTCATAATAAACAATGCCTTGCACAGTATTGCTTCCGTGCTGATTTTGTTCTTCTTGAAGAAATTATGGATGTTTCATTTTAAATTTTAGGAGCGTCTTCTTCTTTCTTTACTGCCTGCTCACATTGCCATGGAAATGAAAGCAGAGATCATTCAGAGGTTACAAGGTCCCAAGGCAGGTCAGCTGGAAAATACAAACAACTTCCACAACTTGTATGTCAAACGACACACCAATGTAAGGTATTGTACTGGGATAAAATTTATTACAATGTTGAAAAGAAGAGAAAATACTGAGTAACCAAGAAAATCATTGTTTTAATGTATTTTTCAACAACTTAATGTTCAGCATCTAGCATATTTTTATTTATTAAATGCTGACAGCTCCGTGTTCCAGAACAGCAAAAGTGATGATGCAAAGAAGGTTTGTTTAGAAGATGGATGCTTAGTAAAAGCATAAACAGGCTTTCTTCAGAACATCTTAATTCTTCAGTTTAAAGTACCAAATCCCGCCATTGCTTATTCTAGTTGAAATTGTGGTTTGTAATTTATATTACTCCAAATTAGTAATTGTCCTAACTAGAGCAATTTGTCAGGTTATAAATAATGTAAGTAGAAACTACTGTCTCACATACATACTTTACATATTATCTAAAGATAAAATATTCTGCTGACAAATCTAATTACTTATTCATTATGAGTTTCTAGAAGTTTAAAAAAAAAAAAAAAAAAGATGGCTTCTTTGCTAAAGACACAAAAAAGCAACACACTGAGATAAGTGAAAAAATTAACCATTTATTTCAAGTATTCCTTAGTATTTAGAAATGATTTTCAGGTTTTTTTTTTTTTTTTGGACTGAGAAGGTTATTGAATGACAGTCACAGAAACTACATTTTTTAAGCAAATATTGCAGGATGTTGGAGGAAGTTCCTTTTCAGTTGTAAGCAAAACTGTTGTTTCATTTCTATGAATTGACCAGTTTTTCTTGTTGAGAAGAAATATTATGTGTGATTTGAATACCTTAACAGTTGACCTTTAATTTAATAGTCTGAGTATTAACTGAACAAAGATGTAAATTACTGATAGTAAATCTTGACAAAAAAAAAAGTCCACAATGATAAAAAGTTATTAATTCTGATAACAAACCTGTTTATTGAAATTACTTCTATTGTTACATTCTGAGCTAGTGAGTCAGAAAAAGATTTCTATTTTTGAATACAGCATAACATATGTACATATAGAATGCCTATAAATGCCCATTAATATAGACATATGTAAGAAGATAATACCTATTAAAATAGGTATAGGTATGTATCTCCTACAGCTGTAACGTTTATAAAAGTAAATGCAGATGTGCCTGTAAATACAGGCATACTTATTGCTTTGCATGTAAGAGTGGCCATTTTGATTACAGGCACGACAGTGCCAAGTCCTGAATGCTTACTTTCAGCTTTTGCTGTTCATTCATAAGTTCACATTTTGCAAAACTATGATGAAGCTTCTGTTTGTTTCTGTTGTAGCATCTTGTATGCTGATATTGTGGGATTCACTCGCCTGGCCAGTGACTGCTCACCAGGAGAACTGGTGCACATGCTGAATGAGCTGTTTGGCAAGTTTGATCAAATTGCAAAAGTAAGTTTCAACTGGATTGCTACTGTTAATTTACATATTGAGTTTAATTCTTAATTCAATTCTTAATTTAAATCCAAGTCGTCTTTAAATATTTGTTCATCTTGAGTGCTCTTCTTTCTCTGAGAAGAAGCACTTCTTAGGCTTTCACAGGAAGATTAGTCTCAAACCACGTGAATTAAAAATCTGGCCTTGGTCTTAGAGCAACAATGTGTTTCTTCCTGTGAGACAGTCTGTGAAAGCCAAGAAAGCTCACTCTGATAGGGCCAATATAAACAGATCTTGGAGCCCTGGAAAGCTTAATTGGATGATGAACAGCACTTTAAGTAGCATTTTGACAATTACGAAGATTAAAGAACTCAAGATAGAAAAATGTTTGCATCAGTTTTCTCTGGAAAAACATATAAGAGACCGGATGACAAGAGAGACAATATTGATCAAAGTAATTTTAATTACTGACTGTAGCCTCTTGATTACTCAAGAAAAGATTTGAATATAAACATTACATCAAACTTGATGCTGTGTTTGACTGTTGTGCTAAAACAGACAATATTTTTTTATTAATTTGAAATCTAATGTCCAGCTTTGATTATAAAACAAAACAAACCATTGTATTGCCTTACAGAGAGTATAAAAGATAGAAATAAGATTATGATTGCTAGTTTCAGCAGGTATTTCATGATTTGATTTTATATTTCAAATAAAGTAGTTTATATGAAGAGTGTGTGTGTGTATATATATGTACACACTTCATAATATATGGTGCTTCACCTCAGTTCCTCAGTCTAATGTGTAATGTGTATTTTGCAGTGGACTTTTTTTCTGGTTTAATACATTAAAGACCGTAGAAGATGGAGGAATCACTGCTACAAAACTCTCTGACAGTGCTTTTTTTTTTTTAGCAAGCCAAATCCTTCTCTATTAAAACAGGCGTAAGCAGAATAGTTTTGATAATATCACTTAAGTCAGTCTTTTTAGTAGTAACACTCAGTTTATGTAAATGAAGTTGAAAGTGATTATCCGATTTTTCTTTTTCCTTCAGGAAAATGAATGTATGAGAATTAAAATCCTAGGTGACTGCTATTACTGTGTTTCTGGACTACCTATATCTCTTCAAAATCATGCCAAGAATTGTGTGAAAATGGGACTGGACATGTGTGAAGCCATTAAGTAAGTGTTGTGGTTTTATTAGATGAACAATATTCTGCCTCCCTCTACCTGTAGCTGGTGGTTGAAACATTCAGACCTGCCATAGTTGGCATGTTTCAGTACAAGGTCAAACATGATAATCTTGATCTTGGCCTCAGCAAAGAAAAATGTTGGGTTATGCCAGTCTATTCTGTCACTTCTCTACAAAGATGACTAAGAAATTGGAGGATCTCATGAGAAGAGACTCAGAGCAAAGACTGTTCATCCTTAGAAGTGAAGGCTCGGGGAAGTTATCAAAACATGTAAGGGCTTGAAGGGAAGATATATAAAGGAAATGGATCAGGCATTTTCAGTGACACCCAGTGTCAGAAAAATAGGCAGTGGGCACAAACTGTAACACAAGAGGTTCCTTCTGAACCTCTGGAAACACTTATTTAATTTGCAGGTGGCTGAGCACTGCCACAGGTTGCCCAGAGAGATTGTAGAGACTCCTTTATGGGAAAAATAATTGAAACCCAGCTGGTACAGCCCCGAGCAACCTGCTCTAATTGGACTTCTTTTGAGCAGAGTTTGGACTAGGCTGTCTCCAGAGGATCTTTTTGATCTCAACTAGTCTGTGATTCTGTCAAGATAAGGTGGTAAATATAAACATCACTTATTTGGGAAGCTTTGGCTTTTCACAGTCATGATGCTGCCACCCACCTGTTAGTCAAATGGCTCTGTTCAAGGCTTGAGCTCCTGATTTGTAAGCTTGGAATTGTGCTGATTAGGAGTGGTTGCCACTCTGCAGAAAAAATGTTATTAAGATGCCTCAAGCACTTAGCCTGCAGAGTGATATTGAAAATATATACTGAAAACATCTTTAACAAGTTTGTGGACCTTGGGCTGAGAAGTATACCTTCCATTTTGTTGTATAAGCAATAAGATGTGTATGTCTTAATAGACCTGAGGTTTAGGTTTAGTTTTGACTTTTTCTGTAATTAATTTTTTTAGGGGAAGACTTTTTCTCTATATATTTTTTCAGTTAATGTGTTAAGACACCGTTTAGAATTCTGCCCTTTTCAACAGTGCTTTGGATTTGTGGGTTCCTATAATTGTCCCTTACTTCTTTCCCATAATTGTTGCACTTGTTCTGTCTTGGAACAAAGTATGTGATAATCATAACATGATTTCTTTTGAAATAGCAGTTGCAACTTACTTCAAGTAATGCAAGTAACTACAGGAGGCTTGATGTGATTGTGAAATAGGAAAAATTGTTTATAGCTGTTTTGAGTTACCACAGTAGGTTATCTGAGGATACAGCTTCAGACATGCTTGCGGAATACCCTAGCTTACTACTGAGGTATAGATTGAGAACAGGGTATAGGCAGTTCTGAAGGTAATAGGACTTCAGAGATGTCATGCAAGAGGACAGCTTTACTCCCTCATACCTCTCCTGTCTGGTACCTCAACTAAGTAAAGCACAGAAATAATTCTCATGTAAGCTACCTGCCTTTGATGAGTTCTGCCACTGAAGTTGAACACATTTCAGCATGAAGTTACTTAAAATTTTGGTGACTGCACATCATCCTGAAGGGTCCTACATCTGCCAATCCAAACACTTCAGATCCATGTATTACAGGTTATTTACTAAGCAAGGGTCTGGTTCTGCTATCCTGTTTAGAAAACCTTTTGAGAGAAAAAGACAATTAAAAAAACTTCCACTTTTATTTAAAACCAGATTGAGATAGTTCATTGTGTATAATTCATACCCGAAGTTTTTATCTGTTAGGAGTTAAAATACTGTAAGTGCTTGCTTATAGCAAATTTATTAATGGCAAAAATATTTTTTCAACTGGAAAATGGTTTCCTTTGATTAAAATTGTAGTATATCTTGGTGACCTTCACTTTGAAAAAATATATGTCATGTGGAGGCCTGTGTATTTGGTGGCCACCTGTTAGATTTGTTTTTTGTAATAATTTGATTTTGGTTTTAAAATCTGTGATGTATATGTGTGGTTTGCACCTTATCATGAAGTGGAAAGATACATAGAACATTACCTCAGTGATTAGCTAAACAGGCCTACAAAAAATGATTCTTCTGATGCTTCTATACTGCATGTGTTTGTGCTTATAGCCTTGAAGATTTTTTTTTTTCAGTTGCCTAGTCTTGTGATTCAGTCGGGTAGAATTACTGTACGAGTTTGTTGGTTAATTGAAATTTTGTTTTTCAGTGTTTCACTGAAATGGTGTGGTATTTCTTTAAACAAGGACGTACCTCTCCTTGCTTTAGGGATCTTTTGTGAAAATAGCCTCAGTAAAGGAAAGAAATTAGGTTGCTGCATTTTCTAAAATTATTTTTCCTCATTCAGTTATGGTTGTACCTTACACTGTGTCCAAAGAAATGTATTTTTATGACACTTTCAGTACTTCTACTTGGCTAGCATTAAAACTGCAGATTGGATTGTTCCCTCTGTTGCTTTCACTGGATGTTTTCTCTTTTTTATTTAGGTACAAAGAGCAGCATTATTATAATTAAATCCTTCTCTGGCATATTAGGAATTAAAGTTGATATCTCTTCACTAGAGTTAAAAGAGAGTCTGTCCCTAAATTCTGACACTGTAGTCATTGGTTTGGCATTTTTACCGTGTCTTACTTTCTCTTTTTCCCAAACTCTCAGTGAAAATGAGAGCTTTTTGGTTTGCATCTCAAAGGATCCAGGTGCTGTATGATAGATGTGTGTTAAAAGCATTCACTTGGAATTTCTGTTCCTTTTCTACTTTTGAAGAAAAAAATGTGGAAAGTTACAGGCAAATAGAAAAAACAATACAAAGCCATAACTGCCCTTTCCAAAGAACTAGAAGTATAATTTTGCACATCACAAAGCAGTACTTTACTTGAACTCAGAGAGCAATCTTTCAGTTCATCACACTTCATAATTTCACTGTTTTTTTTTTAAGTGATGTTCTTCTCAAGCTGCTCACAGACATGGTCACTGCTAGTGCTAGTTGATCAGGTCCTCCTTGTAAGTTCAGGTTTGTAGTCTCAAAAATTATATTTCAGTTGTGTAGCACATTCTGATCTAACTTAATTGCTGTAGTCTGAATTGACAGTGGTTGTGGACTTGGTGCCTGAATTATTACAGTCTAATTGCATCAGTGTTAAGATATGCGGAGTCAGTACCCTATGTTTTGAGATGCTTTCAAAATATTATGTCAAGTACGGCCTCTAGAACAAGAAGCTGTAGTAATAGTAGTACGCTTGCTGTAGGAAGTGTGTAATATGATATATTTTGGACAAAATATGTTGAACATATGTGCTGTCTTCCTTCTGCCATACTTCATCCAGTTCTCTGTCTGGTGACTATAATTTACATTATTCTCTGTTGCAAATTCTCAAAGGCTGTCTTTGATTTGATAGTGTGAAATGAGTTCCATTTTAGAGGGCCGAAAGTGAAAGAAAATATTGGATGAGGCTGTTGTACCAATTTGGAAGTTCCATTTCTTAATTCATGAGAACTTATTTTACTGCAGACTTTGTGACATCCTCTGCAGGATATGGCAGGGCAGCCTTTAGGAAAGCTCTCTTGAAGGATAAATGTTCCTCTTCCACGGAGACCAGATTTGTAAAACATGTTTTATCTGGAGTGTTAAGCTTGTATTTCATCATACTGTGCACAGCAAAGTCGTGTTTGTCATTTGTGGACTGCTTGAAAAGGTTATTTACAAGCAGTCCATTTTCAAGTGTGTCAGCTACAAGAGCAGAGTAAAATGGTAAAGTGAAAAGAGATATTAATAAAACTTGCTAGAGATTAAAGAGATTTAAACAAAAGTTTTCGCTTTTCTTTTCAATAATTTCAAAACACAGTTTAACAGAATACTTCATAAAATCAAAGAATCATTAATGTTGGAACAACTACCAAGATCATCCAGTGTAGCCATCAACCCATAACCACCATGTCCACTAAACCATATCTCTCAGTGCCACATCTCTGTTTCTTGAATGCCTTCAGGGATGGTGACTTCACCACCTCCCTGGGCAGCCTGTTCTAATACCTCACCACTCTTTCTGAGAAGAATTTTTTTTCCTAATGTCCAACATGAATCTTTCTATTTATTTTCATTTTCCACCAAAAGAGCACTTTGAGTGATTAGAAGTGTTATTTGCCTTAACAAAATAAGACCATTAAGTTCTATGTTTCCTTTCAATAAGGAGGAAGAAGAGGCTAGTTTAGTTCTGTAATTCCAGAGGCATAGAGCTAATGGGTATTGTCACTGAGACTGAAGATGTTGCTAGAACTTTGAATCTGACCCATATGCAAGAAACCATTTGGATTTATTATTCACTGTTGGTTCCATCAACAGAGTTCTCCCAAGATAAATGTTACATGTTCTTTATTGGCTACAATTTGGTTAGTATGAATTGGGGTTTAAATTAGTAAATCCAATTTAGTTAGAGTAATATGATCTTCCAGTTTCTTAGAACTGCATCTGCAGACATATGAATTAGTTGGATAGCTCACTAAATATGTAGTTAGATACCCGCGTGACAGATGAAAATGTTCTAGCTGTTTGGCTTTAGTCACCCACCTGTTACTCAGGTGTACCTCTTCTGGAAAGATTAATACCTATCTTATGTGTAGGGCTCTTCCGTGATTTCGGATGAACAGATACCTCAGCTCTGTCACTGGAAGGGTCAGAGCTTTACATCTGCTATCCCTGGTGAGGGCAGCCTCTCATCTTCTGCATAACAAGCTATTGGGTAGGGCACTCAACAAGCATGTGGGAGACTGTTGAGCCTATATTCTTCATAGCCTGAATGATGCTGAGCCTATTTCCGTAAAAACTCTACAAGCCACTGTTTGTATAGGAACCTGAAGTACTGCTTTTTTCCTTTTTGCTGGAGAACCATTTGCAAGAAGGCACTCAAGTATATTGGGACCTGATAGAAGACAGATATGAGAAAGGCTGTCCCTACCCTAGATATTAGGGTCTTCAGGTGGAAGCTACTGTAACAGTAATTCCAGCTTTCCAAAATCTTCATTAGATTGTTGTTGCATTAAAAACCAAATCAAAGAAATAGATGGTATCACCATTGTTCCTGTTAATTTGTGTGTCAAATTAAAAGAAAGCAAAGGCTTTGTTATGTATATTAACACAAGTTTTCTTCTCAACTACAGGAAAGTGAGAGACGCAACTGGAGTCGATATTAACATGCGTGTAGGAGTGCACTCTGGAAATGTACTTTGTGGAGTTATTGGGCTACAGAAGTGGCAGTACGATGTGTGGTCGCATGATGTCACTCTGGCAAATCACATGGAAGCTGGAGGGGTCCCAGGGTAAGAGGCTTCTCTGTTAGCCTTCGTACACACGAGTCTTTGTTCTGCGGAGGAATATGCAGGTACCATGTCTTTGGTCATCAAACCTCATGAAGAATCCTGGGATAATTCTTAGCGTGTCTTTAAAGAAATGGATACGTAGCGTTTCCTGTGATTTAAGGAGTATTTTTGTGGAATGAAACTGTTAGATTTATGTCCATTAGAACTTCTGAAAATGAGATTACGGAGATTGCAAATGAAATAAGCAGTGCATCAAAAGTATTTCAAAAAGCTAGTAAAAAAGAGGTTGATGAGCTTCCAGTTATACTCTTGATCAGTGTTCGTGATTCTGTCATTCTTTTAAAATATAATTTCAGCCGTGTTCACATCACTTCAGTCACCTTGGCACATTTGAATGGAGCTTACAAAGTGGAAGATGGGGATGGAGATGTGAGGGACCCATATCTGAAAGAGCATAATGTTAAGACTTACTTTGTAATCAATCCTAAGGTTAGTAGTACTTCTGTTTTGTGGCCAGTCCTAGTTATTTTTAAGCAGGACCACTAACCTGTTTATTGAGTAATTTACTACCATAATATATTGATCAGAGCTATTACTGATTTCTTCAAATGCATGTTTGCATTGCCAATCTTTCCCGCTCTTCAGAAATAAGTCTCTGATATTTCCCAGCAACATCATTATGAATTGCAGATTCTTAGCTTCTCTCCATTTTGAAGTTCCTAAGCATGCAGATAAGTGGTAGCAGATGATGCATTAGTGCTTCTGAAGGTAATGGACACCAAGTGTGATATCATTTTTTATTCTCTGTCAACCAGGGAGAGAAGCGAAGTCCTCAACACCACATTAGACCTCGACATACTCTTGATGGAGCCAAAATGAGAGCTTCTGTCCGCATGACCCGGTACCTGGAATCTTGGGGAGCAGCCAAGCCATTTGCACACTTGCACCACAGGGACAGCATGACCACTGAAAACGGCAAGATTAGCACAACAGTAGGGGCCTACTTATGTCATTTCATACAATTTAGCAGTATTTGAAAGAAAAAAAGGTGCTCACTGCTAAATACCTGGTTATTTCTGATGGAGGAAAGTACATGCATTTGTACTGGACAAAAGCCCAAGGAAGTTTATAGGAGATTTTCCACTGGGTTATGAGTTTTGGATTAGACTTTGAAGAGCCATATTTTCCTTTTAGGGCATCTCTGAATCATAAGAACTCAAGTATACTTAACAAAATGCATGATTTTGCCCTCTGAGCTTGTGCCACAGTCACAGCATGTAAAATGGCTGCTGTTCACAATGTGGAAACAGATTCTGAATGCGAAGCCAGATTGCAATACCTTTAGGAACAGATACTTTTCATGCAGAGACAATTCCTGAGATTTAATAATTATTTAGCAACGTATTGCATTTGGGACGTGGCCAAACGCGGAGCAAATGCTATGAAGTTAGAATATTCCTGTGGTACCTGGGGTGGACTTTTTAAGAACCAAATCTTTGGGAACCAAATCGATGTATACTGTAACATCAACCTGTTGAAAGTGTACTAACCAAACTGTAAACTGAAGCAAAGACCCTGAGTATCACAATGCTATTGTATGTCACATCTCTTACACTGAGCAGAAAATATTTTTTTTTAATTTTATCAATACTATCTTACTGCTGTCAGTAAGGCAGTTTCTATCTTGCACATCACATTATTCTACTTCTAAAAAGCACAAATTTAGAAATAAATTCTAAGTGTTTTGAACATTAGTGTTCACTCCTATTTCCGTTATATATGAGAGCATAAAACTGAGCCACCTAAGCAATCTTGTTCAATAAATACAGTGCATCAGAATGTGGATTGTGACATGCTCATTATAGAAAGTACCCAGCTGTCACTATTAATCACAAAATAAAGGTGGTTGTGATGGCTGCTATTCCTCATCAATAATAATAATGTCCATAGCCTGTACTTGGCCACTCAGGTCTGTTTTTTCAAAAACACTTAGTATTATTTTTTTGCTGAAGCTGGCAGGAATTTGGGCTGTATTACAACAGCAATATATAACAGTTACTTTGAAGCAGTAACTTTCTAGTAAAGAAAAACATTTTTGGATTCTGGTGGTTGTATTGGTAATTTATTGCTTATTATGATGGATCATTTTGTGTCTGGATCATTCCATCTTCACCACTGGCTGGATTTTTCTTTTAAGAATTGTAATCTAATGCTAAAACTATTTATATTGGAAAAATTTCTCCTCACTTGACCCTGTTTTCAACACTAATTTTAAAGTGAATTCACATTAATTATGTTGTCAAAGCGTATTATAGTTATGAGCTATTTTCTTTTGTCTTTTATTAGGATGTTCCCATGGGGCAGTATCATTTTCAGCGTTGCAGAGAGAGGTAAATTGATTTTAAAAAAATCAATTATTCACATAAATTCCATATATATACATATAAAATGTATATTTGCATTTTTATAGGTATAAGACATACTTTCAAGAGAGAGCAATTTCTTATCCAGATTACTTTCTGAACTGATGCCTCACAGATAGAAAAGAGCTATGAAAACAGATTTTGCTGATATTTAAGAATTGTGAATATACTTCCTTCTAACAAATAAGCATTATTCAGAATCACTATGTCAGTGGCCTCCTATTTACTTCTGCTAACATTTGGCTTGTTCTTTGTGCGGAAAATGGTGTACAGGAAAATTGGGAGAGGAGATAGAGTGGGGAAGAAAACAGAAGTTGCGAAGGGTTTTTAGTAAATTATGTTATAACAGCTAATAATATGGACTGAAAAGCATATTTTGTTAATTGCTTTGTATTTGCATTGTTTATTATTGTTTCAAAGTTTATAGTGTTTGCAGTAGTATTTTGTAGACGTTCTGTAATACTTTCGTTATGCATAATGTTTGCACAATCACATCAATTTTTTTCATTCCCCTGCTTGTTGTTTCAGTGACTAGGCCAATGCAATGAGAAAAGGTCACTTTCTCTAAAAAAAAAATAATCAGAATTTTAAATCAAGAAAAGAATGACTACTCTTTAAAAAACAAGCCTAACATTGTCAGGATGCTGAAATGTTTCGTTTTTATTTAAATGACCTGATAAGACTTTAGATAATGCCTTTCTTTCAAAATTATAAGAAACATTGCAGATACTGTAGGAAAGTTTGAAAGAGCCATTGAAAAATTTCTATTTTTATTATCTTTGGTTATGCAGACAAGTCATTCTATCTACTCCTTCCCCATCATGAACAGGTTGCCCAAGGAGGTTGTGGATGCCCAATCCCTGCACGCATTCAAAGCCAGGCTGGATGTGGCTTTGGCCAGCCTGGTCTGGTGGTTGGCACATAGCAGGGGGTTGAAACTAGATGATCATTGTGGTCATTTTCAGCCCAGGCCATTCTATGATTCTGTGATCTGCCTACATGGTGAATATCTCATTAACCAAAATAGAGGTTACTGGGGAACAGTGCAAATACATGAAGTATTCCTAAATTTCAGAGGTTGAGCAAGTTTTGACCACGTATGCATTATATTAATAAACACAGTCTCTGGTTTTTAAGCCCAGCATGTATGTTTGGACAGTATCTCCAGAGAATGTGAGTCAGCCCTGTAGTAAGAAGTACATTCCAAAATGTATGAACAGGTACAAACGTTGCCATGCTTGTTGATAGCATGCTATTGAAACCAGTTTCTAGAAATGATTACTAGAGTCTCCTGTCTGTACTGAGGTATATAGCTAAAATTTTAGGTATGCAAGTTGGTCATTCCCCAGGGATAGCGCTGAAATGATTATAGGCCATCTGAAAATCAGTATTTTATCAGAATATGAAAATGTGAGTTTTGAAGCCTGACTGTAGGCTTCCATTTGTGGCAGTCAATCTTACCCACAGTGTGTGTATATTGATATACACACACTGTATATTGATAGGGGTATACCAGGAATGCTAAGTGTTATTAGATAATGTCTCCTCCTGTGTGGTTATTCCTCATAGGCAGAATGGTCCATATGTGAAAAATGAGCTGTGAACAAATAGTCAATCTCTGTAGCATTGATTAGGGCATGAAATCAGTTGGGTTGTTCAAAGCTACTGAAAATACATGAATATTGGTTTCTCAGCGCATGTGAATCCTGCAACAAGTTATTGTTTATTGGAAAATGACTCAAAAGCTTGACGTAGAAGTTGTTTGTTGCACCTTTGAAAGTTTTGAATTTGTAGGTTAAGGAAATTCTGGTAAGCTAGAAGTCAGATTTCAGATCTGATTGGTAAAACATGGTTATTGGGTTAACATTAAATTTTAAATTTTCAAGGCACAGAGATATAATCTAGCAATATTTGAAATATAATGGCTGTAAAGAGTGTTGCTGCTGAAAGAATCGATGGTGTTTGTAGTAATGTTATCAAAGGCAAACCCTCTGCTGGGTTCATGCTGAGTGTAGTGAAAATAAGACTTTTTTTTGTTGTGTTCTAAGTTATAGAAAGAGGAACAAGGCACATGCTTAAAACATTTCAGACTTGATGTTCATACTTCTTACTAAAAACAAAATATTTCCAAGATAAGAACAGTAAGCAGGCTTTCTGTAGGGAATGTTTATTATACAGTAACACACTATTGGTCATCATACAGTCCTGACAAGGATATTTAAAAATGGTTGCAATAAATGTTTTCTGAATTGGAGCATATTTCTGTTGTTTTTATTAAATTCATGCCACTGAGGAGGGCTTTTTCTCAACTTCAATCTCTTATCTTTTCTTAAAGAAGTTTCATATTCTTTTTAAGTGCTCCCAAATGTTTATTGATTGACTGATAGAGGGACAGGTGGAGCAGACTGTTTTTGTCAAGTGCTTATGAGGCTCAAGTTGTCTGACGCCTGCAGAAGCTTTTGCAACATAAATGTTGACCATATAATTATACAGATGTTTATTTTTAAGGTTTATTAACAATGTAATGATTTTAATTTCTCACATTTTTCATTTCAGAACAAAATCTCAGAAAAGAAGATTTGAAGAGGAACTAAATGAGAGGATGATTCAGGCCATTGATGGAATTAACGCTCAAAAGTATGTTTCTATCCTCTGTTGTCTACTTGATTCAGCTTTGACGTATATCTGTAATAGCGGATAGCATGTACTATTTCTCCCTCCCACATTCACAGAGCTACCAGGATAGAAAGCTCTGCACGTTGTAAAGAAGGATGTATAGTACCACTTAATACTACATAGATAAAACATTGCCTGTGAACCATGGTATGACAGAGGTTTTGGCTTACCTTGATTTTCATAACAAAGGTATTTTTGTCTCTTTAATTGTACAATCATAGCTGTTACTCTACTGAACTATGTCATCTGAGAGCAAAGAAATATGACATAAAAATAATCGACTCAAGAATCAGAATGATGTGAAAATTAATGCTTCACGATTATTACAGAAACATTTCCTCAGAATTACAGACTTTCCCTAAACTTGTAGTTTAATATCTCCCTCTTCCAGTTGCTTAGTTGAATTCTTAGACTAGGCTATGCTTGATGGTGTATTGAAATGACTGGGAGAGGCAACATGCATGTGCTGCTTCTGTGTCCTAGGAAGTACTGGAGGTGGTATTGATGTCCTCTGCTGGTGAATGGATAAGACTGAGAGAAAAATCAATACCAGTCCAAAAGAAGTGTGCAGATTTCTTTTATGTATCTGATAAAAATAATTACTCTCAAAGTGTGGATAATGATAGAGAAAAAACCGCAATTCATCACTGTATTTCTGTTACTCAGAATCTTAATTAGCTAGGTATTACTCCTAATTATTAAATGTTCATATATCATGTTTGTTTTGTTGCTTTTTGTTGCTTTTTTTTTTTAACATCTGATAATTCTGTTATAAGATGCTTGCTTTTAGGAAAATATTTTTTAGTCATTATTTATAGGTCATCCAAAAATACAGAGAAAGAGGAGTCATCTAATAGACAAAGACTTCTTAATATACCAGACTTGCTTAAAACATCTATGCAAATTTTGACAGCTTTCACGTTTCTTCAGATAAATTTCCTCAGCTAAGTGAGCTCTAAAAATGATGGTTTGATATCAAAGGAGAAACGTATTGTTGTCTTGGTTTCAGCTGAGACAGAGGTGTGTTTTTTTCTTCATAATGCTTAGTATGATGCTATGTTCTGGCGTTGGGAGAAAAACAGTGTTGATAACACGCTGATGGTTTAGTCATTGCTGAGCAGTGCTGTATGGAGTCAAGGGCATTGAAACTTCTTGTACCCTCCTGCTGGTGAGGGGAGTTGAGGGGCACAAGGAGCAGGAAGGGGACAGAACCAGGGCAAGTGACCTAAAATGCCAAAAGGATATGCCATATGACATCACATGAAAAAAACAAACAGAAAACTGAGGGGAGTTGGCCAGGAGGACAGCTGCTGCTGTCCACGGAGTGGCTGGGCATCACTTGGCAGGTGGTGAGCAATTGTGTTGTGCATCACTTATTTTGTAAATATTTGTTATGTTACTGTCATTACTGTTATCTTCTTTTTCTTTTCTGTCTGTAAATAGTTTTTGTCTCAACCCACTATTCCTAATTTATTATTATTGTTATTATTGTTATTATTGTTATTATTCTCTCTCCCATCTCACTGGGAAGGAGGAATGAGTGAATGACTGCATGATGTTTAGCTGCCTGCCGGGTTAATCCACAACAATTGTACAAATACATTAGGAGAAATTATCATTATTCCCTGGGAAATCTGTCCTAAGTGGCCTTGCTTGAGAAGGGGGATTGTACAGGATGACCTGCAGAGGTCTTTTGCCTCAGAGAATCTGTGTCTTACTGAATTCTCAAAAAATCTGTGGCTTACTTAATTAGTGAATGCATTCAGAGACATTTAGGAACAAGAGAGAAAAAACAAAAGTAGCTGCAAAAGCTTCAGTTCATTTTGTGAATTACACAGGGAACTACAGATGGGTAAGGAATGATTTTACATATTACACAGACAGCATAGATGCCTTCCAAAACTAGATTCTCTACCTTGATCTTGGATCAATATATCACTTAAGACAGATTATTTGATTGGTTATTCCAGAACAACTATGGAAAAGTGTTAATTACCCAAACAGGAAGTTAATTCAATAGTATTTTAACTATATGAATCTTAATCAGAAAAAAAAAAAAAAAGTATATTAAAACATCATATATTTTGGACATGAAACTAATCACTTTTTAAAAAAATTATTTCACTTTATTTGTGCCTGTGTAATGTTTTTTGGGGACTCAACCACTGCCTGCTCTCCTGCCGCTTCATGCAACACAGCTGTCTTTGCATAACTCTACCAAGTGCTGCATGTACACATCCGGGGTGACTAGGGCTTCTGCGTTCAATTTCATCTTCTGGGATGCAGATGAAGCCGTGATCTCTAAGAAGCAGGGTCATGGGCTTTTAGGATGATTGAGAGCAGTAGATTTAGTTGGCATTGCTCTTTGAAAGATCATGTGAGGAAGGTTAGGACCTTCTTATTCACTACTATTCTAGATAAAGAAAAGTACAGATTTTAAAGGAATAAGAAACACCAAGTTTTTCTCTTTCAGCCATGTACCATAGCTATTAGATGTGCATCCTGCACAGGACGGGTTGGTTAGCCCTGGCTATGCCACCTTGGTGGTTAGGGGACTTTTGTAGGATGTGTGGTAGATGGATCAGAATCTAAATATATATCTACAGAGAGAGCTAAACTAAAAATATTTTGCTATTTGATAAGTAGGTGACTATGTTAAAAAGATCCATTCTCTTTCCTTTTTCTGGCTGCTGTGGTTTAAGCATGTTGTCTACCGGAGTAGGCCTTTAAAACCATGCACCCTTGTGGATATGAGTCTGTCTTTGTTGCTCCTTGAACTGCAAGGGAATCCAAACATAATTGTGTTAGCTTCCTGGGTGGCATATCTCCATGTAGCTGTAGATATTTGGGACTTCTAGGCTCATCAGGGAGTCAGACAGCAGCCAGGATTTTGCAGCCCTTATTACTCTGCTAAAAAATCCTTATCTTTATGTACCATCTCCTAAGCTTATTCTTCATTTATACTTGTCTGTGCTGCACTCTGATCTCTCAATAGTACCTGCTGAATCTTTCTGTTGCCTCTCCTATTTTCCATGTCTTCTGGATGATGCCTTGCCTGCTTACTTGCTTTTCATCCCACAAAACCTTTTCTCTAAATCTTGCTCACTTTTTTTTGGTTGATGTCATTTTTCTTCTTTCTTCTGTTCCTACAGATTTTGCTATAGAAAAAAACATTTTGTCAGTATGGATGGATAGGTCTCTTGCTTTGATTTCTGGTGCCTGCTATGAAGATAGCTGATAACAGTAGTGATATGGAAATTGGACATGCAGTCCCTCAGTCTCTTAAAAAATGGTGTATTTGAAGTCTGTCTGGAAGATGGATGTGAAAGGGTAGAACACGTTTGCTGAAAGATTCTGAAACCTATGTTTTTTTACTGAAGTGAGAAATCACTGTTGAGTGTTTGTGAAACTGAGATTTTTCAAAAGACAGGCATAGTCAATTATTGACCTTTTTTCACAAAAACAACAAGAGAGCTACGATCTCAAGGCTACCTATCAGAAAAAAACTGAAGTTGCAGGGCAGAAATGCAGAGTTACTAAAGCTTTCTAGAAATTCCTACAACCACTTTAAAAGAGATACAATCAGTATAATTTTACTGAGCTCTTGAACATGTGAGCTAGCTGTGGGGAGTACAAGGCAGCATTTGCTCTAAGTGCCATTAAGTGTGATCAAACGTGTACAGACTGGATTAGGCCTTAGAGAGCAGCTCATGCAGGTCATGGTCCAAGGACTAAACTGGTTAAATACAAAAACAGTCGCTTTTCTTTAATAATGTTTTTTACATTTGCTTTTAGAATAAGAGTGTAATTTATCTGCCATTCTTACCTATTATAAAAGTATATTTTTAAAAGGTACCTTGTGAAGATGGGAGCAGATGGCCTCCGGAGGTCCCTTCCAACCTAAAACTGTTCTGTGAAAGTCATATATATCAGTGATCTGTGAAAGGTCTGCTTTTATCTCTGTGCACCATTTTCTTCTGTGCCCTGCAGTATTACAGTATTTTGGACATGAGTGGAATGTCATTGTGAGAATTATATCATGTAAATCTCTCCCTTGATTGTCTTTAGCAATGATCCGCAGAAAAACAGCTCATCTGAACTTTTGTTTCATGAGTACATTAGCAATGGAAATCAAAATGCACAGGATTTGTAGTATTCTCTTCTAATTTTAGTGTGATCCATCAAATATGTTCCAAAGCCCAATAACTTTCTTTTAAGTTATTTTCTAAATTTGCAGCATTTCAGTAGTACAAAAAAGTGGGGCTACTTTATTCTTGTATCATTTATAATGTTTTCTTTTTCTGTTCTAGGCAGTGGCTTAAATCTGAAGACATACAAAGAATATCACTTCTTTTCTATAATAAGACTCTGGAAAAAGAAGTAAGTTATTTTCACTGCAAAGTCATGATTGATTCCTTCTCTGCCTTATCCTAAGTGAGGCCACTATACCTTGCCTTTATAACACAGAGCACCTCCCCAGTGAGAAGCGCTTAAACATTTTTGCCTCATTTGTAGTAGAAGTGTTTTGAGTATGATGTCCAATGCTGCTTCTCTGTTTGCAAGGCAGTTTTTACAGTGTTCAGCAATTCTGAATTTCTTGAAGCTTTCAAAATCTTATAGAAATGAGAGGAGGTTTGATAATCTTGATTTGCTGATGCTGAACCAAAAGATTCCTAAGTTAATTACCTACATGCTCAAAAGATATTTATCAAACACTCCTATTTTTTTCTTTTTACCACGTCTCAAATACTCCACCTCCAGTCATGATAGTCCTGCAGTAATTTCAGTTCATCTGTTTTCTTCATAAGCTTGATGCTCACTGTCATTCCAAGGAAGTGATATTGTAAATGTTATTTAAGAAAGATACCTATCTGTATTGGGTACAATTCACTAAACGTTTTTATGAGTAATATACGTAATAAAACATGTTTGAGATGTATGGGCAGATGAAGTAAATTATACTGTTTGCAGTCCTTGTAAAAAAAAAAAAAAATAAATATCAAAATGAAAGTTTCTTCCCTTATAGGCAACTGTTGTGACTACCAGCCCAGGAACTTAGGTGTTTTCTTTTTGTTGTTTTATGGCCTTGTGGGGCTTGATTATGTTTCAGTATATTGACTGTTATAAAGTTTCAGCAATAAAACTGGAGTGTTGTCTCTTTCCCCACCTCAGTAGGCATAGAACAGCTGATAGCTGAGAAGTTACAGTGTCTTTCAGTGAAGTAAAAGGTAGATCAGACCAAATTGGCTTTGCAAATGAGTTAACCTGATAAGAACGTAGTAGGGGAAGCATTACTATGCTATGTTTATACTGCGCAACAGAGGTAAAGGCATCATCTGGGTCACACTTGGTGCTCAAAGACATAATTAATCATTTTTGCACGTACCTTCAGTTCAAAGTATCTGAAATAATTTTCACAACCTCTCTCAACTCAGCAGAATGGAGTTCTTCTGGCAGGCTGCCAAAGGCATGTTGTATGACCTTGGCAATGCATTGTGGTGATAAAAAATTCAAGGCTTGTTAAGGCTGTGTAGAGGTGGCATAAGAAAGAAGCAGCAACACCTGGTGTGGTCTCACCCACAGGGTTTAGAGATTGCACTGAGTGGGAGCACATACAGATTTCAATGTGTATGATACTAACTGATTAGTTCTAAAATAGAACTTGAGAGCAAGCCATTATATGAGCTGTTTGGACAGTGAGGGAATCAGAATTCAGAGAAAATCAACCAAGTTATTTGGCTGTGTGGATGCTCCCTAATAGCCTAATCTCTTTTAGACTGTTGAGTGTTACAGTATGACAAAGAACTCATTGTTCTTTTCAGGTCTGGCTTTTTAAGGTCTTTGTTCCCTGTCTTTTAATGACTCACTAGTCCAATCTTGTCTTTAAAGAACTCAGTAGGAAGCCTGAGTTTGATTAAGGAAGGAACTTTTCGCACCCTGCAGGGCCTGAAAGTACTGTAAGGTAATAAAGCAAAAGAATTATTTAACCTAAGAAGTGAGTTGCCTGGCTTTGTTCGGAAATGTCTGGAGAAGCGTAAAACATTGAAAAGAATTTACAAGTGTGTTGGAATTTTTTGAGATTTTAACAGCAACTCAAGGTCCAAAATTGTTGGACAGGACCATTGAAATATAACAAACATTCAACAGATGGAACAACAAAACTTGCTGCAAGCATAGTGATGTTGGTGCCTCGGAACTCAGTTAGGTATGTGGGAAGAATTGCTTTCAATTTGTCACAGAATTTAAAAAAAAATTGCTGTTGGGATGCTAAACTCAATTTCTGCACGTTCATTTAACATAAAGTGCACCAGTTTCAGGGGAAGAGTTTGGCACTAAGCATGAAGACATCACCATTAGAAAGCACAGCTCATGCACATTTTATGTTTGCACGTTGAGAACATAGTAACGCAGAAATAATTTTTGATACTTTTTTTTTAATAAATCAGATCTTGGAGCTCTTTACCCTTTTAATAAACTTTGATAGTGTTACAGTCAGAAAGATTAGTGCAGTGGAAAAGAATACAGGAGTGGAATAGCTAAACGACAAACAGGAAAGGAATGCTCACCCATCTCCAAAGATCTGGGCTTGTGGGGAAAAACACCACTAGGGAGGGATCTCCAACCAGAGATCCTTCCCCAGTGGCAGTCAGCCCCTAAATGGGGTCTAAGAGAGGTGCAGGCTCCATCCCTTCTGGTTGCGGAGGTGATTTGTCTTCACTTGTGCTCCCAGGGCTGACCTGGTCCTTTCCCCAGGTGATCAGTCAGTGGTTCAGGCCATGACTCAACAGTTACCATACTGATAGGTTAAGTAACTTCAATAGACCCAATATTTAGGTCATTTCCTTTTGAGTACTTAATTGATTTCATTCTGTTATCTATATGATCTAATAATATAATCTAATCTATGTATCAATCTCAAATTACAGAAAATTTTTCAGATAAATGTTTCACTGCTTAATTGTTGTGTTTCTGAACAGACTAATTAGAGAATTGTAAATAGTATTTTTTTTTAATTAATGACAAAGTGGATGGAACCAACTCTCTCCTAATAACAAGTTTTTATTATTATCAGTGGATAGATAAGGCATTTTTATACAGACTTTCACTGAAGTAATAATGTAGCGTCACTAAATATCAGCATGATAGTGAGCTCTGCTATTGGAAAAATAAATTTTATACAAATCGTTTACACTTTGTTGATTCATGTACTCAGGAGTCTCCTGAATAAATGACATTAACAGTTTCTTGTAACTATTCCAGCCCACTCAGTATTTACTGTTAACTCAAAAAACAGTTTGGGGAATTAGTGACTGAGAAAGATTGTGTGAGCATGGTCAGCTATTCTTAATAATAGAAATACTTCCACTTCTTCAATTAAAATTTTTATGATTATGCTATTTTTTAATTTTATATTTTTATGATTAATATGAGATAGTCCTGTTCTGAGGAGGAATGAGACCAAACCATTTCTCGTGGCTATCTACTCTGTCCTTTGAAAAGTGAAAGGCTTCACTACTGTGCCTGATAATCCCTGTCCTTATGTAAGTGGATATGATAACCTGTGAACAACAGGAAACTTACTGTGGCTGAAATCAGCTTGTGCATATCTACATCTTAAAACTGGAATTTCAGTTGGGTGATGTTTTATCTGCTTTGAAAAATGTGTTCGTAATATTTGCTCTTTCTTTTTCCAGTACAGAGCAACCACTCTGCCTGCGTTTAAGTACTATGTGACTTGTGCCTGTCTCATATTCTTCTGCATTTTTGTTGTGCAGATTCTGGTATTGCCAAAGTAAGTGGTATTTTAACATAAAACTTCCTATGTTTATTTGCATAAAAAAATAAATGAGTAAAAGTGTTTTGAATTGTCAGATTATAGAGATCAATTAATGGAAAAAAATTTGGACAAAGACTGAGGCTTGTAGCCAATTTTCAATCTTATACTTGTTTCTAATTTTAAATGCTGCCATTGCGTGGTGCTCAAATATTAGTAAAATTCTTCATTGATTTTAGTTTTTCTATTTAAAAATGTGTGATGATGACACGAATCCATCTGTGCAGAGAAAAGTAATACAAACTATGGATTTATGAGATTACAATTGCATGTTAAATAAGCCTGAGCATTGGGCTTTAAAGTGGGATAAAGTGGATTGCAGAATTGAGACTGTGATCAATTAGTTGCATTTAACACATTGCTGTGATAATACTGCTCTGTTCTACATACAATTAGTGTTACTATTTGAAGAATTTCTCTTTTTAAAACTATTTTTTAAAAATAAGTTTAAAAAATATCAATTGATGAAATAATTATTGCCATCAGAATTTATTTATATGAGAGGAATGATTGTGAGATAATTTATGTTTATATACCAACCAGAATCAACTATTCTTTCTGTCTGCGTTTGTTCTAGAAAGTCCAAGAAAATTGGAAGGCAGTTTTCCAATAAATAATATTTTACTAGACTTCTTAAGATGGAATTTTGCTGTTGATTTTTCCATAATGGACACTTGATGTTTGTTAGTTTGATAGCAGTTGTCTCCAAAGTCAACACTGCATATTCTATTTGACTCAGAACTCAGTATTCAGCCTTTTTTTCCTGCACAGTGCTTCTGGGAGTAGTTTTTACAACCTCGGATGAGTGACTGCTCTCGTGCTGTAGTACTTGCGTTTTAATTCAAAGCCAGAAGGAATTTTTATCCTGCAGACTTGTTTTATAACATGTATCAATTTTTACAGGCTTCTCTTCAGATGTTACAGCATTTTCTTTGCAATGGGTTTTCCATTAGTGCCTAGTTTACAGACACAGGCCACAAAGGGTCAGTCTTAGAAGGAAAAAGTTCAGCAATATCCTTTATATGGTTCACTCTGAATTTAGGTATCATATCAAAAACAAAACATGAATCTACTAATCTCTTCTAATATTATCACTTACATGTTTTGATTTCAGTCACAAAAACGAATTTAACTTTATTATTTACCATATATGAAGTAAGATATTAATTTTACTATATGCTTATTAAATCTATTGAACCAAACGTGTAGCTCATTAAAATGTATCAGATACTTGAAATTAGTGAACACATGGGAAATATGTTCAACTAAGGAAAGTGTTCTATAACTTGTAAAACCATACGCTGTCTTTCTAGTATCAGAACAGAAGATACAATAATTTGTCCTTTTCATTACAAAAAAATGTAAATTATTCATAGTCCTTAGATAGGGCTGCTTGTTAAATTGGAAGACCAAGAGTATAAAATCACGGAGCGTCTGAGATTGGAAGGGACCTCTGGAGATCGTGTGGTCCAACTGCTTTACTCAAGCAAGTTAGAAAACAGATGTTAGCAAATGAATGATGTCCAGTTTCAAGGGCTCTGTGAATTAATTTAAAATAAGCAAAAATTGTAATAAGAAAAGCAAGGTTTTATACAAGCATCTGGAGCTCTGCTGGAAAATCTCAGTGCCTGTTTCAAATTTAAAAAAATATTTAAAAAATCACTGGTGCACATAAGGGTATTTTTGGAAAGTAAAATGACTTTCATTATATTATAATTTTACCTGAGTTGCTTAGAGGCATGTATTTATTTAAAAATTGTATAAAAAATCAGGTGCAGATCAATTTTCTTCTGGAATATTGCAGAGATGTAGATTGGGCAGACGTGTCTGTCTACTTGTCCATAAGTGAGTAGCAGTAATAACAGCAGGTGAAAATGGTAGGCAGTTAGCCATTCTTCTTGACAGTTTGGTGTTCTGCACTGGAAATAAAGTTCAAACTCCAGTCAAACAGACTCAACTGCTACAGATTTTATTTCCTCCCAGGAAAAACAAACATGCACACATGAAGAAAACAGCATCAATTATTGGTTAGTTTAAAATTCTATCTAGTATTTCTTTCTAAAAATTCTGCAGAATTTTTAAATGGTGATTTAATGAAGACAGAGAGAAAAACTTCATCTGTCATTGGGTTTTATGGATTCACTATTAATCTGGTTTTACAGCAGTGTAATATTATTGATTTCTGTGCGTATACACCACCTGCTGCTTTAAAGTAGATTTGGAAATGCTTGATAATGAGTAACATCCAGCATGTTGCAAGAATATAAGCAATGTCTGCAAGATCATGAGACAGTTCTTGAAAGGCTGGAGTCATTGATTTATGTTTCATTTTTCTTGTGGTCTAGAAACTGGTGCAGTGTTTTCACAGTAAACTTAAATTAGTAATTACAAATAAGAGCAGTATCTTGGACTTGAATGTGTCATGGTGTTTTTATTGTGCCATTACAATGTAGCAGATCATTTCCTTGGAACTGGCTTTCAGTGGCTTTTTAGTGTCTTGGCTTACGAGGTGGTAATTACCTGTGGTAATTCACAAGAATCCTGACTTCTCTATTTAGTGAAACTGTCATTTGATGTGAACTGATAGTGTTGTTTTTTTTTTGAAATGCATTCTGCTAAATTGATACAAGTACGTTTCTATTGACCAGGAGGTACTTGTTGTGCTGTTCAGGTAGGGAATTTGATTGTGCTGACATTTTAAGATTCATCCCAAGTTTTCCTCTCTCTGAGGCTGCTGTGTTTAAGAACTTGTGTCCTTTTCTCCTGAATCATGACAAGCTAACAATCATCTATCCTATCCCTGGAAGAGGGTTAGGTCTTGATGTGGTATTTCCTATTAAACACAGGTGAATTTCTTTCCAGAAAAAGGAGGTCCTTAAAAACTTTATCTGAAAGCAGACGTGTAAAATTTGAGACATTACAACAGAAAGAAAAGCACCATTACTGCCTTTTTTTAATGCTGCATCCAACTAAAAAATAAACAGCTACAAAAAGAACACCCTGAAGTGTTATTATGATACTTAAATTATTTTTCCTTAACAAAGAAACTGTCATGCAGTCAGTCTGCATAGTCATTGAGTCAATCAGTGGCATCAGTCAAATCAAAAAAGGTGTAGCTACTATTAGTTACAAAAAACATCTGAATTCAATATTGTCTTGTATAATTGCTTCATCATGATTTTATCACCTCAAGAATTTACAATCAAGCAGTCAAAAACATGAATGTCAGTATCCTGGAAAGCTGTGTCTATTCAGGTGCATGAACCATGGGTCACATGTTTTCCTAAAAGTTACAGAAGTGAGAAAGAATGCATTATTTTCTCCATGATTACATTCTTTTCTTCTTTTTTCAATGCATTTGCTTTAATGATGAATCTTTATTTTTCAGTTCATATGTTATAAACAAGAGAGAACTATGCATAAATATATAGTTTTTCCAATCACATACAGCCTCGTAAAAATAAATTATTCAAAACATATTTGTACTTGATGAAACCAGAAAAATATGTCCACATTTTAATTTTGTTAACAATTAATGATTTAGACTTAGAACTGTCTGAAGCCTGGGAAATTCTTGTGTTTAATTCTCTCAAGTTCAGATTCTGACCCTCAGTAGATTATTGTCAAGGTTTGTCCTGTCAGCATCCCCAGCAGGTACCATAACAGAGAGCAGACATTTCACAAATGAAGACACTGAAGAATAGGAAGAGGCAGGTAGAAAGTCAAGTCTTTTGGGATCCCAAGTGCTCCTGTGACACAGTAGTTTGTGTGCATCTGTCAGTGCAATGCATTGCAGTGATTCCTTTTTATGACTCTACACAATAAAGGCAAGAATAGTTTACTGTTTTTTTAATGTTCCATTAAAAAATAGTAAGTGCGTGTTATGACTTCCCTGTGGTCATTGCCTCAAATGAGGCTTATTTATGCAGGCTCTTAATTTTTAGTATTTTGCCTCCCATTATAGCATCCTCATCCCACTTCTTTCCCTCTAGGAGCAGCATGAAATCATTTCAGCTTAGCGTAACTGAAGCGAGAAGTCCTGCTGTTCCCAGAAAAAAAGGGGGCATGGGGCAAAAAGCTTGGAACTGTTTTTCCTCTGTACTTGTTGCTCTGATCTCTAACATACCCTTTTTCCTTTTACAAAGCTATCATTGGCCCTTTTCTCTTTGCCCCAGTGATCCTTCTTGTTCAGCTTTCAATGTTATCCTTTTTCCTGTACCACTCTGATAACATCACTGGTCTTTGTCATTCTGTGTAAAATATCTGCTCAGACCTGTCTGTTGCACATTGTTGAGCACTCTTTGCATAAGCTTTCCTTCCTGTATGTTCATTTTGTTTCTTCTGCACTCAAGTTTCTCTAGGAGCGCCTAAATGTCTCCTATAAGAAACTACTCTAAACTTAACTGGTAAGCCTGTTCTTGGGCTGAATCATTACTTAAGGTGCACGACTTCATTTTCTGTATCTTCTGCATCTGACAGAGTGCGGGAATAATTTCAAATGCAGGAATGGTTACTTGGTACTTATTGAGTAGCATATGTGACTGTGAATGCTTACACACACAAAAAAGCATGCCTGCTAGCTGTATTCCTATTCTTCTCCTCTGTTGCTTATTGGATTTTAAATTTGTAAGGGTGGAAACTAGTCTTGCATGTGGTGTTATGCAGCTTAGCATCTCAGTCTTTATGAGACTGAGCAATAAGGATTTTCAAATAATTTCTAAAAGAAGCATCATTTCAAGGTGAACATGGTCTGTGACATGCCAGTTGTTTGTTTTCATCAGCTGTTCACATCAACCAAAAATTTGTTGAATGCTTAGCATATAAAAGGTTCTCTGTGTGATTGGCAGGGAAGCTCATAAATTATTCTCCAAAATGCTCTTAATGGCAGCAATATGCCATCAAATTGGTTTGTGAAGTTAATGCCTTTTTGTTCTTTCCTGAAAATAGCTCAACGTCTATAACACTGTCATAAAAACAGATCAAAATATTTTCCAGTATTTGTACATAATCTAAGAGTTAACTCCAAAGAGTTCTACTCCTTCATTTTTAGTACTGTAGCATCTAAAATGTATATATTTGAATTCAGATGTCATTTCTAAAGAACAAGGATGTAACCTTTTATTAAGGATATCTTTAAAATCTGAATCATAGGTTTATGGAAGAGCTGACTTAAAATATTATATTACTGAATTAAAATTTAGTAATTAAAAGAAAATAAATGTCAAGTTTTGCTAAAATAAGATATTTGCTGGGGCTAAAAGTGATTGAGAGATAATTTTAAATTTTGCAAAGATGTCAAATCAGTGGTTAAAGCTGAAAGCAGGCACTCGGGTGAAGACTGTCATGACCATGTCTGATTTCCTTTCTCAAAAAACTCAGTTGGTCTAGAGCTTCTCATCTCCTCTTGGCACGCATTATAAATGTAATTAGGTCTGACTGCATCTTTCCCTAGGCAGCTATGTTAAGTAGCTCTCACATAGCTCCTGGTGGAGCAATTATGCTCTGCTGTGGTGTTTGTATAGAGATATTCTACATTTGCAGAATGCATGCATTTACAGATTGTTTCTGCGTCCCTGTTTCTGGTTACTGAGTCCCAGTGCTATCTTGATAGACTTTCGTATTAAGAGTATGTAAGAAAAGGGTAAGTTAGGATGCTGAATAAGGATGATTTCAGGTCTAGATTGTTCAGTTACGTGTTTATTTGTTGACCTGTTTTTGTTTGTTTTGGATTTTTCTTTTTCATTATAAACCAGTTTGTTTTTCTTTTCTTCGTGGTGTTGTCTTCTATCCTATCATGCTGCCTGTGCTTTGATACTTCAGAACTGGCCAACCAGTCCGATATGGTACAAAATGGAGTTTTCAAAGGTGTTGAATTCCTACTCATTTGGGAAATGAGCTAACAGGATGTAGAATCAAAGGTGTCACAGATGCCACAGTTTCTAGCTACAAGACACAGAACACTGGATATAATTCCCCCATACTATTGCTTTTCCAGCCTTCGGGGAGGAGTTACACACTATAACAAATTTATTTTACAAATCTAGCAGACTCTTCTATTTAGAAAATCATAAACAAAAAAATACAGCATTAAGGGTCTTCTTTCGCACAGTTTTTAAAGTAAAACAAACCAACCTTGATGCTGTTAATGCAACTCTACCAGTTAAATTATCTGTATGAAAATTACTATCTATCCATCCTAATGGTTTTGCAAAGTGATAGAGAATACTGATGTGAGTATTCTTTGACAAAAACTTTAAAAAAGAAAAGTACAGTTTTAATGGTGTTATTTTGAAAGCTATTCTTTGATATGTGGGAGATTTAAAAAAAAAAAAAAAAGTGGGAAAAATGCATGTAATTCTAGTAAGAACTGAAATGGTTTTTCCATGGTTTTGATGTTTGGAGTTTCAGTCTACACGTGGGAATTTTTGTATCATTATCTGCATTATAAACAAAGAAAGGTTGTGCTACAAAGGTGTACCTTAGAAATTAATATATGTTTTCTTATTTTTTGCAGAACATCTATTCTTGGAATTTCATTTGGGGCTGCGTTTCTCTTGCTCTCTTTCATTTTATTTATCTGCTTTGCTGGACAGCTTTTGGTAGGTATTAAAGGAACCCAATCTAGTTGTTAATAGTTTCTTTTAAATGACATATCCAAGTTTTCCCAACTCACTCTGCCTTTGCAGAATAACATGCGTCCTGAGGCCTCTGAGCACGTGGTTTTGTTCCTGCTAACTTGTAAATTGTCCTCATTTATCTGAAAATCAGAAAATGCCACTGCAGTGATTGTCTGCCTACCTTGATACTCTCTTTCCCCCATAAAGATGGATCCTCTGAGAGGTCTGCGTTACTATTTGGTTGGCTTTTCTGAGTTTTTTTCTATTGTCCTTGTAGGAGATGACCTTTTTTAAAAAATGCTTTAAACTAGGGCACTGCATATTTGTTTATTTTTAAGTATTGTAGAAGACCTTTTCTGAGTTTAGAGAACGTTTCACGGTAACAATTTGATATATTGAATTTTTGTAGTAAAATGATGATTTTGCTGTTGAGTGGTACATGTGTTGTTAAAATGCCTCCTAGTGAACCTGGTAATACGCTCAATTTGAGAATCCAGGATTTGTGCAAACCTTCAAAATTTACACTTCAGAGTTTATTTAACAAGTATTACTTTCCTCCTTTTAGTAATTCTCAAATAGATCCAACATATAAATCCATCAAGAAAGAATATTTCAGAATTTGTGATAAAGTAAATGCAATTTGAATTTGACATATAATCTAGAATAAGTCTATGCCTGTATTTGTTTATGTTTACTGTTTACTTATTATTTAAGCTCATTTTAAATCTTACTTGAAACTGTTTTTATCATGTCAAGTAAGTGACATACTACATCACAGCAGAAAATCTTTCTACTCACGTTCCAAATTATTTTTTTCTTCTTTGGCCTTTTGAAGCAGAACATGCAATTACTTTCCCAAGCCTCAGACATGTGAGTCAAGATGAAATCCAGTTTCTGTTTTGTGTCCAATTATTGACTGCAACTGATGAGCAGTACAGTAAGCTGGTGTACCGAGCCTTAAATTAGGAATGCTGTCGGGTCATTCTGTTGGGAGAAAAGAAATCTCGGAGGCAATCTTATCAGTCTGTCTAAACACCTGATGGCAGGGAATGAAGATGAAGGAGCCAGGCTCTTTTCAGTCATGCCCACCGGCAGGGTAAGAGGCAGTGCGCACACATTAAAGCACGTCAAATTCATCTGACCACCAGAAGAAACTTTCTTGTGGTGAGGGCTGTCAGACATTGGAATGGGGAAAACAGTGCTGTGCCACTGGTTCTGTCATTGTGATCCATGTTAACAGAGACAAGAAAATGAAAGATTTCAGCTTTCCACTCTCCTGTTAATTAAAGTGATATGCGTTGCTACTATCTCTGAAGGCGAGTTAATCCTCGTTTCTTTACCATCTTTGCATTTTTCACAATTTCCCATGAGAAAAAGCTGAAAGAACTTTCATATAAAGAAGTGAAACTTGCACATGGGAAAGGCAATTAAGTCATTACATAGTAAAACAATAAGGAAAGGTGGTTTGGCAATGGAACTGAGAAAGGGAGAGTGTAAGACTTTTTAATTTCTACTTCTTCCTCTTGTAAATAACCAAGACATGTTTCTTAAGAAAATGTAATTACTCTGCATTTCAGTTGCCTTTCCAATGAGGTAAGGAATTAATCTAAAGTATAATGAAACAATATTTTCAAATGGTTTTAAATTCTTGGAGTGAGGTCCCAGAGGTATTGTTATTGCAAAAATTAGTTCTCGTGTCATGTCATGCTTGATTGCTATTTGTTTGTTACTGGCATAACAAAAAAACATGGAGTCAGGGTGATGCTGTTGAATAATGAAGCGAAAAAGAAAATGTACTTCAAGGGAAAAGCCAGTCTTTTCTGCCTAAAATAAAAAGATGCCAGAGAACTGGTATCAAGGACGTAAATACTCAAGGGGATTTGATTTATAATGTAGTTTAGGAGGAATACAAACATATTTCTTCTGCTTTTGAATGGATGGCTAAGCAAATTTCTCAACTCACAGTTGAGGAGTTGTGCCACTTGAATAATATGTAGCACCTAATTTTTATGGGTGTCTTAAACAATTCTCAGAAATTGAGACCTATTACAGCATTTCTGTTGACCTGTAAGATGCCATGTTGTAACCTAAACAGCTTGATTGTTTCTTGTTTTGTTTTTCCCCATCTCTTTTTCTTAAGGGATGCATTTTTGGATTCCCTTCCAGAATGCATGTACTTAATAGCAGCTATGTTTATGTACACACACCTGCACATAATTACAGAGTTTAGAATTGCCAAATATGTCTCTTTTTAAAAGTCACAAAAAAGTACAGGGTTTGATCCTGTCTGGAACTAAAGAGCTGTGATAGGAGAGCTCTGGATAAGGGTGAGGCACCTACCTCACCTCCTCGCATGACTGGGGAGAAAATAGGCTGAGACAACTTGTGGGTCAAGATAAAGACATGGAGATCTCTTACCACCTGTTATCATTGACAAAACAAACTTGACTTGGGGAAATTCCTCCCAAAAACATCTTCCTTCCCCCAAACAGCACAGACATAAGAGGGTGGCCAGTAAGCAGTGTTTTCTCTCTGCTTCTCCTTCCCTTCACACTTTTCCACTGCCCTGAATTAGACTCTTCATGGACCACTGTTACTTCAGGAAATATTCACCTGCTTTGACGTGAGTCCTCCAAGGATTGCAGTGTGGGTATCTGCTCCACCACGGAGCACCTCCTCCTCCTCTTCCAACCTTGGTGGTCACTTCGCTGTTTTTTCCCTTATTTTCTTCCCCCTCCTCTCTGTTTCTTATCCTTTCTTACCCTTTCTTACGTATCTTTTCCCAGAGGTGCACTCACATTAACCCACCTACTACCATCTTGATAGCTGCATCTGATCCAGGAACTTACATCAGTAGTGTAAGAATTTACAAGGCTGTTACAAGATTCTGTAGCGCTGGCAAAATCACCAAAATCTAAACTCAAACTAGGACACGTGGCTTTTACTACATTCTAAACTTGTCTCAATATTTGCCACTTCACCCTCTCAGTCTCTGCAGGTTATAAATGGCTGTCATAACTGCAGAGCAAGGCAAGCAAAAATCAACCTTGAATAAGCTTGTCTGTTTGATTTTAATTTCCTAGGTAAATGAAAAAAATGCAGGCTGTACTGTTGAAATTACTAGCTCTTCCAGAATTTAATTACAATACTGTAAGAAGATATTTGTGCTCATTCTTTCACTTTGCGTTTATTATTAGTTGATTTTACTGTTCAGCTGCACTGCAGCACAATCCAGCTCAATCTGTTACAGAGTGATAATAGTGGTGATTAAATAAGAATAGAAATGTTTCCATCAAACAATGTGATAAAGTGGTAGCAGAAATAATAAGGTTACAGACTTGAAGATTACATCTTTTATGCATATAAGCCAGTATCAGTCTCAGGCAAACAGACTGAGAGCAGGAACGTCTGAGAATTCTCATAGAAACACTCATCCATGCACATTAGATCTTCATAAACCCTTGCTAAAATTGTCATATATCCTGAAATATGTCTTTTACACACTAATTACCTATTTGTCCCTATGCATGTTCCTTTTTTCCCCTCCTTTTCCTTTTTTCCCCTCCTTTTCCTTTTTTCCCCTCCTTTTCCTTTTTTCCCCTCCTTCTCTTTTATTTCTTTTTTTTCTTTACTTTTATTTCTGATAGTTACCACATTGAGAGTTGAATCTTAAGGTTATGAACAATTTTTGTCTTAAAGGTCTACTTTGGTATATATTTTCATAGTTGAGATGTAGAATATGCATTTGTATTAGTTTTGCAGGTTTATGCAATTGAACCATAGAATTAGCATAATACAATGCCAACAAACAAATATCAGAAAATAATTGGATCTGCAGTTAAGGAAAAGGATCTGATTTGAGTTCATGGGAGCATTTTAAAAAGTGCAGCCAATATGTGAGCAGCTCTGTCCCTCCAAGAGAACTTGTTATACCATACCACCATATAAAGAGTGAGACACAATCTTTATCTTTGTGTGCATAGATCTCTATTTTATGTCAAGGCAATTGACACTGGTACTTAATAGTCAGAAAGACCATGTACGCTCAAGATATTTACAAGATTTTTTATTCCTGACAGCAAGGACAAGATTATCAGTACAAGCACTTTTGAAAATTATTTTCTCAACCTGGAATCTTACCTCTAAAGTGAGTGTTTCTCTTACGCAGGTAGAAATGAAAAGATCAAGGCCTTTCAGTTTCACTGTTCAGTAGTAGTCTGCTTGTAAATTAAGGTTAAAGAAAGTGGAGGAAAGACAGGGAGAACTCAGAGAGGCACTTTGGCAGCTACAACAAGATCCAACAGAAGCTCTGCAGTGGCAAGTCTATCATCATTAAGGTACTATGTTCAGACTTCTCAGGGAAATACCCTATCCACTAAAACCAGGGGAATTGAACATTCTATCCTTATGATGATAGATGAGCCACCAGTGTGATGCTAGGAGGGAAGGACAGGACTTGATGTGCTGCAGTGCTTTATGGTTCCAGAATTTTATGATTCCAGGACTGTACGTTCCCAATGCATCTTTACTAGCAAGGAAGTTTGGACCAGTTACCTGTGCTTAGTGTGAGCGGTTCAGTGTAGAGAGCTAATTGCTGGAGCACTAGTTCCACAGGAATGACAGCCTGGTCAATGACCCCATTGTTCCATGGCCCCAACACTCCAAACAAACTTGCTTTAAGCACATGTGCAGTGTCCATCACTCTCCCAAGAGTGGGTGCAAGGCACTGCACCAAAGAAGACCAATTATGCACACTAAAGGAGTAGAGTTATTTAGAATTATAGAATCATTGAATCATTAAGGTTGGAAAAGACCTCTAAGATCATCTAGTCTACCTGACAACCCATCACCACCATGCCCACTAAGCCACATCCCTCAGTGCCACATCTACATGTTTCTTGAACACCTCCAGGGACAGTGACTCCACCACCTTCCTGGGCAACCTGTTCTAGTACCTCACCACTCTTTCTGAAAAGAACAATTCCTAATTTCCAGCCTGAACTTCTCCAGGCACAACTTGAGGCTGTTCTCTCTTGTCCTCACTAGTTATCCGTGAGAGTAGGCCAACCCCCCACTTCACCACAGCCTCCTTTCAGAAGATTGTTGAGAGCGATAAGGTCTCCCCTGCACCTCCTTTTCTCCAGAAAAGAGCGTACTCTGTGTGTCCAGAAATGTGCAAGTGCTGTGAAGCCAAGGAGAGCATTTCTGAGCCTCATCATAAAAATACTTCAGGGTTTCCAGTCAGTCTCTAAATAATATTTCTACTTTTAAACTGTGCAGGGACAGGTTAATAAGCAAATAGTGCAGAAAATAGAATGTGGCATTCAGAACTCCTTCCTTTAGCTCAGTGCCTTAGGCACTGCATTTAAAAAGTCATTCAGATTTGCTCTTTCTCAAAGCCAGTGGCTCTTTAAATATTTCATGTGCAGCAGAAAAGCTTTGACAAGAAAGATTAAAAATGTTGTACCTTAAAATAGTGTATAGTATGATGATTGTACATTTTCTTGAATGAGGAAAGTACCACAGGAGAGATTAGCACTGAACTCTGAGAGCCTAAAGGCATATTTATATGGCTCAGTGCAGTGTTCTTTCCTTTGAACATGATAACTGAATTGAAGCTCACAGCCATTTTATTGTGATCCTTTGTGAAGAATAATAAGCATTGCAAAGAATGGTAAAATTAAAAATGCAATAGTGACTTGAGTTTTTCCTGTTGATTCTTTGTTCGTTATTCTACCTTTAGTAAAAACAGTTAAGTACATTGTAAGTTGAATTGACTGTTTGCTTGCATGTGTTCTATAGGAGTTTAAACTCCTGATTTAGGCTTACAAATTATACCACAGAATTCAAAGTTTGGTGTTACAGTAGCCATTTTAAAAGTATTATGGTCCCTTTAATCAACAACAGGACCATCAGAAAGTACTTAAAACATAAGCTTGGGTCTCTGTCAAAAATCAGCCTTCCCTAATCTTAGATTAGTGTGTTCCCTGTCAGCCACTCAGTCTGTTTCTTGGAATTGAGTTTATGGCTCTTCAAGTCTGAGTTTAAAAAAAAAAAAAAAAAAAAAAGAAGTCTGTGGAAAAAACCTCCAAATCTGAGGGCTTCTTGTTTCTCTTGATTTCATTTTCTTGTAATATCAGTGTTAATAAAATGTTGTGTTTGAGTGCAGAATGAAAAGAACAATGACAGAACTATAGAGGATATGATTCATTGTCTTTGTGTAAACAAGAGGTCTGCAGTCAAACATTCCAACTTCTGCTAGCACGTGAGAGGGAAGTGTGACAGCTCTTGTGACACTGTCTTTCATCAGCAACACAGCTGTCACAATTAATTCTCACACCAATTCTTTGCTCTTGCTCAGAGAGACAGTGTTCAATTTATTAAACTCTGAAGCAGGTTTTTGTGTGTGAAAATACAGCACAGGATACATTGTAATAAGTTGAATATTCAAAATAAGTTATTAGTCACAATCGTGCTGGGCAGATCTGATATCTGTCATATCAGATTTAACACGTTCAGATGAAAAAGTAATATGTTAGTCACCTTTTATACTACAAATGCCTATTATTTCTACTTGGGAAATTGTAAACACTGAACCGTGTTCTGCCAGCTCCACTTAGAATGAAAGCAATAGTTAATGCTACTGAGATATGTTTTGCTCTTCTTGCATGCTTTCTAGAAATGATTACTTTCTATCATCTTATTATCCATTTTCTTAAGAAATACGCAAATGAAGCATAAGATTTACCAAAAAATTGTTGGGTGTAAGGCCAGAATAGTGAAATAAATCTGCATAGTTCTGCCAGTACTGTTATGGATCTAAATTTAATGATCACACCCCCCAACTGCAGTTCTGCTGCCAGCAGTTGTTCCCTGAACTTTCTGCAGGGCCAAACTACTAGAGTTGTACCGGACATGGGGTGGATTTGAATTGCTCACATTACAGAGAAAATGATGTTCAGCATGTTTGCAAACTCATATACAGGATTACTGGTCAACAATCTTTTCTTAAGTGTTTTCCAAGGAAATTCTTCGCAATGGTTTGTCACAGATTTTGTCACAGATTTTCCTTCCACTACTCTCACTGGTTTCACCTCTGTAGGCTGCTCTCTGTGCTCTTCCAGAGACCTGCCATCTACTTAACAGACCAGGTGGGCATGATAGATTTATCAAAGAGTGGTCCTTCCCCTCCAGAACTCAAGAGCTGTGTGTTAAATAGCCTGCTAGGAAACGTTTCACCGAGTTCTTTTGATGCACATCTCATTTACAGGTGGAAAAAACTACCTACAATGTTCATTTTTAATTTGCAGTCTAACAGCACACATTTTTCTTCAGGTCAGACCCAGAAATATCTGTAATTTTAGCAGTAACAGCTAGAACAATGGAATCTCCTGATTGATGATCATCATACAGACTGAATGATAAATTCTTACCCGAAACTTTTTTTTCCCCTGTAGTTCTCTAAGTGGTAAATTTGTTCAGTGAATGTGAAAACTTCCTCTTTTTTTATTCCTTCTTTCTAAAATACATCAGCAAGTTGAGCAATTTTGATCAGAAATCTTGTTAACCAAGGAAATTCTGAATTACTGCTTGAAATTTTGCTACAGAAGTCTGTTCAAGAGTGTACAAATATATGGTGAGCACTTAAACAAACGTCATGAGTAAATACAATTCTCAGCGTAGCAGCAATTCTATACTTTTTTCAATGATTTCATTTTTAAAATGAAAAAAAGTTCAAATGTAGCAATTATAAAGATTGATGTTAAAGGAGGAAAGTCAGAAAAGTGTCCATCGGTTGACATCTATCTAGGGGGAAAAAAGTCAGCAAAACAAACCAGAAAAGTTATTTTGAGAGCAGTTTCTGTTCACAACAGAAACTTTCGCATTCAGTGAAACAGTGACTAGGTGAAGTTCTGTTATTTGCAGCATTCAGGGCATTGAACTAGATTGTTGCAGCTCAAGGTTCATGCATTTAGATATTGATATTCCTGTGCTAAGCTGAATTTTATCTTTGGAATTAGCATAACACAAGTTGTTCAGCTGCGCAAAGGAACATAGCAATTTATTTTGCTTAGCACTAGAAAACCATGAAGACATCTTTCAGTGGCACTTTTTGCATCTGATAATGAGACATTTTTTAAAGTACTGAAGCAGAAAATAATAGCTGCTGGTGCGTATTGAAAATATGGAACTCTGGAGCCAGTGTTCTACCTCTTCCTCTGGACCTCGGTGGAATTAAAGTCCCAGGGATTCCTTCTGTCCCGCTTCCACAGATGGCAGCTTGTCAGTACCATGCTGCAGGTTACATTAATAGTGTAATCTAAAGTGATGCCCATATCTATTGAGCCTGAGCTAACTGATAAATGCTATACATTGAAGTCCTGCCTTTGGTTGTTTTTATTGCCTGAGTTCTTGCCTCAGAGATGTTCTGTGCCTATATCCTTGTCAATTGCTGTGGCTCCTTTTGTGAAAGTTTGGGATGAAAAAAAAATATGTAAAGTGATCTTTGATAGCATTAAGTAAGCAGAGAAAATTACTTGATAAAAAGTGAATACTTTTTTGGGGCTGTCATGTTCCTTAACTTTTGACTAATGTTTTTGCAGAAGTATTAGTATAGCTGAGCTTGACATTTGGAAAGAGCACGATATTTCTAGGCTACCTGATCTCCTCAGTGCTAAAGTTCACAGGAAATTAATAGTTGGATGTGCAACAAATCATTATTTTGTGTGAGCATTTTTTGCCTCTAAGCACAATGGGTATATGAATGGAAATTGGTATTCTTGGAAGCAGGTTACGTGAGCCAGAAGTTTTGGCTGTTTCTTTTTGCCATTAAATGAGAAATATTTTCTGCTCAATAAATAAACATTTCTTCTGTCAAATCATAAATTCAATTTTGTATTAAATAGCTGATTTCCTGATATTTTTATTAACGGTTGTTTTATTTTTTATTTTTGCTGAGGTACCTTTAATTTTAAATGAATTATCAAAAAATTCTCAAAACAAACAAAAGAACCAGAAATCTTTCTTTTCAGTACACTGTCGAGGATATATTTAAGGTTTTAATCCTACCAGAGGAGCCCTCTGTCTCTGCATCAGAGGCTTTACAAGAATCATTATTGACATTTTGAAGTTTCAGCTGGGGAGTTCAGTTTATTTGCTTGGTTTTATTGATAACAGAGCTGATGATGACACTGTCAACAGAATTGACACTAGGGCAGTTATTGCAAGTAAATTTGTGTTTATTATCATGTATAACTTTGATCTGTAAATATTATGAGAATATAACAGTTGAACACTTCTGTACAATGTATCAAGATGAATGCTACCCATAATCTTAAGCCTTCATAATTCTACCCATTTATAGTATTAAATACACTAAAGCTGTACTTGTTTTATTTTTTTCAACTTACTGCACTTAGCAATGTAGCAAGAAAGCATCAGCTTCACTGTTGTGGATCCTGAAATCATCTGGAATAATTGCAAACCGTCCTTGGCCACGGATCACTCTCACATTGACAACAACTGCTATAATATTAACTATGGCTGTGTTCAACATGGTAAGTGAAAAAGGGGTGATTTTTGGTTTTTGTTTAAGATCTTTTTGCTTGTTTATAATTTGTTTAGATAATATTTCAGATTTATCTCTCATGGCTATCCTGGATGAAAATGATTGCCAGACAGAAATATAAAGCAGAGCAACAGAAAACATGCTGTACAACAAGTACTTCGTTCAGTGCACAAGATGCTCACCAAGAGGTTCAGATAGTGTTTCTTATTAAAGAAAAAAAATGTAATTTATAAGCAATAGAAGATAGTTTGTATTGTTCATCTCTTACTCCTCTGTGCATTGATTTGAAAAGCAGAGTAGTGCTCAAAGAGAGCAGTATCTTCTCATGGGATGTGTGGAAGACTTGTGCAAAGGCAGCTGAGTTTTTTTCTTGTGATGCTCCTCTTATGATCACTAAATGATCATAATTTATATATTATTGATTTTCATGTGCTTGTCTTTTTTTTATTTGAAAAAGGACAAAAATGAAAGTTACATCAATAACTTCAAAGGTACTGATCTAGAATTTTGCTAGAACTTAAGAACTTACCTGTAATTTAGGCTTTTCAACTTGTGCACTTTTCATAATTGAGAAAATCCAAGTAATTCTACTATTCTTTCATAACTGTGGCAAATAAGAAGTAAATCTGCCATTACTCTGCATAAAGCTGGAATCTTAATAACCTCAATTATAATGAAGTATGTGTGAAATGAACAGTGTATGGGATCAAAAAGTGTTACTTGTTTTGCCCCATGGGCTGAGCCTACTGTTCATAAAAAATCGGGAATTTATTCCAGATCAGTTTTGCATTTGAAAAATGGGGACTGTAGTATTTATTCAAGTGCTGCTTACAAACATCACTGCATAGGTATTACTCACTTTTCAGATCAATGAGATTTGCACTTCAGCGCTTTTGAAATTACAACTCCAGCACTTTGTTGAGTTGCTGATGTTCTTGAGGTTCATAAGGAACTTAGAGATTGATAACCTACTCTTTATGTATTTTTTCTCATAACATTGCAGGGGGCACTAAGGAAGAACTAAATCCATCAGAGTGAAGTAATGATGTAATGTGGTCTTTTAAGTGTGAAAGTTCGACATATCTGTTAAATTCTTATCTCGTTTTTTTTTCAATGTTCTTGTTTTTGTTGGTTTTCTTTTCAATAGGTATTTTCCTTTCTTAGAGAGGAGACAGATTCAAAAACAATTCCATGTTTAGGAATTTAAAATGCAGCTAATTTAATTTCATATTTATTTTTTTGTAGAGAAATACACAAAGAAGCAGTGACTGAAGCACTTTTTAGCAATGAAGGCAGTTAGCAATGGGAAAAATGGTTCTGAAAAGTTACTGATTTGCTATCACTTCTTGTCCTCAGCTCAGGACTATATATCTTTATCAACAATAAAATTTATCCAAGCAAATGTTAATGGGCATAACACATAGTGTGGCTTGTAGAATGGAAGTCATGTTAGATTGTTCCTCCTGTTTTGAACTAAATGAGATAAATGAGTAGAAAGAAATTAGATAACCCACTTGAGTGCAAAGAATAGTTTGTGCTGGAGGTTGTGCAACATATGAGGTTTTTTTCAGTTAGTGTAAAAGAAGATAGAGTCAGCAACTGTCTTTAGGCTAAAGTTCTACTGCTGTGAGTAGTCCACATAAAATTTGGCATTCAACTAGTAGAAGACATTTTTAGCAAAAAAAAACCCCAGTTGTTCACTACATCATTTTTAGAAAAAAGAAAAGCTCTTAATTTAATTGGTTCAGGTCCATTTTTATGTGGACTGGATGTTACAAAGCGTAGTATGCTGCATTTTGAAGTCTTTGTGCCTTATCAGTAATGACTGCACTATTACAAATAATCATGTCCTATGGTATTCATGAGATGATAATTTTAAGTACAATTCCCATCTTGAAACTAAACCTTAATAGTTTGACTATTGAAAAATGATTTTAAATGTGATTGTGAAATTTGCATTTCCTCAATATTAATAGCAAATTGTGGGAGAGACTCTGAAGTATCATTATTATATCTCCAAGCAACATGTACTTAATAGCAGAGTCGATTAACTGCATTTATTTCCATGAACTCTTTCAGTAGAAAAAGGCAAAATGTAGCCATTAAGATTTAATGGACATAAAAAGTGTCTAACCATCCCACACCTGATAAATCATGATTAAGACCAAAATGTCAAATAAAGCTCAGTCTTTGTGGTCAAGGGGGATGAGAATGGAGTAAGGGTGCAGTTTTATTTTAAATGAGTAGTTTCAGAAGACATCTGAATCTAGTCTTAATGTTTGAGAGGTATATAGTCATGATTAGTGAAGTTAAAAACAACTAATGTGACGTGAAATATCAAGTACCTCTTAGCTGAAGGAGAATGTGACTAATGCTGCTTCCACTGAGTGTTAAATTTGAGGCCATGAAGAGAGTAGTGGCTGAAGAAGACTTTTTTTGCAGTGTTGATCTGCATTCTGATACATGAGAAAATGTATTACAGGGAACGATCCAGACAGTAGGACTTTGTGACTGCAGTGGGTCAATTTGTGGAAGCTGTATATGTGGTTGTCTGTGGTGATGAGGCAAATGGCTGTGCCTCATCACCCTCTTGCATTCATGTGATCTGAGGGAGCATGGATTGGTGAAAGAGCCAATGAAAGAGCATTTTTTTTCAGTGACTTTGCATCGGATGTATGAATAATTCTTGGCAGAGCAACGGTATCACAGAGCTGTACTGTCCAGAGAAGGTGCCCTAACTAGCAGCTTAAAATTTATGAAGTTATTTGCTTTTCTGTCTTTCATCTAGTAAATTTTGAAGTACTAGAGTATTTTCTCAGGGGGAAAAAAAAAATAAAAAATTAAAAAAAAAAATAAGGTGATGTCTGACACGTTTGATGTCTTTGCTCCTTTGTTTAATGTACCTCAGTGAGTACACCAGCAAGCATTGGCTTTGTGGTTTTTCTACTGGTGGCTGATATCCAGTGTTGTAACAGTGATAAGTTCTTGAGGAAACTTGTTTCCATTTTCACATTAGAAATTTACTTTCTTGAGTATACTTTCCTTTGAAAGTAGCTAACTCTGTTCATAGAGCTGCTGACCTTGCTCAGTGCTTTATTTTAAACAAGCAAGCTCTTCTGAAAGATGTATTCTAATTATATATCCCTACAGTGCCTAGCACATTAAATACCCTATTTTGGAGACTGCCTAATGTATTTATTTAAAAAAGAATAAACTGACACTGCCTGGAGCTTGACCTAGCCTTGGAGCTGGGAGGAGGAAAGGTAATGCCCAGCTAGAGTCATCTCATTGAAGCTTTACATGCAGGGCACCATCACAAATACATTCTACATTATAGACAGAATTTAAGAAACTAAGCAATGCTGTCACAAATTCTGCTCACAGTCCAGCACAGAGCTGATAGAAGTGAACATCACTCCACACCTGTCAAAGCCCAGATGGTATATGAGTGTAAAGGCCCAGCAGGTTCCTTGTCTCTCCATGGGCCCTTTGAAGAAGGCGGTTGCTTGCTAGTACCTCTGTAGGATGGCTGGGCCTTGAACACAGAAATACATGTATAGATATGCATTTTTACCTGGCTTATCAGCTTCTATAACAAATGAAATGGAATTATTGAACAACTTGATTAAATACTTAGCATTCTAGTACTTAGCCCATGTAGGCACTTCTGAAAGTTTGTGAAAATGAGGAATGCTACTAGGATTTGGGATTTTTCCTATTGCTCTTGTGCCATTCACACCATGTCAGCCAAACTGGTGTTCTTCAAATGAAACTGTGATAGATTTTGAGAAGAAAGTTCTCTTGAACCACATGGGTATTTGGAAAGCTGATAGAAAAATAAGGAATGAACAAGAGAAGTCCTGCAGGTTTGCCTTAGAGCTTCATGCAAAAGAGCAGTGCTGGACAAAAGCAACATTGCTTCATTCGTACTTTAAGAAAAAAGCAAATCCTCTAGTTCCATTGGTAATACCAGACTTGCATGCTTCCAACATACTTTAAAAGTCTACTCTTCTAAATCTGTCTTTTGTAGGGCATAAAATGTACTTCATTTACAACAGTCTAAAAAAAAAAAAAAAAAAAGCTGTAGACCACTGTGTCTCAAAGAAATGGCATAGTTCTTATGAAAACTACTCTAAAGTGGAGTTGCATGTTCATATGAAGCAAGGACGTATGGAGAGAGAGAGAGAGAGAAAGTGACAAAAGTATTTCTTTGGATTTTTCTTTATAGTCTTCACAAGTCCATCTCCAGGGTAATTTTGTTTAAGGAAAAGAAGACAGTGATGGGATCAAATTAAACTTCAGCTGTAAATTTAGATGTGTTGCCAGACCTTTCTTTTCACTGCATATGTATTTCAATTCATTAAGCACATCTCTGCCTTGGAGCAGCTACTTTACGTGCAGCTTACCTCTGTGGTATGAGGTTTCTTGCTGATGCACAAAGGCATACTTCCTAAGTTTCCGATTTGCACAGAAAATGATCATAGCATTGCCCTTACAGGTGGATGCTGTAAGACATCATGCTGCCCCAGGTCAGTGACCACAGTTGAACTATCCCTGGCAGATAGTCAGATCAATTAATTTTGCATCTTTTTCACCCTGTGATTCAGTAGGTCAGTGGAGGAGTACTTCCCACCTCTGTTCCTCCTTCCCACCTCTCATGGAGCCAAGCTGTTCACATACTACCTAATAAAAATTTTACACATCTTTTTTTTTATTCCATAATTCAGTGTGCATTTTGATAAGTGAATTTTAATATTAAATCCTGCCATCTTTCCTTCTTCTTAGTAGGAAGCTATTTTATGTACATTAATATGAAAATCAGTAAACCCACTTGCTTAGTAAAGTGAGATATACCCATTCATCTTGATTGTGTTTACAGTCCATTAGAACAGCAAGACAGGAAGCCTTGCTGCTGGTGAATTGTGCAAAAGTGTTTAAAGTACTTTGGTGAGAAAGTTGACTTTGTTAGTAAGATCCAAACAAATATGTTACGGTCTTGTGCAGATTCCTGGTCTGGTAATAAGAGAGATGCATTAACGTGCTTATCCCATGTTGTCAAGGGAGGATCTTTCACCATTTGGTTCCTACTGAAAGACATAGCACCACAGCAGGTATTTTCATCATGTGAGATAAAAAAAATTCATGGTGGAAGATTGCAGATTATACAAACACAAGAGAAGAAAAAGCTGCTAGAATATATGAAGATAAAATGAGATTTTAATGGTAGTGTACTCAGATGTTCCCTGGCAAACATTGGTATTCATAAAAAATATTGCTTCCATTTGAGTCATTTGAGTAGGTGTGACTGCTTAGTAGGACTGAGCTGTCTCTTAAAATACTATGTTGAAGAACAATATATATCTCCAAAGTGTGATAGCAGATGTAGGTAACTGATAAGAGACAAGAAAGACAAGTACAAACACATCATTCAGAAATAAGTGTTGTTTGGCTCATGGGAGATGGCAACATTTCCATATTCTTTTTATTCCTTTCTATGCTTATTTATGCATTCATAGATGCACCACATTTCATATAGCTTTCTGTATATACATTTACACGTCTGAAGTACCCCATACAAAGTTCAAAAACAAAATGAAAATGCCTTAATAGAAATGAATATGTGCATATATATGTCTGTATATAAACTTACACACATTTATGTATAGGATTGTGCTGCAGATCTTCATGATACATGATCTTTTAGTCTGTGGGCATGCCTGGGATAAGATTCTGAAATTAAATGTAATTATTTCATGTTTGTAAGAAAAGTCAGTGCACTGTGAGCAGGATTCACTGTGCACCCTTGGCAAATGACCTGAGTGACAACACTTATGAAGATGGGGATGTTAATGCAAATAATTGGAGGCAGGCAGGGGGATTACATTTTTAAAGTGTTTTGGAGGACCCTTGCTTCAAACTGCTCGTGTTGAAGAGAAATACAGGCATCGGCTGAGTTAAATAGTAACCACAGGGCTTCAGAAAGAATTTTAAACCAAATGAATTAGGAAGAAGTTTATGAGAAGTATGAGTATTTGTAACAGGAAGACCTTCTTGTGGAAACAGTGACAGTCAAAATCTTGTTTGATAGTGCCATTAGTCACACCTCTGACCCACACCTCGGGTTTTTCTGCACACATGAACTCGTGGGGTACTTTCTTACCAATATCAGCATCAAAAGATTGTGCAGAGAACCTTAACATTGAGCTGTTGCACCTACATCTCTTTGCAGGAGGGGTGTGGAGGTTGGTTCCCCTTCTCCCAGAAGAGCATGTATACATTTAACCTAGTCATTCTGTTAATAGGGGTAGATGTATGTATAACTTAGAGCTCTTTGGGCTGAGTTCTAGAAGGGCAATTCAAAATGTATAGATGTTTATTAGCATTTTGTAGGGGCTTTTATTGTGCTTTATTTGTTATACTACTGATATTGCACCTGAAGGAATGCTGGCTAATTAGCTACATGTAAACAGAGAAGCATGCTAGTGGAGGAAGACAACCTGAAAATGCAAATGTACAAAGGAAGGTGAGCCCATTCTGTGTGTAACTCTGGGGGGTGTGACACTGTCTTGTAAAGCAGTCTTCATAGCACATGGTACAGCAGTCTCCTTTGTTGCAGTTAGTCCTGCATCTGTGGAAAGGCAGTTTCAGACATAATGGTTTCAAGCTCTTCTCAGCAGCACCATGAAACAAATCAAGGAGTGCTGACCACAGGTGCTGCCTTGCACCTTGATAGTCTTTAAAAAAGAAAAAGTCACTATGCATGTAGTACAGAGCTGGCATATCTTGCCAAGGGTGACTGTGGAGTCAGCTTGGAATCTGTCAAGACTTGGCTATATAGAGCAGTGACTGATCAGATCTAGTGTTAGTAAATCAATAAACCACTTAGATCAAAAATGGATTAATCTGAGTAAACTGAGCAACTTTTTTCCGTCTGCTGTGGATTTTCATACACAGTGAATGAGAGTGTGAAATTTGTTGATAGAATAAAAGTGTCAGGCAAGGTCTGTGCAGGAAGGTCAGAGATTTTAGAAAGGAAGAAGTCAGCTAGAGAAAAAAGGAACTAAGATGGGATTTATTACTACAGAGTGCAAGATTATGGTTGGTCCAACAGACTCATAACAAGAAGACCTGATAAGCTGGGAGCTCATCAAATGAGGATGAATTAAGTTCAGGATTTTGGTTAGTTACCTGAGTTTAATGAGAACTCAACTGAATCTCAGTAAGCATTCATGGGACTGCTCTTGTCTCAGGGCAAATTGAATTTATCCAAATGTGTCCCAGTGGAGGAATATTATCTCTTGCTGATTATAATTATAGTGTCTTTTATTACATCAATGTAGCTGTAAGCAAGAGAGTTGTTGCTGTGATGTACAAAAACATAATTCCTGCAGAATTAGTATTAATGTTATTGCAGTACTCAGTCAAAATCTGGAAGAGTGATTTCAATTTTGGTCATCTAAAAGGTTGAACTGAAAGAGGTATGTACAGAGGGAGACTGCTAGAAGGGTCAGGGGAATTAAGAACACATTTTCTCAGAAGAAACTGGAGAAGCTTTAGGAAAAGCATAGATTTCTGAGCATCATGAAGGCTGAGATAAGAGAGCTATCTGGAAGCTGAAGATTAGTACCAGAACAAAAAAGTGGGAATTGGCTTTGAATGAACAGAAGCTGATAAACTTAGAAGCACTGAAATAAATGTTGTCAGAGAAATCTAACTCAGAGCACACTTCAAGAATACATCAAACATTACTGTCTGATGGTAGTTACCCTTCACTTCAGCAGGCTGAACATGGTACTCTAGGAGATACTGATTCAGCCCTTCTCTTGCAATAATATGATTACTATTATTATTATTATATAATATATAATAATATTATATTATCCTATTCATGATTACTATGAAAAGGATTACACTTCAGTAAATCAACTTTAGTAAAGACTTCTTTTTTTAACTCTTCCTATATTTAAACAGGAGATTCAGTTGAGGTAAAACAGAATTATTCATTTTGAATTTATGTTATCATTGTCTCTCTTGTGTATGAGCTTCTGATACCTGAAGGTAGCACAACAAAGAACCTTTTGTTTTTTCATTCAAATGTGCCTTATGGAGATTAGCAAATTCGTTGTCTGAAGCATTCAGGATCCAAGTAATCAAAGTGATGTCATTCTGCCTTTGCTATTTCAGTTTGCAGTGAAATACCAAAGTTAAATGATTATTGGCAAGGCTTTCTCCACTTCTCCATTTCCCTTTTCTATTTTGACCTTATATTGCTGACAAGCTAATGGATTACATGTTGTTTTTCTCTAGTTTTTCCCGGATAATGCTGTGACAGCTTTTCCCCCAGTTCTTAATTCATCAAATGCAAGTTTTCCTAATTTGAGTAATCAGACACGGTGGTGTATACAAAACAACTGTTTTTTCCTACCGGTAAGTTGATTTACATTTATTTGTTTGTTTAGAATCATTTCTCTAAGTAGAATTTCTATGGATCTCTTGGAAGTTAAAGACCAACTAGGTTTTTAAGACTGCTTTGAAAGCTTCTTTATTTTCAGTCACCTGCAACTGCCTCTGAAGGAAGTAGGTTGTAGAGGAGTTTAGTAGTTCTAAATATTGAGGTTATAGTGAATGTCAAATGAAAAATCAGGTAGTAGCCTGATAAGAGCCATAGATCATCCATCCTTAGAAGTAGGCATTATGAGGTGTCAGGAGAAGACAGTGACCATGGAGGCTGCAGTGAGCACAGTGTAAGGGGCTGTCAGTGAGGGAGCAATGTTGGTTGGCCCATAGATGTATTTTGCAAGGACCAGTGCTAAGCTTAAACATACTCACCATTTTCTTTCTTCACCCGGCAGTAAAATTGAAATCTGTAGTTCTAAACTTGTACCATTATTGCATCATGGAAGGGGGAAATATAGCACTCATATATCACCACATAAACTGTGTAAAAAAGATCTGAAGCCGGTTTGAATAAGATGTCTTAGTGTGAACAAAAGCACACTGGCATGTGAAAAGGGAGAAGAACATTCCTACAAAAATGGGATCTGTATCCCACAGAGAATGATTTTTAGAGAGCTTAGGAAAGATCTGCATCCGAACATAACAAGCTGCATTTTGTGCCAAAGTAGATCAGCAGTGCTTGAATGAAAAAGCAGGAAGCAGCAAGAGAAGGGAGAATATTTTGTCTCTATGCAGAATTGATGACACCAGTAACAGAGTAGTATGTGCTGATTTCCACATAATTATGGGATCCTAGAAGCATGGAATGGCTTGGGTTGGAAGGAGCCTAAAAAAGCACCTAATTCCAGTGTCCTGCTCTGGGCAAGGACACCTGGAGATGGTTACATAAATGACTATCAAACTGAACAGTCCCATGCACACCCAAAAGCAGGATGTTAATTTTGTATAGAACTCTTCTGTAAAAAACAATTATGCTGACTGTAGCACATGCAAACTTTCAGCATCTCCTTGACAAAGCAACAGTAGGACATGAGTTTCTTTTCATTTTCAAGTTTACTTAACTTAATTTGGTACTGACAGGTGCCTCTTTTGGCCCCAATGTGAAGTTGTCCTTGTAGTCATAGAAATGAAGCAATCCTTCTCCCAGCATCCACACAATACTTGCTCACAAGCACATAGAAATTAATTGTTTCCAAGCATATTCATATTTGTGTTGATTTTTTTTAATAATAACAGTGGATTTTCTAGTTCTTTTTTTTTTTTTTTTTTTTTTTTTTTTTTCTTTTTTTACTTATTACTGTTTTAACGTTCTTGGAAAACATTTTTTTACAATGAAGCTCTCCAACAAGCATCTGAATGGTACGTTTTTCATGAACTATATTTATTATTACATTCAATTTCTTTTTCTTAAAAAAAAAGAAAAGTGTATTTCTCCTGTGTTTTACCTTGTATAACTGTCAGCTCTTCCAACAGTGACCAACACATTCAGAACAACTGATGCTTCATAAGTTTGAAAATATGAAAATGCATACTTTCATCAGAGAAACTTTGATAAATTGGCACAACAATTATGTTAAAATGTCACTGCTGGTAAAAATCATGTAAAGTTTAGATTGGCTGAAGTATTTAAATACTTTTTCCCTCATTTTCTTTATTAAGCAGTTCTGAAATGTGCATTATTTTCATCTTAAGACACACCTCCTAGACTTTCTAGCTTCAAAAAGCTGAAAATTCCTTTTGGGTTACTATTTGTTATCCTTATGAAGTTTTCTAAAAAACTGAAAATAGAATTATCTCTTTCTTGAATGAGATATTGAACCGTTGATAAATGCTTGCTTTCTTAAATTGCATATCAATCCTTTTTTATCTGCTTTACCTTTAAGCACTTCTTCCTGTGATTTATAGCATTGGAGCTGACAGATCTATTGATGACATAATCTAAAATGAATGAATAAGAGATTTTTAAATTATTTTAGCCCCACTAGCATTTAGTTCATCTGGAAGCATATTGATTGATTCTCTCCCTGCTCCACACCATAAAATAACTGTTCTGATTTGTATTCTTTGTTTTTGTGCTCTTTTTTGAAGACTTACCAAAGATTAAACAGTAAGTTACAGGAACTTTGCTCATGGTTTTATTTAGTTTTGCTGTGAATCTTCATTAGCTTCTATATAATAGAAGCATCAGGCAGAGGTCCAGTCAAGGATGGTGCAGATCCCATATGTGGAGAAGTTATCCTGCATCTTCTTTTGAGCTCTTACAGGATTTTCTTAAAATCTTTCTATTTATCATTTCTGCTGTCAGACAAAACGTTCACACAAGCACTTGATGCTGCTCAGTTAGATAAAGGAAAGGATGTGCAAGTGGCATCATCACTAGCTGAGGCTTCCGTATGGCCAGGAGACACTCAGAGCATGGCATACACCTGCCTTGATGGGGTGGGTGGTTACCTGAGTTGCTAATTCCTCATTTTACCATCATTGTCTGCAAAAGCTCACTACAGAGGTTTGATATCATAGCAACTCTGTTGCATTAGTATCTCTGTAGTGTCCTTGTTCACTAGGTCAGTCATACAGAGGTGCAGGATGAGCATACCTAAAGTTGGCGTGTTTGTTAAGAAATGAGTCCTGTACACTAAAATTATTAATTTTTCCCAGCTGTGCACTAATTCCTCTCCAGATTCATTTCATCAGCTGAGAGAAGACCCTTGGCCAGCCATGACAGCCAAAACAGGCTGCCATTTGTCAGTTGCCTTCCAATTTACGTGCTGTGACAAAGATCAGTGCTTTCATGCTACACATACCACAGCAACTTCACTAGTCCTGCTTTTCTGAATGGTTAATTTGACTGTTTCTTCACTGAATTTGTACTGTTTTCAAACTTTTTATTTTTAACAGAGGATTCAGGCAACACAGCTTTAAATAACTACTAAAACTTCCAAGTTTATTTTTATTAAAAAGGGGAAAATTCAGTTGATATGACAGATACTTAAACATTCATTTGCAGAATTGGGCACTTAGAAGCAACAGTTTTGAGTATATGTTGTACGATTGAAAAAAGATGAATTGAAGGTAGCATTTTTAAAAAGGCATCATAAGCCAATGTGGCCATTTGAGTAGAATTTCCCCTGGTGTCTTTGCCAGAGCTGTATGGTGCTTACTAGAGTTTGCATTGCAATATGCAGTATCATTTATCATTGTGAAATTATGTCTGTGCCACTGTTCTATCAACAATCCACCCACCTCTGAAGTCTTAGCCAGTGTTTTCAATCTGGTTATACATTCCTGTGGAGCACTAACAGGAACTTTATTATGCTTGGAAGTTTCTTGGTTTTTGCTTGGTACATTTGTGGATTTGAGACAGCCTTTTGTTTGCTGTAAAACTAATTTCACAGATAGAATGCCCTCAGGATTAGAAAAATGGCTACTGCTACTTTTATAAAACACTGAATTCTGAAAATACTGTGTGAGCTCTTGAGGGATGCAGCCAGCAGAGAAATCTGTTTTGTTTTGTTTTTTATCCTGAACAGCAGTTCTTTGTATTTCTTATTTCAAACAGATCTGCAAGGAAATTACAATAACAGCAAAGATTTAGATGGCAGATCAATTCTATCTGATGAGTGCCATGAAAGTTATTATTCTTAATGATCCTTCAGAATTAGTATACAGTGATTCAGGTTCTGTCAAAAGTACTGTTATCAACAGAAGTCTGAAAATCAAATAGCATATCTAGAAATAGAATGCTTTGTAGCTTAAGAAAACATAGTATCTTTACAGGGTATCATTTTCGGGAATGATATTTGGCAAAGGTTCTGTATGTTAACAACTAAGAAAATGATTCTAATGGGAATGTATTTCTGTTTTAGCATTGGTTTTTATACTATAATCCATTTTAAGAGAGTATGAAGTTATTATTTTTTTTCTTTTTACCCCAGTAAATTAACTTCAACCATATATATTTTCTGTTGATAGTGGATAGAAAAGGCTTTTTTAAACAAATGAATGTATTCTTATACAGTCATTACTCAAGAAGATGTAACATGATTATTTTTTAATATTTATGTAGTTCATAGGCCGTGTTAATCATTTTCTATTCTTTGCCTCTTAACTGTATTTCTAAAGTCTGTAAAATTGTGCATCTGTGAGGTTCTTAACATCTGTGTGTATTGCATCAGTTTAACAATGCTGCAAAAATAGACAACGAAATTGTTTACAGATCTTCAGGCATTTTGACCTTGATCTTCTCTTATTCTCAGTAATAAATACAGGGTAGTTTTTGTATTCAAGTGTGAGTGAAAACTATACAGAGGCACAGGAACAAATATTATGCTGGCAGTGGGCTTTCATACCAAACTTCCACACCAGCACTGGTTTCCCACATATAGGACATACTGCTACTGGAGATGAATAATTCAAAAGTGGTGAAGGGTGAAAATTAGAAAGCATAAGTGAGGATCATAATCTGAATTCTGCTGAGTTTAGAGAGAATTTAAGCCTAGTAAGAAAAAGAGTCTATTTTATGAAAGACCAGTATCTGGTTGTTACTGTCTGTAAGCCATAAGGTGCTATGTACGATGATTATTTACGCATTGTGATAAATAACATGCTTAAGTGTTATTAATGGTAATGTTTTCTTAAAAGCTAGTATTCTATTAAAAGCTATGTATTTTATTATGTATGATATCCCACTCGACAACCAAACTATAAATATTTACTATGCGGTTTTCCTTTCCCAGTATTTTATATACAGCTGCATATTAGGGCTCATTTCCTGTTCCGTTTTTCTGAGGATAAATTATGAGCTGAAAATGGTCATCATGTTGATTGCATTAGTGGGCTACAATGTTATCCTTCTGCACACTCACGGGTCCATGCTAGATGACTACAGCAAATTTATGTACGCAACAGCGCCTCTAAAAAGGTAAGTTAATAATTTCCGTCATTCTGAAATTAATAGAAATAAAATACCAACTATGGAAGATGTCATGTAGCATTTTTATTTCTTATGTATTTGGTTCTATATCTACAAGTCACGATTTAAAATTGTTGTCACTGTCGAGCATAAGAATAAAATACATAAATCTGTGCTGAATGCATAGACCACATATTACAGAAAGTACAGTTTGGTTTAATTAAGGACATCAGGAAAACATGGTTTTGAACATTATTAAGGCTCCTAAAGAAAATTTGCTGCAAGCCAAATAAAATCTACTTTTTCAGAACTAGTGTATTGTTGTAAAACTTTACAAATGCAGTCTTTGCCATTGAAAAACAAAACTACAACCAAACAGACCTACAGTTTATTAAATGAACAGAAAGAGATCTTTATGTTCCCATTGGGTGAGTGGACAGAATACCTGTGTAGTGGGATGAAGAACCACATGACTAGTTACATTTATCTTGTACTTCTGGTAGCCTTCATTTTGCCAGTCAAGCCTGTGTGTCTCTTGGTTTTTCCTTCCTAAATCTTTCATCAGTATTCTTCTTTCAGTGGCATCAGTGGAGTGCTAGTGTGAGCTGTTCCACATTCCTTATAGCATCTTTCCCCAAAGCAAAATTTTTAATAAAAGATCTCATTTGTCCCTACTGTAATTCTGAATGAAAAGACATCTTGGGAGTTAGCTGCCTCAGTATCCATTTCTTGACATTCATTGGTTACAGGGTCAAGCTTTCCATTATGGAAGTCATGTATTATGTAAAAACTGTTTTTAATATGCCTTTATAGCACCAATCAGTTATCATTTGCTAGCAAAGAAGAAAATTATTTTTAATAAATCCTCATGTTAGTACTGGACTTCAAAATGTGGGTACATTTGCACAGAATGATGTAGAAGTGAAGTTTCATTATAGAAATAATATTTTGCCAAATAATAAAGCATGTCCTATTTAAGTGGTCATAGTTTACATACCAGAAGGTAATATAAATTGCAGTCTTTCCCTTGTTCTTGTGCTGAAGTAATTTTGTTTCAACTTCTGAGCAGCTTGGTTTACTTACGTTTTTATTTTATAGGCCTGGAATACTGAAAGACCTGAAGACAATGGGCTCAATTTCTTTGTTTATATTCTTCGTCACGTTACTGGTTTTGGGTAGGCAGGTAAGATGCTCAGTTCTTTCCATCTGCATCAGTGGACGCACTGCCAACCTCCTGCCTTCTCAAAGATGTTTTAGATTTTCTGACAAGTACCTGTGTTCCTTTTTGCCCCACACCCTTTCAAAGGAGTGTCAGAAACATCTAAAAAGCTATTATTTCCTTTATTGCCTTCCAGTATATCCTTAAAACTCATCAGTAACTCTGCAATAGCTGTCATTGACACTGTAGGCATTATGCTGATAATGCACTGTGACTATTGCTTGTCATGTTGACCAATATTGTCTCATAGCTTCCCAGCGTGCTCCCATCTGTCCACATCCATCTGCTGTCGCCCTAGTTGCTTAATTACAAGCTATTTTCTTCACAGTTATTACCATTTGAGGCAGACACAGAAACAATGTAGCATGCACACAGCAGTGTAGCACCTACTGAGGCCACAGTTGTATTAAAACAGTGAACTGACAGGGATCTCCTCTTTTCATTACCCAGTTGTGCTTTTTAGGTGCTGACATGGTGTGAGTGGCCTGACACTACTGCATGCTGTGGGCAGGGTGAGGCCACTAGTCTCTCTCTCCAGCTCCTTGAAGTTGCCCATGCTAAGCTGGAAGCTTGTCATGCCAGGAGTGACGTGGTGCTCAAGGCAGGGCTCCAAGATGGAGGAGACGAGCCATGTGAGGTCTCATGAACAGCCTGTACACATGTAGCCTGCAGCCTTGGGAAGGTTCTTCTGTCATACTGTCTTTAAATCACTTATTTACATTACAGTTCCCCAAAACTTAATGACTGTCACTTAAACTGTCAAGCAGACCCTCCAGGTTACTAGATAAAAAATTCCTATCTGGCATCTTCTTTAGTTTTGCTTAGGGGAACGTTCTTGAGTTTCAGTAAAATTCATCATCGGCCTTACTACCAGCACTGTACTGGAGATTGCTCATTTAATGTTAACAGCAGAGAGCAGTGCTGCAACACAGCTACTTCCAGATATAAACAGGGTTAAATACTTTTTAGCACTACAGAATCCCCATTTATCAAGGTGACAGATCAAAGGAGTAGGCACAACATCAGGAAAAAGTAGAAAAGGAGCATGATTTTTACAGAGCAGAGAGTATTTCTTTGTGGGCTCAGTCACATCCGTAGTAAAGTTTCTGATCTGTATACTGCAGCAGTGCATACTGGTTGCTTCCTGGCTCACACCTATTGAAAAAATGAGCTTCAATGGTAACAGTCTTTTGCTTTCAGAGCTGTAGGTTTGAGATCTTCATTGTGGTATTGCTTGTTTGTAGATCTTCAGTCTGTTGCCTTTGATTTTTCTGCTAATTTTTTTTTCTTCCTTAAGGAAGATGAAGGAAAATAGTGTTTTCAAACATTCTCAAGCAAAGTCTAAAAGGTAACAGATGTTACAAACTAGTTTTAATATATTCTTGAACTAAGACCTGCCATTTTAGGTTACTGCTGGTGATACTGGCTGGTAGTGAATGCCTTGGAGAAAAACAGGAAACTCTCCTGCCAGCAAATATATCCTGATTTTCCCTCCTGTTCCTCCTGCATTGCCAAAATCTGTGCCAAGCCCATGTTCTAAACTCTACTGTGAAAAGAGGATACGGAAAGAAGTGGGACTAGAGGAGGAATTCCTGATGAGCAGTGTCACTTCTGCTTCAGGTGTGGACCATAGCCTCTGCCACTCTCTGGCATTCAGCTGCTTCTCAGTTCTACTTCTGACTACTGTTTGTATTATTTTAGAGGTAAAAGGAACAAGGAGTGGATGCACTTTAGATTTGGACAGTGACAGAAAGCTGCTTTCTATCTATTCTGAATTCCTTTTCTAGTAATGTCTACAGTAGCATTGTTTCTCTAGTAGTGTAAGAGTTTAACAGGGCCAGTTTTTATAAAGACAGGCATCATCTTTTGGATATATTTTTAGATCAGCTGGTTAAATTAGAAAAATAGACGAACATTTGGATAGATTCGTATCTATTATTCCTGATGCTTCATCTATCTTAGACAACTTTTCAACCTTTACAAATTGATCATAAGGAATAAGTAAAAATCCCATATCCCAGAAAGCACACAGCAAATCTTACATTACTTTTTCACATTAATGGTTACCCATCTTTTCATCTCCCTTTCAGGAGAAATGATGAATGGCATTTATTCTGCATGCTTTTCCCCAAGATACCGGATGCATCTCATCTCAAATGTATTTATGGAAATTGGAAGAAACCAGTACAGTGTTACTCACTAGCATCTACTTGGGCAAACATGTTGAAGGGAAGAACATTTTTCCCAAAATGACAGTAGTCTCTGACGTTGCAGTTTGTGTTGTAAAGGGCAAAAAATCTGGGAAATAATGTTCCCAGCTGTCATAGGGCAGCAAAACTCATGAATTTAGTAGGCTGATTTTATGGCCTGTTGCAGTCTTCCTCTTGCTATAGTTCTGGTCGAGCTCTTTCCTAGTTCTGCACTCTTCTTCCACAGAGGGTAATACACAAATCATTTTTCTCTTTGTTACTGCATTTCTCAATTTTACAGATAATAGCTTTTCTTTTCTTGACTCTTAGTACCTGTATGTTTTAAGAGTGTTAAAGACAATAGCCACTCATAAGAAGGGATGTTTCTTCCACTTCCCTTCTCCTGGCACTGGTGCTCCTCTGCCCCCAAGGCAAGTTACCAGAAAGTTCACCTAAACAAAATCTGAGTGTTTTCTTACAACCCAGCCCCATGAGTTTGCTCACTGCTGGCTGATGCAAAAGCAGCAGAAAGAATGCATGTATGGTGGAATGGAGGTGGAGGGAGGCAGAGCTAGTGTTTCAGTACACCTTCTATGAGCAAACTTAATTCCCAGGTAATACTCTTAAATGCACAGCTGAAAGAGCTGGCCTTCCCAAAATGGGGAAATGGTCTGGCTTAAAAATCAGCTCTGAAAAAATGGTTGGTTTTCAGCCAGATCTTTTTGCTGAATTTTTTTTATGGTGTGGCATCATCAATGCTTGTACCAAAAGAATAATTGTAGGATGGGCACGAGGTGGAGAAAGTAGAATTGCTTTTCTTTTCCATGGTCATGTCAGCATAGGTACATTTCAGTCTGCGTACATGCCATCTAAGCTCTCTGAAACAGTCAGTACACAGGCAATGCATTGAGAATGCAAACACTCCAACTCTGGCTGCAGATTGGCATAGGCTGGGCTCTATATAGAGTGTGCTCATATGGCTGGGCTCTATATAGAGTGTGCTCAGCCTTAAACATTGTGAATTGCCAGTATCAATGTAGCATGTGAATTTTTTTCTTATCTTGATATAATATTACGTATACCTGGTTAGTCTTTGAGTAAATATTCTGCTTCTCCCAAAATTGATTATATTGTGTTTATAAACACTGAGTTTCACTGGCTGTTTTAGAGTCCAGATGTGTGTGGCAGTGAAAACTGTTTGTAGTATCTGTTGTGGTTTTTAGCCAAGTGGTTTTATTCCATTATTTCTTTTTTTTAGGTACTGTAGACTTTTAAAAAGCCTCTTCTGAAAAAAACTGATGAACATTTATTTAGAAGTTCACTTCCATTTACAGACCATTGGTGTATTTGTGACTGATGGAGGCATGTTTACATAGGCTGTCTCAGTAATTTCTCACTATATTAGCTTTAGATGACATGTCTAAATAGCTCCTTAACACACCTTTGTCTGTGGTTCTCATTGTATGCTCAGTTCTTTTCCAAAGGTTTGCATTATATCTTTGCCATTTGTCAATGCTCCAACACATTGGAGGTTTTGAACAATAAGGCGGTGCACCACAAATTTCAGAGCAGCAGCTTTTCATTTCAGTGACTTTTCATGCTGGCGACTCCCTGCTTGCTTACTTAAAAATATGCTGTAAGAAGACACTTCTACTAATGCTCCATACTGAAACAGTTCCTCAGACTTGCTGTCTATAAGTAATGGCCGTGGAATTTTCTTAACTTCCTCACCTGAATGAAAACCCACTTGTTATTTTCTGGAAGTGATCTTATCTTCATTAGTGTTACTGTCACTCTGCCCCTTCAGCACGTGTGCATCTCCTGTGACTGCACACATGGATGGCACAAATTCATGAGCTGCTTATTTTGGCTTTCTGTGTAACTTTCTGCAGCAATGAGAGAAAGTTCATTTAGTTTGCTGCCTCATTCTAGGACAAATACTGAAAATAGGTCCAGATGAATGTTGCACTAGAATTTAGAAATACAGACATAGCCATCTCTGCCTCATCAGACGTAAGTGCTAAATCAGTTTTTGATACACCTGACTGTTTTTGCCCAAGAACAAGTTACCACTGATCTGAACCTCTGGGGCTGCATTGCCTTACATGCATTGATAACACGCCTGCCTATGTACAAAAGCCATTCTGAGATATTTTCATGGTGAGATGTTAAAAAGGTTCTGTAGATTGCATGTAAAGTAGGAAGAAATCTTGGTTTTCAGATGACTAAAGCTTCAGAGTTTGAGCAGGGTCTTCAAAGATGTTTAAAATAAATTGGATATTTTGTACAAACAAAAAAAACCTCACACTCTAAAATAAGCTTTACTAAGATAGGGCTTATGTGTTTTTAAAAATCTAAATACGCATTTTGAAATAACCTTTGACATTTTTAATTACAAATCAAATTGTAGAGTACATTCTGCTTTTTTTTCCCCATTTTCTGAGTTCTCTTTGCCATTTGTTTTTGTATCCTGTATTTCAGTAAATAACAAAAGTGTAAATACATTATCTCCTTAATATTATCTCGTAAAGAAGAAACATCATTCTGAAGACTAAGCTTATCTCAGTTTGTTTTCAGTACAAATTGGATACATTGTATGGATACCTAATTGCTGTTTTAAGCCACATGTCCACTTTGCTTCAGACAATTTATGCAAATGATTTTGGCATCCCAGTGTTTTATTGGATTTTTTCTACATGAAGACAGTTTATTGGAATTGTTCTGCATTAATGCAGATGTGGTGGCATTAAGTTTATCATCTTTGTGGGGAACTTGAATATATAAATATTAATAGAAGAATAAGACAAACATTCTAAAAAAGTGACTGTATATATTTTGAATCACATGATCAGTTTTGAACAAAAGTATTCATGACCTCAAGACTTACAAGAGAGAGAACTGCAATTTGGTACCAGAACAATGACAGAACACAGTGACCAGAACAATGACAGTTCTGTTTCCAAGTTCTAGCAGAAACCTGTTTTCAAGTTCAAGTTCAATGTCTTCCTTCATGCATGTCTTTATATGTATGTAAGTCTGTGCCTTCTCTTCATTTGCTTAAAATCTGCAAATAACCTTAAGTAATGTAATTAATCGAAAATAGCCAGCTTGCTTACTTATTTGACATACCAAGTCCAGACTTCTGAGGCAAAGCATGATCTACTATGAGACATTAAGACCCACTTTATGTTCAGAACAGTGTTAACTTTGTGTTAGAAGAGCCAGAATCTTTCTTTGGCAGTTCATTTGAGGTATGCATTCTATCCTTCCTAGTATATCACAAGCAAAGTGATATACTTTGTATTCCTGGTGCAGCGCAAGAAAATATAATTGCTAAAGCATGCTGTAATATGAATTATCCTTTTATTTATTTATTTATTTATTTATTTATTTATTTATTTATTTATTTATTTTAATTTTCCAATTAAATGTCTAAACAATACCCACGCCTTATCAACCGATTTAAAGCTATGTGTGGAAGTGTGGTTTCTCTCTTAATATTTTTTTTCATCCTGCAGTTTCTCAGTGGATCCATTTTTTGCTTCACCAGTTCTAAATTCCATGCTTTTTGGAAGCTTGCAAAATTCATTTCAGCTTCCTGCACTATCTTTGGCTGTGATCTCAACAAAATACTCATGAATCATTTTGAGCTATGACAGCAAACATCCAGTCACAAGGACTATTGTCATGTTTTTATCTAAACACTTCGTGGCTGCTAATAATAATGGCTAGTATTTTCAGGATTTTACATAAGACTGTGAACATAATCATGTTCTCCTGATTAATAACTCAGCCTTCATTAAGGCTGCAGTGTAGTGTTAAGTCTACTGAGTTAAACTACACTGATATATTGACTTACATCAGCTCCAAAGACATAGGCCAGTGGAGTCTTTAATGTAGAAATAATGCCATAGAATTCACCAAAAAGCCTTGAAATTATTGAAAAGGAGTACAGAACTGCACAAAAAAAATGCAACCAGATCTTCAAAAATACTAATATTTCAAGATTTTTATACATTTATATAATGAAAACTGAGGTACAACAAGAAGAGAAGGGTAGAATCATAGAATGTAGCATTATATACGTTTCTAAAGACAAAATCAAAAAGGAACGTGATGGGTCATTTTTGATAATCTCCAAAACATTCAAATTTAAAAATCTCTTGTTATTCTAAAGAAGTAACGTTTTTGCTGTGTGCATACTACAGGGAGAAAGTTTGTCTCCTGAACAACGAATGTGTATCAGTAGGCTAAATTTTCTTCTGCTACCCTTTTTTTTTTTATCAGAAAGTTTGTATGACATAAGTTAAAGCTGGTGACATTTCTTCCTGAAATGCCCACTAGCATAAGTGAAATTCTCTTTAGATAAATTAGATATCATATTGCAGAACTGCAAATTATTTGCATAGCAGTGTTTGATTTGTAGAGTGAATTTCTTCCAGAGCATGAGAGTACATCAGGAAATCTTCCTTTGTTTCAATCACCCTGCATCTTTTGGCTTATTTCTGAGCTTTTTTCTTTCCTTTTTTTTTTTTTTTTTTTTTTTTCATGTGGGGAGCATTTATAAATTCAGTGAAATGTGTACCATATGGTGCGTGCTTGGGGGTTAATTTCTGTGGAATCTGGAACTGTACTTGAATGGACAAATAATATCCTTGTAAAGGTGATGTACTGTGTTTATTTTGTCTCTTAAACCTGTACTCCAGCAGGACAAGATGCCGATTGTTTCTTTACCTCTGTGTCCTCTTGTAACAGAATGAATATTACTGTAGGTTAGACTTCCTGTGGAAGAACAAGTTCAAAAAAGAGCGGGAGGAGATTGAAACCATGGAGAACCTAAATCGGGTGCTTCTGGAGAATGTGCTTCCAGCCCATGTAGCTGAACACTTCTTGGCAAGAAACCTGAAGAATGAGGTCAGCCATCTCTGTATATTCTCTGTTCTGTACTAAGGCAGTGTAGTGTATCATAGAAATAGTACTTAATACTGAGTTGAACAGTAGATCCATATAGTCAGGTTATAGATTTACAGTCATTTTCCTTCCCCCCTGCTTTTCTGAGCACTGAATCACCTTAGTACCTTGAAGTAAAAAATGTGAAACTGTTTTAAGTGGCAATATACTTTGCCTTGTGACAGAGGAGGAAAACAGGGAGAAAATGAAAAGGATAATTGAATCCACAAGGATTTAAATTTGAAGCATATGAATTCAGATACATTTTTCTTTGTGATCAGAGTGGAGCTGCATCCAGGTTTTGAAATTGCTTGTGGTGACTGGAGACCTTGCTTATAGATGTGAAAATTAACCTCTTCCTTGAAACAGTGCCTATATTAATTCTGGAAGGAGGTGCTGAACACTGAAATAGCTATTTACTCATGCACAACAGACTTAATCCAGGCTTTAGAAACGTCTACCAAAAGACTTGTTGCCTTAAGTGGGAGTTAGACCTACTCCTAATGCTGCTTTGTAGTTTTAACAGTGGAAAAAATGATGAAAACAAAAGAAAAAAGCCAAACAGATTTAGAGGGAGTAGTAATTTCTGTATATCTTAAATGCAACAGTTAGAATTACTTATGCATAAAACAATTGTTCCAAAACAGACAGAAGAAGGGAGGGGATTTATTTTGATCTCCTGAATAGAGAAGGATAACATTTTCCCTTTCACTGTGGTTTTCACTAAGCAGTACTGTAACGTAGTTTACATCGGTACTTTAGTACTACCTGTAAACATTCATTTGGTAGCTAATGCTGAATGAAAACTGCTGTGGGGTTCCTTTGAATCCAGTGAAGATGTTGGCTGAAAGCCAGGTTGGCTCGGCTCCAGCTCTCAGTTCAGGCATTAAACACAGCAAACCATCAGGAGATTGCTTTCTCATTTACGTGCTATTCCATCTCTGCTCCCCAGCAGAGCAACACCATCTGCTCACCCTTGTATTGGCAACTGGATTTATATTGTCACCCCTCAAGATTCTTGGGCTGAAATGAGCTTCAGTAAATTTAGTGAAGATGAAAAATGGTAGTCTGCTGAACTTTCTGGTCTTTCATGTCAGCTAAAATTAGAAGAAGTTGATGTGATTTTAGTGGCATCCCATTAACAAAAAAAAAAACCCTTGAGTTTGCTTTGTTTATCTTTAAACACAGTTTTCAAAGAAACAGGAACCTCACAAATCCTTGGAAATATTAAGGAATACAAACATCAGTCACGTCTTATTTTGGAATCTGTAAGGACATGTCAAGCCTTAAAGCAGATTCAGTATGGTTTTGTTTTTTTGTTTTTTTTTTTTTTTAATGTCTAAACACCAAAAATAGATGACAGCAGATCAAATCTTGGTTTTATCTATGTTTAGATTATCAGATAATGAATTGAAATTTGTCTGCATCTTCCTCAGAGGCAAACACTCAATATGGCTATATATATCTACGGTTTCCTATCTAATGGATGAACGTTACTTATCCCAGAATTTTTTGCATGCAATTGTATGAAGGAAATGGAAGACTAAGTATGCTGCTGAATGAAATGCTGCTGGAATGAAAGAGATAAAAAAAAGTGTGGATAAATGGTAATTGAGAGTACTAACATTGTACTTTCAAAAAAATAACTAAGGTCTTTTCATAACAGCATATAAGTTGAGTAATGTTGATGTGGTGAAAGTGAAATTATTTCAAAGTAGGTAAATGTAGTAAAAGTTTGTTTGCTTTATCAGTCTCCAGAATTGGGTTTTTGCTTGTTGACTGTATGCTGGATACCAAATAAGATACTTTCCAGTTGAGAGACACAGGAACAAACATAAAACAAAAAGCAGGATTCTACTGCAGCTGGCTTCTGCACCCTTCTCCTCTGTGCTCTAAGCATCCAGCTTCCCTATTACTAAGAAGCACTCAGGAAGCTTTCTTGCTGCAAGCTAACTTGAAAGCATGTTGCTGAGTTGAATACCTAGCAAGAGTAATCCTGTTTCATTAGCTGCAGAATGGAGCCAGCAGAAATTGTGCCCCAGACAAGCCAATTGCTGTATCCTTCTATGAGCCATATGGGGTGGGGGGCCAGTTGGCCTCCTTCATCCTCAGAAGGTCTGCAGGCACTGGAGAAGATGGGACAGTACAGAAAGCTGACCAGGAAGAATTCAGAAAAGAAAAAAAAAAGAGAAAGAATTAATGGTAGAAGAGAGGGTGATTTTATTTGTGCTGAAAGAATGCAATTCCTTCCTGGAGTTATATTGCATTTAATTTTCTGATTAAACATTTTGGTGAGTACTCTTTCATGAGAAATACTCATAGGAAAATTAAGACACCTGATTACCATAGCCTTTATTATTATGAATGATTGCAATAAACTAGAGGGGAATGTCTGCTTAAAATTGCCTGACATTTATTATGACAGCTGCAATTACTACTCATGGTTCTAAACAGTGCCATTTGTTGTTTCTATTCTGGTACTACGCTACAAAGCATTAGTAGGGATGGATCTTGACTCACTGTTAGAGAAGAAGGAAGAGAAATGGGACACTTGTTGTACTTCATCACGACTGGTGTTCATATACAACTTTGTACTTGTTTTTGAGGTGGAGGAAAGAGCGATAACTCTTTAGAGGAAAGGAGGATTTTTCTTTGTAACACTAGGACATGCAGCCCTTTCTTACAAGCTGCACAGCCACCCAACAGTGTACAGCACATTGACCCTTTCTGTGTCACAACAGCACTTCTGTTCCTATCTATGCTCCTGTTTTTTGGTTACTCATATCATCTTCCTTGTGATTGTGCATCATACGAGTTGCCATGATTTTTTCTGGGCTATGCCTGCTTTCTGGGTAGACAACAAAGGCACTTCCTAATAGCTAGTGCCATCTGGGTTCTATGTTTACTGTCTGTAAGACACTTTTTTCAGTGGCAAAGAAGGCAGGCATTGCCATCCATCAGCAATCTAATTACCTGCCTGGTCCAGGCAGTAGCCTTCAGCAGAAGTTCTGGAAGCAGCTGCACATTAACGTATTATTCACCCATTCTGCTTTTGCCTGTAAATGTTAGGGCATATTTTCCTTCTGCAAACACCTATTAAACACTTCACAGTTAGATATTTTTCTAGTATTCCCATAAATACTAGACTTTTTAATCTCCTAAGCTCTTTCATGTTGGTAAATAGCAACAAGCTATACATACATATACATACACTTTTTTTTTTCCTTATTCAAACTGTAAATTTCCTATTTGTCTTCTGGTTCCTGAATTATGTGGAGGTAAGAAGAATCAGTTTTCTATCACTTGTGCTTCCTATACATGTCCAGAGAAGGGCAACAAAGCTGGTGAGGGGTCTGGAGCACAGATCTTGCGAGGAGTGGCTGAGGGAGCTGGGATTGTTTAGATTGGAGATGAGAAGGCTAAGGGGAGACCTTATCCTTCTCTACAACTCCCTGAAAAGAGGTTGTAGTGAGGTGGGAGTCAGCCTCTTCTCCCATAACTAGCAATAAGAGAGGGAATGGCCTCAAGTTGCACCAGGGAGGTTCAGGATGGATATTAGGAGCAGTTTCTTCTCAGAAAGAATGGTGAGCACAGGCTGCCCAGGGAGGTGGTGGAGTCACTATCTCTGGAAGTGTTAAAGAAACGGGTGGATGTGGCACAGAGGGATGTAACTTAGTGAGCACATTGACTGTCAGTTGAACTACATGATCTCAGAGGTCTTTTCCAATCTTAATGATTCCATGATTCTGTGACATTATTTAGTAGTATGTTTTCCTTGATCATATCCCTATGTAGATTTCCTTTCTCTCTAAGGGTTCACCTCTAGGATGTAACAGGTATGAGTTATTATGACTTGAATTTATATTCTCAGGTAAGTCATGGCATTCACTTCTGTGTACTGTTTCAAATAAGATGGTCTTTGTGACAGACTTTTCACAAACTTTATAGCCTGTATCTATGAGCAATTCCTTCAGGTTTTACTTTCTTGGGATGCAAAATCAGTGGGATTCAAGAAAGTAAACAAAACAGAAAACTGCGATCTAATGTTTATTTGATAAAATAAAACAACCCTTTTCTATTAATTTACAGAATTGCTAGGATAATAGCATTGTGTATTAATGTTAATGGCAGCATTACTATTAATTTGGATGGATTTAATTTACTAGATTTGTAAAGATGATAGGAATATGAACAGTTTTTTTTTTTTTTCTGTGAAAAAGTTCTATGATCATGAACGTATATGGTTTATTTTGTTAGGTCAAGTTTCAAAAGTATATGTAATACCCATATTTTTAATGTTAATTATCTACATTTGTATGTGAGTGTTCTCTTATCTTCCTCTGGTCTTCTATATAACACTGTGAATTTCTCCTTCCATTGCCACTCCCTGTATTTTTTTGTGCGATTTCTTCCCAGTTTTAAAAAAAACATATGTGTAGCCTAGATTCCTTCATCCGCCACTGAAATCAAGATACTGGGAAGGTGACTTGAGGAAATGGAAGGAAAAATGAGATGAACCACATCATGTAACCTGTGCCTATTCTGCTAGATTAGCCTAAGATGAGCACTCAGTGTGCCAGATTTTAAGTTTTAAATATATTTAGAAGCAAACATTACTGTAGCTTTAGTATAGACATGCCTGAGGTAAATCTGCAGTAGGTAGATGTGAACCAGAATGCAAAGGCTAAATATTTGAGGAGCGGGTCTGTAAATTTGTTCTGATGCTCCACTTCACTAATTTTGAGCTGGTTTGAGCTCCCATCATAAGTGCAAAGACACTCAAGAAAGCAGCTGGTATATGTCACTTCAATGTTACAGAGTCTGGACCTGGGTTAATGTGGGGAGCTGGAGCAAAGAGATGCTCAGGCTTAGAGTCAGAGTCATCCTGCGTAGTTTCAGGCACTCCTCTTGAGTTCTTGCATTAGGAAAAGTGACCTCAGTAGACTTTTTTTTTTTTCCTTATATCCGAGAGAGAGAAGCACTGTCTGAAAAGATTGTGCCCGTCTGGCAGTAAAATGACTTTCCAGATACACTTGTCCTAGAATGTCACTAGACATTATACGTAAGATGACATAGACGCACACGTAAGATGACTGTGCTCTCAAATGACATACTTTATCCAGGTGTATTGCTCAAATTCAGTTGATACCATCTAGCCAGCGGGCTCTCCTTTCCCCTGTTTTATTGTACGAATTAAATTGATTTTTTTTTATATAGACTTGAACACTGCAGCAGGAAATACACAAATTAATCCAATGTTTATGGAAATGGAACAAATAGATGACAGAGAAGTATTACCAGGGCACTGGTTCTTTTCAATGGGCAGGATGCATGAGGAGTTTCAAGGACATTGTGATTATATAATCCTTATGAAATAAAAGAGAAGAAAAGTCTCATAGTAAACCATCTAGCTTCTCCAACTGCTCATGCTCCTGTCTGTCTGTCTCACACCTATTCTGGGCTGAGACAGTCAACAAGTTTTTCCATTTACCATGACCAGTTCTGCTATTTTTCAGTTAACATCACCAACTTGGATTCACTGTGTCTGTGCACACTCACGTAGATTTACCACGTTCTTTAAAAAAGAAAAATATACTGCAAGCAAAATTGAAAAAAACAAACTTTGGATAAGTAAAGAGGGAAAAAATATCTGATCCTTCTTGAAATTATAGAATATTCGTCTTATTCACAAGAATATTGAAATCCATGCTCTACTCAAATACCTTTAACAGACTTTGGCTTTATACTAGCTTACAGCATCTCTTATTATTATGGTTACCTTTGTGTATGGTTTTCCATACTTTTTTTGTTAGTTTAATAAATAGTCCTCCTTTTATTTTTTCAGGACATAAATTTGTCCTGAAAGCAGAGAGATTCTAATGATAAAGGACATTGGAAAGGAAACTGAGGGAAGGGATAAGGGGATTCGTTTTTATCATCAGAGGTTTCCTGTGGAGCAGAGATGCTCTCATTTCAGTGCTCACAGAATGCTATAGAGAATGTGACACATAAGTAAGTTTAAGTTCAAGTGACTTATTTATCTCATTAAGCCCCTTGTTATGGAAAAGAAAGGACAATTATTTTGTCCTATTAGGCATCTTATCATTTTTTATTAGGATCTATCAGTGTTGTGTCATACTATGCTTTTGTAGTGCTCTACTGTTGAGATTTTGCTTCAATTTTTTTAGTTCTTTCTAGTGATTATAATGATACAGCTAATAAAAAATTAGAGACTGTTTTGCAAAAAATAGTCTCAACCATGCAAGCCAAAACAAATTCTCTACAAATCTCAGAAGTGATCCTTATCTAATAAATTAGTGAACATTTTATGCTTACTGAGTAAATATTCAGGCAAAAAAAAGGGGTAACTTTACAACACAAAAAAATTTTCAGCTATGTTGACTATATTTAACAAGTCTGTATGCTGTTTAAAGATCAATAAATGTCACTAAATGCAAAAAATGCTAGAACATTGTTTTAGAAGTTTCCATTCATGGCATCACCTTCCTTTTCAGAACCAGGTCGCTGCCTATTTATCATAGAACCTTATTTAGAGCTGGGTTTAACAAGGTTTTTTTCTTTTTTTTATTTTCTTTTGGACAGGATCTATATCATCAGTCATATGACTGTGTCTGTGTCATGTTTGCCTCTATTCCGGATTTCAAGGAATTTTATACAGAATCTGATGTAAATAAGGAAGGCTTGGAATGTCTCAGGCTGCTAAATGAGATCATTGCTGACTTCGATGATGTATGTACTTCTAACAACAATCAACATATGGTTTCAATCTTAATAACCCAGGGTATGCAACAGTAAGCAAACATACTTGAAAAGGAGAGTGGAAGAGCTGTCGGAAAAGAACTTTTGTATGTCTGATCATGTAGAAATTGTTTCCAAGGAGTATTAAAGGAAAAAGAGATTTATGTGGAATAAATAAGCTATTGATCTGACATCTCTATCCAGTGCATATACACGATGGGGAAATTCTGCCCTTTTTCTGCAGTTCACATAGCACATTACATGCTGTATACTAGCTGTTCCCAAATACTAATGCCAAAGGTAAAGTGCCTGAGTTTGTGCCCTAAATTTTTACATCTTTGGAGAGCATCCAAAGCAGGGCTGTGAAGGTGCTGAAGGGTCTGAGAGCAAGATGTATGGAGAATGGCTGAGGCCACTTAATTCAGCCCAGAGCAGCGGAGGCTGAAATGAGGCCTCATGGCAGCTGCAGCTCCTCACGTGGAGAGTGGATGGGCAGCGTTGAGCTCTGCTCTCTCGTGTCAGTGGCATGGCCTGAGGGAACAGCATGGAGCTGTGTCAGGGGAGGGTCAGGCTTGAGATTAGGAAAAAGTTCTTCACTGAGAGGGTGGTTGGGCACCAGAACAGGCTCCCCAGGGCAGTGCTCTCAGCCCCAAGCTACAGGAGTTCAAGAAGTGTCTTGATGATGCTCTCAGTCGTGTATCTGATATTTGGGTAGTCCTTTATGGAGCCAGGATTTGGACCTGATAATACTTGCAGGTCATTTCCAACTCAGGATATTGTATGATTCTATAACCTGCATTGTTTTGATTCTACAACATGTTGATCATTTGGTATATGAATGACTCATAGGAATGTATAGGTTTTAACATTCCACTCTCCAAGCTACGGGCAAGTGCAGAACGTATAACTACAGATAGATTGTGAAAAGTCATCTCTACAGGTCTCACTGAGAACAGTATTTGTCTTTAAGTTGCTGGTGATAAAGATACCCAAAGAAGGTGTTAAGAATGTGTCATGATTCAGAGAACACAGTCTGGACTTGCAGTTCTGCAGCTGTGGAGGGAATTTTAGCAGCAAACCCATTTTGATAACTTTGGAATGTTCAAAACAACCTGGGTTATGAATTAGAATTCTTACCATCTCAACTAGAAGAGATGCTTACTTTCAGAAAGCTGCTTACAGTTTAAACATTGGCTCGTGTAGTGATTTGGTTCCACTATCAAATGAATTTAGTCTACTGATTTTTAAGAGCTATGTGGACAGTAAGGTGAAGTTCAATCTCACTAATGGAAATCTAGTCCCTTTATGATAAAAGGGTATTTTAGGAGACATGATTTTCCTTTTTCTGGGAACTATTCCTATATCCATTGTTTTGTCCATCAGTAAGGCCATGCTGTATATCTTTGTGAATTACAGTACTGATGCTCTTGAATTCTGTTAGAGAAACAAGCATTTAGAGTAAGAATGCTGTTGATCCCAATAATGAATAACTGTTCTTGTTTTCCAGTTATTGTCTAAGCCAAAGTTCAGTGGAGTTGAAAAGATAAAGACCATTGGAAGCACGTATATGGCAGCAACAGGATTGAGTGCTACACCCAACCAAGAACAGTATCAGGTACAGAAAAAAGTTCATGCTCAATAAAAATCATGCTTAAATGAAGCCTAAAATTCTGTTCATTAAACAGCAGCCTACATATAACGCTCTGGCCTCAATTTTACTTATTACTGATCAAGTGTATGCTTTTATTTAGAAGTCTCTGAATTATTTTTTTTCACATTGCAGTTTTAAAATGCTGCCTCTTATTTGTTAGGTCTAAATTTGGCCTTCTACTCTAAATATAATACTGCATTTTATTGCTACATGCTGCAGCAGAAATAACTGAACTTAGATTCTAAAGGAGAGTGTTGGAATCAGTATTTTCCTTTGAAAGTTGATAGTGCAGGGTAGCCTTATTAACCATACACTTGAAGAGCCTTCAGGCTCAATGCTTAAAGCAGATTCCTTTGTTTCTGATTTATTTAATGTAGTAGGATTGAGAACTGTGTGCAGTCAGTAGAAATGAAGTTCAGAGAAGCAATTCATAACTTTGAAGCAAAAGCCTTCATCAGATCACTGGTGAGCAACAGAGACGGCAATAATGAATCAGTATATTCCCTGATAAGGATTAATGTCTCCTGACAAACTCATGTTCCTTCTAAAGAGAAGCAATTAACACCTGAACTATAGACCTTAATAATCTTGAGGACAAAAAAGAATAATTTCAAATTAGCCCTGACATTCTGTACAGGGAGGTGAAGAAGATGAAGGAAATGCAAGACCGTAGTCTGGAGAATACACAGAGGAGTTCTTAACCAGTAAATTTAGTGTGTGTGCTGCAAGAAATCTATTGTTTGAGTTATTTCTGCAAATTATAAATCAGGAGATCCAAGTCTTAGTGTTCCTTTGGTGATTTAGTACACATTCTGAAATCCATCAAATCTTAGGTCTCTTCAGTCCAGATGCTGCAGACCACAGATACTGCCATACTAGTGTGACAATGACTGACAGCTAGGCATATTGCTGAGCACAGTCCCCATTTCAGTACAAGAACTCAGGGAAGACTAAGTGCCTAAAGACAGAGTCTCTATATATCAGCTAGGTAGGAGACCATCTGTCTTAGCTAGGAGTGAACTCCAAAGGAAACAGAAAGGCTTCATTCAACTAAACAACAGCTGTGGCAAGAGCTGCTGTCCCACCAAGACTGATGTATGTACTCTATGAATCATCTCACAAAGTTGTCATCTGTCCATCAACTCTGTCACTTTATCTCAAGGAAGATTCAGTCATTTCTCATAGAGATCGGTAAGTCCAACTCTTAAGAAATCATTCTCTTGTCAAAATCCTACCCAGGGCTGAGGGAACCTGAAAATCAATTATCTCCTTAGCCTAAGAGGACTCAAACCAGTACTTAGAATCACGCTACACTGTCAGTATATGATAAAACATTAAGTCTATAGCCTTAGAAACTAAAGTGCACCCTGGAATAGCAAATTATTGAACAGGGAATGCGTTGTCTTTTCCCCTCTGTTCCTCCTGCATTTTGTTCATTTTCAGGTCTATTACAGTTCCCAGATATGCCCCCTTATCTATCTGCCAGATGAGATCAGCTGAGGAACTATTAAAACTGAATCTCACTGGAATGTAAGCATTAGCAAGGGTGCTGAAAAGTGCAGCGGTGAAAGGGAGGAGTCTCTGTGGGGCTGACCACAAGCACTATTTATTATTAAGAGGCATAAAACAAAAACAGACACTCAGAGAAAATTAATGTACAAATCCTTAGGCACACATAAGCAGTGAGTGCTGGTAGAACAGATAGTGGCTAATCAGTTGCTTGACAGTCAAAACTTTATACTGAGTGTATCAACTCTGTACTGCCTTATCATGTTAGTAAAATGCAGCATGGTCTATTGGTCGTTGTTTGATTGAAGTGTTGCTGGAGAGGACACCATCTTATACACTAGTTTTCTGCTGCAGCCACCCTGGCGTTAGGATATCCCTGAGAGTTTAAGTGCTTTCGTGTTCAGTGGATTTTGGATGTGTTCTCACAGGAACTAAAGCTACATAAAATGATTTTATTCTGTTTGTTTGGCAATTCAGGAACCTGAACGACAGTATATGCACATAGGAACCATGGTGGAGTTTGCATTTGCATTAGTGGCGAAACTGGATGTCATAAACAAGCATTCTTTTAATGACTTCAAGTTACGAGTAGGTATGTATTACAACATTTGAGAATATGGAAGAGGGAGAGAATGTAGCATGGTGTTCAAGCAGATTAAAGCATTACTAGAACTGACCAACAGGGCCTGGGAAGTAAGTGGCATCACCTTTACCCTGCTTAAAGGCAGTGTCAATGGCTTTGCCAGTGAGCACAGCTGCTGTTGTGGCAAGACCTGTTTCAAGGCAGGAACTCAGAAGAAGCAGTATCACTAAATAAAGAATGCTTGGAAAATACAGTCCCATGAGTCCAAGTGGTTCTATGTAACTGTAATAATTATTCCAGATGTTGTTAACTATATACATTTTTAAAGCTTTTCAGTACCAAAGGAGATACTAGGCAGGGCTTTGCAAAACTGTGAATGGCTTTGGAGGACTGTACCTAAAAGGCACAAATGAGGCTGGAATTTGAAATACTTTAGATGTACTACACTCAAGCAAACATATAACAGTGCTTCCTTCCTGCTGTTAAATACAGGAGGATCTTTCACTTCTTTGTTACTCTGTGTTTTTTGACAATAAGAGCAAAGATGTCCAGCTGTTGATATTCATTAGGATATTTATTATATCACTTACCTTTAGCTTCTAATTGCTTCCCTTTGTGCTCCACAGTATTAAAAAAAAAATAAATACACAGTTGCAGTAAGTCACGGAAAGGATGATGAGATAAATGAATTCAGATCTGATCAAGAACCATATGTTCCAAGATGCTTATTTCCTGATAGCAGTACATAGCAGTTTTACAATGCAATATGTAATTTGGAGAGTGTGAAATGAAAGCTTTAAATAACTACTGGATACCTACAAATCTTATAAACATGTCTGAAGTATCCAACAGTTATTCTCCTTGCTTGTTTTACTTGCTGTGTTGCTTGCTTTTCTTTTTGCTCTTACATTTATTTCACAGTGCCACCCACTGGCTATGCCTGCTACTTTCTGACCTTCCTTCTTGTTTCATATTCGTTGCCATAGCTAAAAAATGAGAAAGCACATCTGAAGCATGCCCCATTCTCATTGTGTTCCAGAACTTGATGAGTTTATAAAAAATGTGTAGAGATAGTATATTTTTGTACAGAATGAGTTCTCTTCTTGCCATATATAATGCTACATACTTGCAAACAAAGTGTTATGTCAATATACATACTGAGTCTGCAAACTGATTATATCAGTGCTGACTCTTATCAAGTAGGGATTAAGAGGTGAACCTTCTAGGGAAAAAAAAAATACCTACTTGTGATTTAAAAACATTTGCTGTATGCTATGTAGAAATTAGACTCCTTTGCTTCATGAAATAAGGAAATGGAAAAAAAAATAAACTGTCAAAAGCTGCTTTTGTAGCATTATACACTAACAGAGTTTGCCTGAAAATCATTTTTTGTGTGTATACCACAATGATGTCTCAGTGGGGAATGAGTTAAGACGAGTTAAAGAGAGGGTAAAGTGCCTGATGGTTTTTGAGCAGTCTTTTGTGGTTGTTCTGCATTGTGTTTTCTGGACTGCACACAAACTGTATGTCTGTTTTCCAAGTGGTAGCCATCATATAGTATCCTGCATGCATCATCTCTTCAGGATCTTCATCTGGTGAACCAAAAGTGATAAAAGCAAAAAGAAAAAAAAAATAAAAATCTTAAGAATCTTATGACAGGGTGAGTTGTTGCTCAGGGTTTTGTTTCATTGATTGGATTAATTAATTTATTAATTTATTTATTTTTGCTAAATGAGTCTAAAACAATCTCTGAGAAAACTTTAAAAAAACAACATGTTTCAAATGGAGGCTTAAAAAAAAAAAAAAAAAAAAAAAAAGCAGCATCAAGGATTAAATCTTCAAATGTACACAGGTCCCATACTGGCACTTTTGCCACCTTAACACAGTATAGACACCACTGAGCTATTCATGCCAACTTACCACCACCACTTATGGTCATGAAAGCACCTGATATCCATAGGAAGTACAACCACAGAAATGCATCTTCCTCTGATGTAATCCCCACTTTAAGGACTTAAACCAAAACTGCCATTTGTAAAAGCTTTTCTCAGCCAGCATTCAACCCTAAAATTGTTGCAGCTCACTTGACGTGTTGGTTTCCAACCTTAATTTGCTGTAAATGCCAAAAATGCTACTTGTGCCTTAGGAGGTACAAAGCCTGATGTTCTCAAGCAAAAGAGCGCCTAGGTGATATTTCAGGCATTTGTTCCCTTCTGTTAGTATACTTCCAAGGAAACTTTTGCAGAAGTGCTACTTCTTTTCAGACTGGAATAGAGTCTGACATATTGTTTTCCAGATAGGCTGATAGTTAGGACATTTCTCATTGCTGTAGGTGAACAGTTTTGTTCCTGCTTTTGTCTGAGGCTGCTCAAGCATGGGGATCAGTTCCCTGGAGAATTCCATGAGCTCAAGCTGTTGGATGCTTTGGAGTGAGATACCTACCCTCTGTCAGTCCTGCTGAGTAGTGCTTGCTGAACAGTGTTCTCATTTTCATGGAATAATTTAACCTCATTTAATATGAGAGAAAAGGACAGGATGCATTGTATTTTGTTAAAGAATTCACTTTCTGTTCCATCCTTTGCCTCAATAAGTGTTTATGTGTCACACAAGGGAGATATGCACTAGCAAGAGTCACTTAGAGCAACACATCCCACAATGTTTTCATTGCCAAATCACATTCCTAGGAGGTACTAGAAATCTTCATGAAGGAGGAGGGATCTGAACCTGGTACTCCAGCCCCAGAGGGTATCACTCAGACTATGAGCAGAGATGGGTCAGGAAAAAAGAAAAAGAAGTCACTTCCTGCTCATTGCATTCTGTGGGAAAGTCACACTGCACCATCCTAATTTCTAGGATTTCTACCTAGCATAGTGTATACCACGCACATCTTTTCAATATCTGGAGGCAGGAAAACACACCTATGGCCTGGGAGTTAATGCACTGTTGCGAAGCAAGTCCCTCCTTACGTTTAATCCCAAGTGCTTAGACAAATATTTATCAGTTTCTATGTCATGTCCTTTAGAGATTACATACTGTTCCATTTTTCTCAATTTAATTGGTACAGAACCTTTTTCAGAGTTTTTACAGCCTGGTTGTTACCCAAGGTGCTACATTACCTGTGGTCTGTATTAGATGAGCTAGCTCTAAGGTGCCTCTGTGCTACAGCTGTACTTTAATTTCACTGCATAGATATATCCCTATTGCTGGTTTCTGTCAAGTCAGTTGTGATCTTTTGATTTGGGGATAATTTTAGAAATCCAGACTGTTCATCATGGCAGGGTACATTTCTCACTGAGTATTTCCTGCTTGTTGGTAAGTGTAGTTTTAATTATAGTGCATTTGATGCTAGTTAGTGATAGTGCTTTTGATATTGCCTCCTGCTTTGCTTCCATACTAGAAGCATATACATCCCTTAACACAGGATGCAAACTGACCACAAGAGAAAATGTGCCCAGGATGGAATGGGAACTATACTATGTTGTTCTTCTCTCTTAGCACCTGCATTTCAGAACTAGCAAATTGTTACTCATACCCCATGCTTAAGGAATACATTTACTACGACTATTGAAGATATTATAGACAATCTAACCTCCAGAACAAGGATGCAAATCCTTGCAATTTATTCACCGTAATTTATTCTACATGTATGAAGCAAAGATTACTGTAAAATGCATTTGATTTGACTATTGATTATTTCAGAGAGAAGTCCTTTTCACTGAAAGTAGAAATAAGAAATTTCAGTATATCTGTTTTCCTAGAGGAAGCTGCTCTTCCTACAGAATGTTTCTCATGCCATGTAGTAAGGTTGAAAATATCAACATTATTCAAGATAGTAAGGAGTTGTAAAACTAAAATTAGATGAACTTTTGACATTTCTATAACATCCTCTTGCCATAAGGGGTTGAGAAAACATTTGTGAACAGGCTATTGGTTGCTGTACCCATTAATCAACACGGACCAAATACTGTTGTGTCCATTGACTTGATAAGTTGCCAGGTGCGCTACTTGTCATCATCTGGTAAATATTCTTTTATAACATAAAGTTCTTATGTTTTTCAGGTATTAACCATGGACCTGTAATAGCTGGAGTAATTGGAGCTCAAAAACCACAATATGATATCTGGGGTAATACAGTAAATGTGGCCAGCAGGATGGACAGCACTGGTGTCTTAGATAAAATACAGGTAGTCTTGCTTTGTGCCAGTATTTATCTTAACAATGCTTAAAAATTATCATATGTTTGTACACCAAAGGAGTTTGTATTTTTGGGGCTGGAGATGCCTACCGTAAAAATGACCTTTCAGAAGAAATGGATCTCAGTCAGGAACATAAAGAATTAAAATTCACAGAAGAAAAATGGGAAGAGAATCAAAACTTTATATTCACCCTACAGAGGAATACAGTGGAGGAAATTATGCATTCCTAGAAGCGTAACACCAATTTAAGAGGGATGTTGGGCAAAATCACATTTGTATTCTCTGAATTTCTAAACTGGTAAAATATTAGCTACATTATTTGTGAAAGGTATTCTTGATGTTAATTATTTCTAAAGGAAAAATGTCCATAACTACATATATCAAGTTAAATCCATTAAAGCAGTTATGAAGTGTTATTTTGTTGAAACATGCAGATTAATAACCTTTATGGTTTACTATCTGTATAAATTAGAGACAGACCTGTATAGAAAAGACCTTCCAGAGTCTATTCAGGGATCACATTTTAATTTTCTTCCTGGTATGCTTGCAGCACTTTGGTATCCCACCAGGTATGTGATTGAGACCATTCAGAAATAAACAGTGCAAAAGTAGAGCTACCTACCAGGTATTGGCCAAGCCTGAAAATAGGAGGAAGCTCAAAGCAGTGATATCTACAAATACTTGTTTGCTTCACAAAGAAACACAGCTAGTCTGAGAAAGCTGATTTTATTGATTGATAACAAATGATTGTTAATTAACAACCTCTGCCCTGGTGTACTTGCACCTGAAATGGCAGCACTGCTTCAGTTTTGGTTCACAGTCTGTTAGACTGACTAGTCCTGTTAGTCAGGACAGATGTTTTCTTTATATTCTGCAAGATGATTCTGCTTCACTCTCTCTCAGTGTTGGTTTTGTCTTGTTGCAGGTTACAGAAGAGACAAACAATGTCCTTCAAACACTGGGGTACATGAGCACTTGCAGAGGAATCATAAATGTAAAAGGAAAAGGAGAACTGAAGACATACTTTGTACATACAGAAATGACAAGATCCCTTTCACAAGGGAATGTGGCATCTTGAAGAATGCTTGTACATGTCATTGATACCATATTTTCAGGAAAGTATCACGCACTTTTTAACTACATTTTGGCCCTTAACATGCGTGCTATTTTCTGATATGTGGCACTTATTTTAATATGGCTGCATAGTCCCATGAGCCATCATTTTGCACCTTGATATTCCTATGTTCAAGGACAGTTGTGATGTACACTATAGGACTGGAAGATTGTACTGCAACTTGCACAGTTATTCCAAGACAAGAAAGGAATAGGAATTAAAAGGAGGTAACTCATCCTGAAAGGACTAAAAAGAGATGTTGGTGACAAATGTGGGGAAAAAAGGCAATAAAGCTAGGGGTGCATACTATTTCCTGATGCATGGTGTTTTCTGGAAAATACAGTCGCTCCCCAATAGCATCCACTAATCTGGTATTAAAGCATACAGTATTTGTAAATAAGTTTACTCGATCCACACATGAGTTGGATGTGATCACCAGTTGCATCTCATAGCCGGGGACACGTTGGGTGGCTTGCTGGCATTCTTTCTGAAGAGAGAACTAACAATGCTGGAATAGTTTTGTACAAACGTGTCAAATGTTTTGAAGCTATTGTCTTTTGTAAGGTTAATTCATTAAAAGTTTATATGTAATTTGTCTTACTGTTGCTGTCTCTTAGTTTTGCTTCCTTCTGTGGCTTCTGTACCTCTACACCTGAGCATCTTCTGCTGCAGCTGCTGTATTTTATTCAGTGATTAGATATTGAAGCAGGCTGTGGCCAGCTATCTTCTTAGCTTAGGTCGTTAATATCTGTAAGATTTGCTACTGCCTTTCAGAAATTGAATCAATTCTATTGTCTTCAGTCTTTCTTAGTATCCTAGGCACTTTGCAGTCATTTGGTCCCTAGGTGACAGAGAAGACTTCAAGTCCACAAACATGAATGAGAACGAAGTGGAGGATACTGGAGACATAACCAGTGTTGCTGCTCTACAATGGGCCTGCAGTGCTTAAACAGTAACTAAGAGAAGCTGTAGGAAAGAGGAAACATTGTGTTTTTACTTTGACCACCTCATCTGCCCTTGCACGCCTTTCACTTATCTTTACAGTGCCCAATTTCATTTAAAATAATCAAATTTATCAGAACATAATTGATACAGTCTGTCTATTTTTGAAGATACAAAAAAAATTGCTATTTTGTGGATATTCAAGATCAATTCAAATCTTGTTGAATAGTAACTTGCAGATTTTCATAGATGAGCAAATGTGAGAGACTGAAAAAGGGTAAACATACTCCTTTGAAGGTACTACAAAGATTATTTTTGTCTTGCCATTATCAGTACTTGCTATTAACATGTTTTTAGTCATCATAACAGGCTAACAAACCAAAATTAATAAAAGTCTCATACTCAAAAATATAGCTATAATATTTTTTCTGTTATGGTATTGAAATGTAAAGAGTATTCATTAAACAGTTTTCAGATTTCATATTCGTGAAACATTTGTATACATTTGTATTGCATTGGTGTCCTTTCAGAAGGATTTCCCAAAATATTCCCTATATAAATGGCATCAGGCTGCACAGTCTCATTGAGTGTGGCAAGGTTACCAACAGCCACCATCTGCCCTCTAGCAAATTGGAATAGCAGTCAATCTTGAAATGTCTACATTTGGAATAAAATAGACACCTTGAATTTTTATTTCTTAAATTAAAAATTAAATTAAATTGGGAAAAATAGAAAACAACTTAGATTTTGAATGTACTCTGAGCCTTTAAAACCATTCTAGTATTAGCACAGGTCAAAGCAATCATTTCTTACTGTAGATGAAAACTCTGTAAGTTGATTATATTGTACTGTCATCTCTGTGCAGCTTTCAGGTATAACCTGTACATTCAGGGTTTTGTTTTCATTTGTATTGTTGCACATTCTGTGCACCATTAGTAAACTGTGTATCTAATTTGATAGACTTGTTTCTATAATTTTTATAAAAGTTAAAGTATATTATATTTCTGTAACCCATAAAACGTTAAATTATTTGAATAGCTGTGAGCTGACCGGTCCAATGAAGTGTAAAGATAAGTATGTGCCCTCCAAGAACGTGTTGATAATGCCCTTATCTGTGACACTCTGGTGCCCTTGTAATACTCTGGTATTCTCTCATTTTGTACTTGCATTCTAACTCTCGCTACTGTGTAGCCAAATTCTGCTAAAGAACAAAAAAATGGGCAAAAGATGAATATACGTGTAGTACGATGCCCAAAGAAAGGTGCATATTATCCTTTCTCCAGCCTTTAGTTGCTGAGTATTATTATCTTTCTAGTGCCAAGAAGCTATTTGTATCCAATAAATATTTTTTGTCTTCCAAAGCACTTTACATCTACTGTCTATACTGTTTTATTCTTTCCCTGTCTAGACTGACCCAGAGATCCTCTTTCTTCCTCTCTTGCAGAAATTTTATATTCCACATTAACTGGATATAACACTACTTGAGTGTCACTGTATAACTTGAAAGTTTTCTGATAATCATATTTTCTGCATAACTTTAAGGTTCGAGTTCTACAACTTCCATGTTGATGCTACAGTTCACAGGTCGCTAGCAAGTCATAAACGTCATGAGTTTCAAAAGCAGAATGCAAGAGTGCTCAACAACATGAGGCAGCAGCCACACAATGAATATAAGAGTGATTCACTGTGATCTGGGAGAATGAAACCCAAACACGAACACTCTGGGAGTCTGCTGGATTTCTTTATCAAAGACAGTGCTATGTGCCAATTTATGGAGGACTACCAAGGGGCAGGAAGAAAGAGTAGGCTTGCAGATATTTTTCTTGACTACAGAAGTATTTGTAATCACCTGTAAAGTAATGCTATTCAAATGCTGTTTCCAGAAACAATCATTAGCATCCTATCTATCCGGTATGCAAAGCATTATTAATTCTCTTCATATTCCTTTAATGCTTTACTTATTTCATAAACTATCTACAGACCTTACCTTTTTCCACTGAGGCACAGGTAGCAGTTCAGCCTGCTCATTTCTAAACAGAAGGCTGTGCACATTCGTAGGCAGAGGTATTGAAAGTATGTCATATTGTTTTCCGAACCTGACAGATTTACTGTTTTACATGATGATTACCTTGTCCTTTGATAATTAATTTTCCTTTTGGTTGTACTTCAGTATAAAGTTTTTTTTCCTCCTGCAAGAGACAGTCTGTCACTCATTCAGGGCCTTGAGAAACGAGCACTTGTGTGAAATGAATGGCTTGACTTGAGGACCAAATTACAGCAGAAACTGGACAGTTTTAGAGTCATCTGTGTTTCAGCTTCTTTTTCAAGGATGATGGCTGACAGCATTTGTTGGAAAGGCTGTCTCTCTTTCATGGCTCAGGAATACATGGCATTCTGATACATGCTGAGGCCAAACAACAAGGACAAAAGCTGAATTGCTGAGTTTTGATTTAACAGCTGCCTAACCATCTCTGCTGTAAGTGCCACCAGCTTGAAACAGGTATGTCACCTTGCAGTAGGAAGACTGCTAATGTGTTTTTTCTGCATTTCAATAGCTTGTTTAGTTACATGTCATCTGTCTTCTTGGGTCCATCCTGTCACCATCTCTGTCTCATCATTGTCTCCCCTCTGACCATTTGCCTCACAAATTAATTTGACAAATTTTCTTGCTAAGTTTTTCCAACAACCAGTTTGATATTTCAGAACAGCCATCCTGCCTTTGAGACATCGTTATAAGTACAAAAGCTATAGGGAGGGAAGAGGAAGTGAGAGAATATTTCAGTTGGAAGGAACATCAGAGATCATCTAGCCCAACTGCCTGAGCATTCCAGGGCTCGCCAAAAGTCAAACCACGTTACTGAGGGCATTGTCCAAATGATTCTTATACACTGAAAGCCATAGGGCATCAAACACCTCTCTAAGAATCTGTTCCAATGTTTCATCACTCTTACAGTAAAAAAAGGCATTGTGCTTTGTGCTTTTCCCACATGTCCTGTCATTGGTGACTAGGAACCAGAGCCTGGCACCTCACTCTGCATTTCCCCTCCTTAGGGACCTGCAGAGAGCAATGAGGTCACTTCTCAGCCTCCTCCAGACTAGACAACCCAAATGTCCTTTTACCAGCTTTGTTGCCCTCCTCTAGATGCTTTCAAGGACCTTAAAATTCATTTTATATTGTGGAGTGGCAGATCTGCACATAATATTCAAAGTGAGGCCACATCAGTGCTAAATACATGGGGAGAATCACTTCCTTTGATCAGTTGACTATGCTGTGTTCAGTGCATCCCAAAATGCAGTTTGCCCACTTGTCCAGTGCATACTGCTGGCTCATGCTCTCTTGGGCACCCCCAAGGCCATTCCTCCTGAGATGCTCTCCAGCCATTCTTCTCCCAGTCTGTACCTGCATCCATCCCAGTTGCAGAACCTAGCATTTTCCTTTGTCGAAATTCACGCTACTGATCATATCTAATCTTCCAATCTTATTTAGATCCCTCTGCAAACCCTCTGATCCCTCCAGAGTCAACACTACCTCCCAGTTTAGTGTCATCAGCAAACCTGCTAAGGATGTATTGAGCTTCTGCATCCAGTAAATAGAACTGGCCCCAGAACTGAGCCTTTGAGAATACTGCTACTGACCAGCTGCTGCTGACCAGCTGCCAGTCTGATGTAGCCCCATTCACATGTAGGACACTTTAAGCTCTGTCATTCAGCCAGATCATCACTCAGTATAGTATGAACCTGTTTATCACACCGTTGCACAATTTGTCCAAAAGGATGCCGTGAGAGACAGTATCAAAGGCCTTACTTCCAGAAAGAATATGTGCAATGCCTATCCTTCTCCCACCAAGTGGTTAGAGGACTTTTCCATTTTGGCTATGTTCCTTAAGTACCTTTCAGTATCCCCAGGATAACCTTCTCCATAACTTTTCCAGGACCAAAATGAGACACCTAGGTCTGTAGTTTCCTGGATCTTCTCTCATGTCCTTACAGTTTTGTGACCACAATGGACCAATGTGACCACTGCTTCTCAGGTCACAGTCATTCAACACAAAAGACCAGGCAGTCCAAGATCTATCATTAATAGTAAAAACTAAGGCAAAAAGTCATTCAATGCCTTCACCACTTTCTCATCCCTACTTGTTAGCTGACCATCAAGTATTAGCCCAGTGTTTTCCTTAAACCTCCTGTTGCTACTGACATACTTAGAAAAATATTTTTTGTATATCTGGCATCACAGTAGCCACTGTCAACTAAAATAAGCTTTGTTTTTTCTCACACTTTTCCCTGCAGATGCAAACTGCCACCTTGTACTCTCCCTCTGAAGCCAGATTTTGCTTCTAAAGCTCATGTATTTTCTTTTTCTGCCCTAGTTCCAGGAGGATTTTCCTATTCTCAAACAACAGACCCAGGGTGGCTCCTCTTAGAGTTGGTTCACTCAGTACTTGTGACAGGATGTTACCTTAAACATGCTTCAGAAATTTTCAGAATACTTGTCATGATAGTATAATATTCTAAGTTTATGGTTGGAAAAGTGAAGTCTCACAAAAGGACAAGGTAATCAATCCCGAAATATCCCCTAATTGCCTATAGCTTGTCTGTGCTACTGTCCTGGGTGGGCAGTAGACAGTAGACACCTAGAACAACTTCCACTTTGCTACCTGTCTCCTCCTCATCCAGAAGCCCCCTGCCACATCATCCCTAATGGCAATGACCATACAGCCTAGTCTCTCCCTTATGTACAATGCAACACCTCCCCCCAGCCTGCCTGGCCTATGCCTCAGGAACAGCTGAAAATCTTCCATCCCAGCATTCAGTCATGGGACTCATCCCACCAAGTCTCACAACAATATCAGTGCTCTGGCAGAGGAACAAATCTTCCAGTTCATCCCATTTGTCTCTCATACTATGTGCATTAGTATATAAGCATTTCAGAATGCTCCTGAATATGCAGTGTTCTTTGGAATGACACAGACGATCCCATTAGCCTTGCTACCCTCAGACAGTGCCATATCATCCTTAGGCATAACCTCGGTGCTCCTAATGGTATCCCCTTCCCTCATTGATCCTAGTTTAAGTTTAAATCCTCTCAGTCAGTCTTGCCAAGTTAGAGACTAAGAAACATTTTCCCCATTGAGATAGGTGGAAATCAAGTGGCACCAGATCATAGATGTCTCTTGTCTAGAAGAGTTTTTCCATGTCTATAAAACCCAGCATATTTGTGGAGGCACCAGTCCTGGAGATAGGCATTGAGTCACCTATGACTGCTTCCTGCTGCTTCTTCACAGCACCAGTCTCAATTTTGCTGCTGAGAGGTTACCTGGTGGGAAAACTTACAAATACATCTTCTTTCATCTTTTCAAAATCTCTCGTCTGCCACATCGAGAGCAGAATCAGAGAGAAATACTTCAGGAATCCTGTGTAGCTTAGTTTAGACTTCTGGTGAACAATTTCTTTTGGCTCTATTTACAGCTACAGCTTCAGCTGAACTGCTTTTTATAAAATGGTTTGCAGTCACTTGGTGCTCGTACTAAATTACAAAACAGCACTTGCACAGTAGCATACATATCTCTGTGTAGGAAGCTGATGTCAGACAACTATTGTTTAAAACTACACTGCTCACATATTTTGTGGTAATTTGACTAATGTTACAAAGAGAATCCAAATTGGTAGAGGGATATTATTAGATAAGCAGATGGAAATTGTCATGAATGATTAAAAGTCTATAGAGTGCAAATTTCTCTTCATTGCACTTGAAAAGAAGCAAGATGCTAGCTACATTATTCAGTTTATTAGTGAATGGGGAATGGAAGCTATATAGTAGAAATGGGAGGTTTACATCATATGTGGGCTCAACATGCCTACAAGAATTGGTTATAAAGATTTAGGTATCCTGAATGCTTTGTTTGTTTTTAAATTGATGTTCAGTAAAAATCAAGATGTCTGAAAAACTCCTGTTTCGAAAGAGCTTGCAAAAAAATACTAACAATTACAATAATGGCAGGATTGCACCTATGGCACTAATACTGCAGTTGCCAAAAAGAGCAGCAACATGATAGAATCATAGAATATCTCAAGTTGGAAGGGACCCATAAGGCTCACTGGGTCCAACTCCTGCCTCCACACAGGACTACCTAAACATGAGACCATATGTCTGAGAGCAATATCCAAACACTGTTTGAACTCCACCAGGTTGGTATCGTGGCCACTGCCCTGGGCAGCCTGTGCCAGGGCACAAAATGAAGCTAGTCACATATCCCCAGGCAGTACAGGAGGGAAAAGAACAGTCAGTTACATGTGTGTATTAATATAAAATAAGCATAAAAATATATATATATATATTGAAATTAGGAGCCAGGTGTTACTGGGGTAGAGCAATTTTAGAGCTAATCAGTTAATTGAGGTTGGAGCTGGGAGTTGCTCACTGTCAGTGCCCCAAAGTGAGCATGCAAGGTTTCAAGTCAAATAAAGGGCTGAAACTCAGAAAAACTCGCCTAGCTCGGCACTGAGTGTTGTTAGAAGACATCCCAGGTTCCTCAAGATGCAGATGCCTCGTTCTGTTCGAAATACCATGTTTTGGTGTGTTTGTTATTCAGCTTCTCCAAGTGTGACAGTGCCCCCGCGGAAGGGAATTTTGGCAAAGTGCAAGATCCCCTTGGTGAAAATAAATAAATAAAAATCTCTGCGTTGTCAAACTGTTTCCCCCCCCCCCCCCCCCGCACACACCCCTCCAGGGTGCTGGGCCTAGCACTTTCCCCCTCGCCGACCCGTTCGGCGGCGCCGTGAGACGGCAGCGCGTTACCGGGTAACGGCAACATGGCGTCCACCGCCACAGCGGGCGCAGGGGAGCAAGGAGGGGACGTGGAGGAAGGCGGCAGCGGTTTGGGGAGGAGGCGCCCACCTCCCATCTCCTCTCTGTCTGCCTTTAGCTACATCCCTGCCCGGCGGGAAGGCCCCGCGGAGCTCAGCTACTTCCACCGGGTGGCCCAGGTGAGGGGCGGACTGGGCAGGGCTAAAGCTGGGACGCTGAGCACCGGGCAGTTGTGCTTTGTGGTCGGGAAGGAGGTTTGGCGTTTCCAGGGTGTGAATTACAGGCTGAGGGGGAAAAGGTAGTAAGGGAAAGTGTCACTGGATGGTGGCAGAAGGCAGATAAATGATTGCCCAGTGGCTGCACGGTGACTAAGGACACGAGCTCAACTGTTTAGTCTGGAGCAGGCTCAGGGGAGACCGAATCAATCTCTGCGACTCCCTGAAAGGTGCTTGTGGTCAGCTGGGGGTCAGCCTCTTCTCCCAGGTAACAGCAGTAGGACAAGAGGAAATGGCCTCAAGTTGTGCCAGAGGAGGTTCAGGTTGGATATTAGGAGTAATTTCTTCTCAGAAAGAGCAGTGAGGCAGTGGCACGGGCTGCCCAGGAAGGTGGTGCAGTTGCTATGGTGTTCAAAAGCCATGTGGATGTGGCAGTGAAGGACGTGGTTAGTGGGCTTGGTGGGGATGAGCTGATGGTTGTTCTGGATGGTCTTGGAGATATTTTCCAAACCTAATGATTCTATGATCCTGTGACACTTTTTTTTTTTTTTTTTTGCCAGCACTGCTTGTGTGGCATTCTTGAAAGACAGGATTTGCCATTTTAGATTCAATCCTGTGGATTTCAGCATTGCTTTGGGAATGTGCCAAATGTTAAGAAGCACAGGTGGTGTTGTGCATAACAGAACGTGGTAAGGCAGAGCACAACAGGAGTAGGGCTAGGGAAGGTCAGAGGGCTTGGCTGGTGTGCTTGGGGTTGATAGAGCTGGCAGGGAGAATGGCTATCCAGTCTGCGTGGAATTAGCAACCATATGCTGGTACTTTTGTTTACAATACAAAATTTGCTTTCACACTCCCAATGACAAGGTTTGTAAATAAAAATTTAAAAAAAAAAAAAAAAAGTACTTAAGAAAATGAAATGTGTATGTCAGAGGCCAAAGCAGAGAGAAATAGAGAAAGATGCTTTAGCATGTGTCCCAAAGCCAGAAATTTCCACTCGCTAATCCTTTGGCTGACAACTACTCCCTGTACTACTTTACATAAGTTATTATACCCAGTTTATGTCCTGCTTCCCTTTCTGTGACATGGAGAATGCTTTTATCTATTTTTTGTGTGGCTGGAATATTAATGTATATTTGCAAAGTGCTTAGCCCCAGAAGCAGTACACAGAGAATGCCCCACCACCTCGGCCTAGTTAGTCTGCATTTAATAATGGGGAAATAACAGCAAAGAGGCAGGATTTTGAGCATAGAATTGTTTCTATACAGAAGAACTTAAACAGATGACCTGGGACAAGCGCTAATTCTTAACAGCTTGGCTACCGATCTGCAAGTTTCCGAAAAAGTCATCTGCTCAGACACAGATAACAAGTAATAGACAAATAATGCCACATGAAGAAAAAACAAAAGAGCGAGTAGCATTCTCGGTAGTGAGCACAAATTAGATGCCTACCAAAATTCTAAACAAAACTGGTAGTGTGGAGAGGAGAGGACAATCAAGGAAGCATGGAAATAATGGAAGTAGCAAATCAGATGCAAGATGTTCTTGAACATGCCTGAAATTCTGTGAGACTTGATGATTTCTAAGGAATGAAGGGATGGATAGGTTGCAAATCAAACCACCTTTCCTCTGGGCAGAACCAAGTAGTAGAGCTATGCTTCCAAAAGAAACTTGTGATTACAGTGATGCATTGCTAGCATTCTTGCTTGAGATTTCCTTCTGAGGGAACTGTTATAGCCTTCTTGACCTGCCCTGACTTGAATGTTTTTGGAGAACAGTAATGATGAGACTCAAAGGACATGAATTCTCCAAAGGCTAAATTAAGCACACTGTAAAATTAGAGGTTGAAGGGAAGAAAAAAAAAAAAAAAAAAGCAGAAGAAAAAGCACAATTTTTTGGGTTTGTAAAAAGTCATGCATAATAACAGTAATCCATTGACTTGTTTACCAGAATAGAGACTTTTTAATGAAGAACATAAGCAACTGACAGGATATTACAGCAGGCAATTTAGAAAATGTTTTTTGTATTTGAAATTCCTCCACCTTTTTTTTTAAATTAGATTTCACTAATGCATTTTTTAGCAGATCAGATCTTTCATGTTATTCAGGTGTAACTCTGTCAGCAGATATCAAAATATGGTAATGTTCTGGGTTGTGGTTTACTTTATTTTCATGTATGAGAGATTACAGGATTACCACCGTGGCTGGTTTCTGAACTGTTCTCAGTTCTGCTTTAATTAGAAATTAAATGGTGTTTCCACTGTGGGGCACCTTCACATTTTTCATTCCAAATGGATTTTCTATCCCAAAGTTTCAGCAGATTGCAGGGAAAAAATTGAGGTAATTTGCCATGAGGGAAATTTCAAAGATGACCAGATTAAAAATAAAAATAAAAAATCACATATCATTCAGTATTTTTACTGCACATTATTTCAGAAGAATGACCCAAGCTTGCTAATGGTAGCTCAGATGTATTAAAGTTGTCATACTTTAATGTTATGTGTCCACTGCTTTATTATTAACTCCTGTGTATGTATTCGGTATTGTATGAATTTAAACAGGACTGCTATTTAGCCATTTTTTCTCCTTTTCTAAAGACAGGAGGAGTTTCCACTTATGATTCCATTTTTAAAAGACCAGAAGGTTACAATGAAAAAATTCACCGATGTGATAGAGAACATGCAAGGAGTCGTGGTCTTAACATTAATGATGAGGTAAGCCTTTCAAAATTTTTTTTGTTAAAGGTACCTTATACATTTTGACATGGCTGGAGATAAGTGAAGACACCTGAGCTAGCTCTTGTTCTTTGTGTCCTGTAGATTTCCAGATCACAAACCCTATTTAAGTTAAAGAGTAGGGGAAAGAGATGTGCACAGGGAGCCAAACCCTCCATTACAGAGTTTCAGGATTACTTCTGATCAGTCTCTGCCTCTCCTGAGTTTGCAGTTCTGGTTGTCCTGCAACTACTTTTACAATGCTGAAAACTTGTACCTGAGAGGGCTGGAGGTAGGGGCTCCACCTCAACCCCAGTCCTGTGATATCCTCATTCCCTGCACCTTACAGTGTGAATCCATATTTACTGAGACATCCCAAGTCTCTTAAACTGGTATGTTTGTTGATCAAATTTACACCAGGTTGCCCTGCAGGAAGGAATTCGTAGGGAGCTCATGCAAAAGAGAGGTTAATCAGATAACCAAAGACATGCTTGGAAAAGGCTAACTGAAGCAAAAGCATTCAAGGACAGAACAATTTGGGTTTAGTGTGTAGCCTGATAAATAAGGAAGTATGCAACCATATTTTTGAACAGCTGCCTTGAAAATAGGAATACTAGAATATATATACTTAGATATAAAGATATACTTTTTCTTTGCAGCGTATGAATAATACATACGTATGCACACACACAGACAGAGAGGATGTCAAAAAAAAAAAAGATGAAGCACAACCTCTGTATTAATGGCCTTGAAACTGCAGTGGATTAATAAAATGGGAAGATGATGATAGGCTAAGAATTGTTTCCTGTATTTGATAGAGATAAAAGAAGAGAGAGACAGAAACTTGAAATTACTGTAATTGCTCTGAAGTAAAACTGTTGAGATTTTGGGACCAAGGCCACTGCTTATAATTCCTCTAACTAGCAGCTATACATGCCACACATTTCACTGTGCAGTCATAATCCCCTGCAGTTCTATCAGACAGTGCAGGGAGTATTAGCTACACTCAAAGGAATCACAGAAGTGCCTCTTAAGATTATCTGCTCCTGCCTAGGAACTCACCTGCAAATCTACATGAGGCCAAAAGCCATGCAAATGCCCAATCTCATGAAAAATGAGCCAATTCCAATATTGGAAATCCTATATCCAAGTGAGACATTTGTGTAGAAACAGTTTTATTAATGCAACATTAAGGTTTCTTTCTTACTCAGATTTTGCTTCCCTTCAGAACCAGCAAGTCACTTTCTTTAAAAGTTTACTTGCTAAAGCAAATGTTTATAGGCCAGAATGCATAGTAGTCCTGCTGGGCAGTGCACACAAGTGACTGCCTGGGAACTGTTCTAAACAGGTGTCCCTTAATCCAGTCCTTTAATTAGCATGGAGGCGCATCAAAGCCACAGCTGTTAAATGATGCAACATGATCCTCATGCATGGACTGACACCCAACACTGGACTTACCCATAACTAAATGCAGGTCACGTACTCAGATCCTGCTCCTTAGTTACCTCAATGACTCTCACAGACCTTGTATAATTCCAACTATTTTATAAAACATAATAAATAAAAATGCCAAAATTAACATCTTTCTAATACAACACTGAAAGGAGACAGGCGGAATTCTTTACAGTACACTTCTTTATTTGAAGTGGAAAAAACCCAAATCACTACAAGCAAGCCTTTCGTTTCCTGCAGAGCGTGGGCACACCCTGGGAATCCAACAGTACAATCATAGATAGCTCAGTTTAGCTGCACATAATGCAGTGACTAGAGTGAGAGTGTTTGCACATGGTTGCTGTTGCTGATTTCAAGTGTTAACAGTGATAGAATTACATGCTGTGAAGGCATATAATGGGATACTTTCCAGCCAACCGTGGAAAATTTGATATCTGCTGAATGCAGAACCTTAAAAATCATAGAATACTGCTGCATAGTCAGTGTTGTGCTACCAAGGATGCTGAAACTCTAATATTACTTGTTTAAAGGAAAAATGATCTACCTATGGTCACATACTGCTACTTGTCATTGGCAAGCGAAATCTTTTTTGGCTAGTGAAGACTATTTCGATGTTACAAAGACTGTCTCACCTCTGTGTCTGGTGTGATCATGTAGCAAATCCTCCTGGAGATTATGCTAAGGTACGTGGAAAACACAAAGCTGAGTGATGACAGCCATCATGGCTTCACTAAGGGCAGATCATGCCTGCCAAGTTGGGTGGCCTTTAGGACAGGGTTGCAACACTGGTGGATAAGGGAAAAGCAACTGATGTCATCTACATGGACTTATACAAAACATTTGATACCAGCTTGGACAACATCCTTGATTCTAAAGCTGGAGAGACCTAGGTTTGACAGATGGACCACTTGGTGGATAAGGAATTGTCTGGATGGCTGCAAAGAGTTGTGGTGTGCAACAAGATGTCATATAACAAGTAACCAGGAACAAGTGATGTTCCTTAGAGTCAGTATTGGGATTGACACTGTTTAACATCTTTGTTGGTTACATGGAGAGTACAACTGAATGCATCCTCAGCAGATTTTCTGATTACACTGAAGGGAAGAAATGCCATCCAGAGAGACCTGGACGGGCTCGAAGTAAGCCTATGCAAACCTTGTAAAGTTCAACAAGGCCAAGTGCAAGGTCCTACATCTGGGTTAGGAGCAATCCCAAGCACAGATACAGAGTAGGCCAGGCATGAGGGAGAAGTACTTAGGGGTCTTGGTTGATGAGAAGCTCAGTATGAGTCAGCAGCTCAGAAAGCAAACTTTTTGTATCTTGAACTGTACGAGAAGAAGCATGATCATCAGGGCAGTGGAGGTGATTCCCCTCTCTGCTCTACTTTTGTGAGACCCTACCTGCAGTACTGCATTCAGCTCTGGGGTCCCCAGCACAAGAACATGGGCCTGTTGGAGTGGATCCAGAGGAGGACCACTAAGATGATTAGAAGGTTGGGGCACCTCTCCTATGAAAACAGGCTGAGGGAGCTGGAGTTGTTCAGGCTGGAGAAGAGAAGGAGCAGCATTCTAGTATCTAACGGAGGCCTACAAGAAAGCTGGAGAAGGACTCTATCAAGGTGTTCAGTGATAAGACAAAGGATAACATTTTTAAACTTAAGAGGGTAGATTTAGATTTGATGTTAGGAAGAATTCTAGGAAGAATGGTTGCTTGTTCTTTTTTATTTGAGGGAAAAAAAAAAAGCTTATAGCATCTTCCCAACAATCTCAGAATTAGATTTGTCCATCTTTCAGGATATGTTACAACTGACTGCCCTGGTATAAGGCTATTTGTACCTCTGCTTCATCTTGCATTCTCACAGGAAATGTGGTGGTTCATCTGCTTCAGAGGTTCTATCATAAATTTTAATATGACTCAGACTTGTGTTGTAGCAAAGAGCTCATTTATTTGCACCTCAGCTGTGGTGTGGTGAGGGGTCTGCATTTTTGGTTCTCCTTGTAGATGTTATTTATGTTGTAGTATGAGGTAAACACGTTGGGGACCAAGGCTTATTGTGTTAGCCAGTGTGCAAACATACAAGCAGCCTGATAAATCTGAGACCTTTGGCTAGGGAAAGCAAAACAAACAAATCCTGCCTGCTTTTCCTTTCTGACTCCAGAGCTCCCTGTTGCTGCAGCACAGGAAAGAACTGCAGATTGCAGATAGTAATTGTATGGCCACTTAAAATGCGCTTTATTAAGGACAGGCTTAGAATAATCTTGTCTTGGATGGATTATTTTTTACCAATTTCACTTCTTATCATTGCAGAGCAGTTATTTCTGTAATTGTAGAGGTACAAACCATTTTAATAAAACCTTTCATTGTGCAGAAATCCAGTAGCATATGTTTTATGTCCCTTGGGAAAAGGTTGCATGGGCCAGTGGTAGTTGTGTAGCTTTTATTTAGGCTTTGTGTGTGTGTGTGTGTGTGTGTGTGTGTAGTGGTTTCACTGAATCATGCAAACGTGCTCCTGGAATAAGGTACTCAAATTAAATCTTTAGTTTTCGTATTTGTGCAAGTCAGTGCACAAGAAAAGAAAAAATGAAATCTGTTCCATTTTCCAGTAATGTGGTGTTTACTTTGCCAGTAATCACACAGGGTGTGAGGGTGTGTATGATTTGTATGTGTAGGGGTGTGTGTAAGGGTGTGGGTGGGTGGATGTGTGTGTGTGTGTGTATGTAGGTTAGGTGGTGGTGCGGCACAATTCCATGTCTTCTGATCATCCAGCAATACTATTAATATACATTTAAAAAAAAAACGAGGTTAGGAATGGAACAGTGAGAGTGCAGATCACTGCTACATAAATATACCTTTGTGTAGCAGATGCTGTGCAGTTCCATCTGTTCTCTTGCCCCCAGGCACAGTACATTTAGCAGTAGTTAACTGCCAAGTATTCACTCTGTGATAGTCTCATAAGGAGAATGTTACATTTTCACAGGAAATGGCAAGACCTGTCGCTGTTTTGTCATCTTCAGAGTATGGGAGACACAGAAGTAAGCACACAGAGCAGCTGATCCGAAGTCATGCAAGGATTAATTGTGTGCAGGCAGAATTCTACAGGAAAAATGGCATTACCTGCTTATTGGAAAAACCTTCTCCAAGACTGGATCCATGCTAACATTGCCAGCAACATTTGTGTGCAAAGATACGTTCAAAATGCAGAATAGTGCTTCTGCCTTTTCTTTTGCATTTTCATTAATGAAAATGATTTATATGAAATAACTGCACTTTTCCTCATGCTGATTCAAATCTATGTTTTCTCTTTTTAGTCTCTTAGAAGTCTCATGTAGAATATCCACAAAAACTGAATGTTTTAGGAAGCAACTCTGGAAATTCAATCTGTTGGGTCAACAGCCGTCTGTGCTATTTCAGGCAGTAACTACATAATTGTTCACTGAATTAACATTAAATTTGCTCCTCAGGGTATTAATACTTTCTTAGTACTTACAGTTCTTAATCCCTACAAAATCAGCATCATTTTTTTTTCCGCAGAACAGTAATTCAATCAGTAATTCAACCCAGATTTTCCAAAATGGATGAACAAGTAAACAAAGATCTAATTTCTAGAAGTACTGAGGAATTTCATTAGAGTTCAAGTGGAAGTCAAGTTAAAGGGAACTTCTCAGAGCTTAGCATGTAAGAAGACTCTAAAATTTTGATTTAAATAATTTTAGGCATCCATTTTGCTGACATCAGTTAAGAAAAATGCTGTCAGAGGGATTGATCTGTCACAAGAAAAATCACTTTTGGTTCCTTACCCAGTGCTCCACTACTAAGAGAGCAATAACTCATTAGTTTGGTAGAAAGGATTAAAAAAAACCCAACAAGACAAGTTACTCAAAAAGTATGTCTAGAGGTAAATGTCTAAAGCCACTTAAACACCTGCTTCCTTCTATTCTCATTGAATCTTGTAGTGGAGTTTTAAGATATTTTCAAGAAAAGAAACATCATCTGCAGGGTGTGCATCCTTGTGGTTCTGCAGCATCATTGATCCTGTTGTTTAAAGCTGAAGCAATATCGATACTGTTCAATATCGAACATTTAGCCAGACCGATCACACTTGTTTAAGGATTGGAAGGCCACAGCATTGACTGACACTGTACTTCTGTCAGATACTTAAATAGGAAATGAGTCTGCTAGGAAAAAATAATACAAATAACTGCTTCCTCTAGGGCCTTGGATATGCAGTGAACTAGGCAATTGATAGAGCATTTGGTATGATGTGAGGAGCTGAGTATACAGAGCAGTCCATTCTTAGAGGTGTTTGGCACTTTCAGTATTTACGGCTTGTAAAGTCCCCGCTTTCAGTGAGTAATGGCTGTGGACAAGAGGGTGAAACTGCTACGTTCCTTTTCACCAATGAATACTTCATTAAAGAAATACAGCAGCATTAAATGAAAAGGAATCACACACAGTATGAATGAAGTGAGAAAGGAATGTTTTCTAACAACACCAGAATGCTTTATCAAGGGTATCACAAGTGAAGAATCACAAGTGAGACAAAATATGACCATATTCTATAGACATTATTTTTAGTTTGGTACAGGCAGTACAAATGACTTCATTCAAATAGTCTCACTTTACTTACAAACCATCTGTGTTCAAATACTAAGATGTTTGAGAACACTACCACCTTCTGGCCAATGTGAGAAATGTGCATCTCCAAACGATTCCCACCAAAGGAGCGTAAGTTAGCAAGACACCAGCATTAGTTTACTTATCTGTGCTTATGTTATCTACTTCTCTTTCAATACCATTTCACCCTCACTTTTGAATATTTTTCACGTGTTTTTACTCCTATGACTTACTTCTCATTCAGGTGTGTGACTGACTTCTTTTAATGCTCAATGACAAAAGAATACCTTCATAAAAATTTTATTTTCTGTAAAGCAGTGCTATTTAGTGATCAGCACTCCTAAGTCTGTGCAATAAGCTAGTGATGCTTGTGCACCTACTGCAAATTTTAGTTTTCTAAAACACTTGGAAACAACATACAAAAAGCTGGGAATAAATTATATATTTTCTTTTTATACTGTCAAGAAAAAAACCTGACTGATTGGTACATAACATGGCACATTTTGTACATTCAGCAACAGCTAGTAACCTTAAATAGCTTCATCTGTCTACTGACAGTTGTGATTTAAAACCAGTGAAAATACAAGGAAAATGCAATAGTGACTGTTTGGTACTTTTATCTATTAATACTATGTAATAAATATTTACATAAAACTTAAGAAAATATGTTGCTTTTTATTACTCTTTACATATTAATTGTTCCAAATATTGGAAGGTCACCACATTCAGAAGCTGAAATCATCTTACATGGAATTATTAAAGTTGTTCTCCCATGCACAATATGTACACTTTATGGTACAGGAAGTCAAGCTGTGGTACAGTGGTATTCTCCATTGTCAGCAGCCATGTCCATATGTATGAGGAAAGATTTTTTTGTGTAGGTATTCTGCCATTCTTCTGCAAGATTTTATACTTTCTACTTCAAAAAATGGAACCTGCAAATGAAACCAAAATGATTGCTGGAAATATATTTTAATAAACAACAAGAGTAAGTTTAACGTTCATTAAATAGACATGCAATTACACATCAGAGTTGCATTTTAAAATAAAACATTTACTCCTGAGTTTATTATTGATCTGTAAGTCTTGGGGGAAATCACATGAATAGAGGTTATTGCAAAGCAAATAGTGATGTTTATTACAGTTTAAACTAAGTTAAATACAAAGTAGTTAAGCTTATATGCTAAGTGCTTACAAAGGGAAAAAGGTATATCAAAACCTGAAAGTCTAGAATATGCTTACAGGTAAATATATCTCTATTTATTTCAACAGGAAAAATAAAGGATACACTCTGCTTTGGAAGAAATGTTATTTACTATATAAAGCAGTTTCTTTTTTCTTTTTTTATATCTTGTTTCTAAACTCCAAATTCAGATTTTAAACTGAAAACTCCCGACCTCTTTAGGGCATCCAGAAGGGAGTCAGGAAGATGTCAGAGGGCTGGAGCACCTCTCCTACAAAGACAGGCTAAGAGAATTAGGGCTGTTCAGCCAAGAGAAAAGAAGTAAGTTCTCCAAGCAGACCTTACAGCGACCTCGTAAAGGGGCCTACAAGAAAGCTTGAGACAGATTCTTATCAGTGACAGGACAAGGAGTCGTTACTAGTTTTAAGCTAAAATAGGGTAGGTTTAGATTAGATCTATGGAAGAAGCTCTTCACACAGAGGGTAGCGAGGTGCTGCAAGATGTTGCGCAGAGCTGGATGGGGTCTTAAGCAACCTGTTCTAACAGGTATCCCTTCCACTCCATGATCCTTCCAAACTGTTTAACGCTTTCAGTTAAGTCAAAATTTGAACTATCATCACTGCAGATAAATATTCTTTCAAGCAGTCACTATTTGTATAGGCAGAAAGTACTAACTCATCCAAGAAAAAAATGAATTTATGTAATGAACTCTCAAAAAGGCAAAAGCTAGGCAAAGAGAACATCATGTAGAAAGAGCAGTATTATACCTACCTTAGGAAGTGATTGCAACTACGGTTTTAAACATTATAGAAGAATCATTTTTCACTTGTTTTGTTAGCTAGAGTAAAAACTGTCAAGGGACTTTACCTGCACAACTTTATAACCAAGTAACTGAAGATGCCTCTGTTTAATAGCTTCTTCTCCCAGCAGATTATGGCTATTAACACAAAACCTATTTTGACCATCAACACAGAGAGCAATTCTAAAATCAAGCACAGAACAAAAGTCAGTCCATTTAGTCACTAGAACTGCTGTAATTCCTAACAAGAATGAGACAGTACCTCCTCTTATTCCCAAATACCTCCTAGAATTAAATGCAGGCTGGGAGTTACCTACTTTAGGACAATATAAATTACTCAAAAGGAAGGAGGGGAAAGACTGAAGTTTAGCAGAACTTATCTGAAAAGCAAATTTATATGCTCTAAACAAAAACTGCCACACAAATTAATGATAAGAATTTGATAGTTCTAACACTACTATTGGTAAGCTGTTTTGAATTCTTCTAGCAGGAAAAACAAGCAAAATACTTGTCTCATCTTGGAAATATCTAGCAGCTAAATTTATTCAATATATTAGTGATTCAAATTAAACCTGTATGTGTGGTTGGCAAGCATCATGGTCTGCAACAATATTTTTTCTACTTGATTGCAATTGCAACCACAGCACAGACAGGGTGCCTAAATTTATATCTAGGGATTCTCAAAAGAATTCATGTTTAGCTTGTGCTTTTAAATATGTATGCATTTTTCAGTGCAAATGGCATCTGTGGCAAATAAGAATATTTCAGAGGATCTATTAGAGAACTGTATTTGTGAACTAAAACTGGTACAGACTGTGCTAAATCCTTGCACACACTCCCAATTAATTTGATTTTAATTTGCAAAATAATTAAACATGATCAAAGTAGATTAACGTAAGTCAACATCTCTTTGATCCTAACTGTTACTGGGTTGAGAGACTGATTATCTAACACCTTATAGCCAGGAGGCAAGACAATGAGGAAAAAGTACAGATCTCTCATTTTACCAGCTTTGTCTTTTTTTGCCTTTGGTTGTAATGTGATTCAACGTTGTTGAGATCAATGCAAAATTCCAAATAACTTTATTTTTGCCAGGTGTTTACCCTGGATACTCTTTATCAGTGTTAACTAGCATTTTACCTGTGGCATCTTTTATTTTCTTACCGTGTGTGTACTTCTTCACATTGAGTAGCAGGCAACATAAAGCCTTCTTCATCTAATTTAATCTCAATATCTAGTATAGATGAAATCATGAGAGAAATTAAAACCCATTTCATGTAACAAACATCTTACTGTGATTTTCATGCTCTGAGCTGCCAACCCTCCAGCTCTCCCTTTCATTACTCACCACCAAAGCAGAAAGATTAGGCAGTTGCCACAGTGGCATTTCATTTTGCTTTAAATGAAAACAATTGTTTACAAGGAAAAGGGAAGCTGGCAGTAAAAATAAATTACAGCTGAGTTAGCAGCTATTTTCTTGAGCAGTCTAGGTGAGTAAACATTGCAGTTATTTTCTCTCCTTGTTAAAAGTCACTTTGAAAATTACATGATCTCAGAATTGTAGGGATTGTAAGAGACATGTGGAGATCATCTACTCAAACCACCTGCTAGCAGGGGTTTCCTACAGTGGGTTGCACAGAAAAGTGTCCCATTCACTTACGTATTTATCTATAAAAAGGGCAGGTAGAACTCAAGAAAAATAACTTGCTGGTGTCCAGATTCATAAGCAATTGTAAAAGCCAGGCCAAGGCTTGTAGCTTCATTAATGGTACAACTACGGTATTTGCTGCACATATTGTAAGTGCAAAGTTAAATTTCCCACTTCAAACCTTCCACAGAGCCTTCTTTGTATTCCAGTGTACTATTTCCATGTTTGCACAGTTAAGGATGCAAACAAAGGGAATATTTTTTTTATTATTTTTTCTAGAAAATAAGTGGAATTTTTGATAGCATAAGTACACATCTAATTAGTCTAAAGAACTAATGTTACTTACCAATTGTATAGAAATATGGTGTCGATACCTCTGATGAAAAATACATTCTTTTTTTCAGTAAACACAGTAGTCCACTCTTCACCTTTTTGAAGAGGTGAACATCCAGAAAACAATGAGTTGTGAGAAAGGTATTTACTTGATACTTTGGAAGGAGTTTGGGACCCTATAGTATGACAGAAAACCCAATCAGACAAAAATAAAAGGAAGATAACCTTTTAGCAATTACAAAATAATTCTGCAATAATGTAATAAAATATATTCAGTACAGTTCAAAGCTATGTCTAATGAAAACCTCAGTGTGAGGTATGATCTGCTGGAAAATAAACCAACCAATCACTCCCATCCCCAAACATCCTCAGCAAGCTTCTGTGCTATCATGCTGAATAATATCTATTGCTCATGAGAAATGGACAACTGTTTCCATTCCTCTTCATCAGGCCAACATCAAAGTGGCTGATCTTTTATGTGCTCCAAGATTTTAGAGACCAAACATTAAAAAAGGTAATAGTTGATGGAAAAGTAATACACAGAATGCACTTGAACTTACAGCTAGTCAGTTCTTTCAAACAGACATGGATCAGTCATTCAAACAGGCAGAAACACTTCATATTTACACCAAGAAATACAGGCTGTTTTATTCAATTCCAATGTTTTTACAGCAAAGACAGCCCTCAGCTTCTATCAGTGTGCTCATACCTAATGACATCATCATTTTAGTGTCAGCTTTTAGTGTCAGTTCCTGTTTCGTATCTACCATACCTTATAAAACGGGCACTCCAGGGTAACAGTTAGAAAAAGCTGTGTTAGCTGGGAGGCAACAACTCTGTCCAAACCAGGTGGCTGAGCTGAAACAACAATATTCAAGTTTACAGGTTTACTTTCACATATGCTGTCATGCAGAAATTAGGAAAAGCGATTCAGTTAAACATGCAGAGAAGCTATATTCATCTTTATATGAATGAACAGAAAGATCAGCTATGAAGTGATGTATTTAGAAAAATAAGGAACTGATTTACAGAAATATCAACATAAGAAATATACAGTCAGCAAGATCTTGGGGCTGTCAGAATCTTTCACAAAAAAAGGAGGATCTGAGAAATGCAAGATGTCCTACAGTAAGGCATAAACTTCAGTTCAAGTCTTGGACAATTATGCATTTCCTTCTTCTTCCTGAAACCCTCTGAGGATGGAACTGCAGTGCTCACTACAGGCAGAAAAGAAAGGAGCTCAGGGCATGGAACTAAGAGGGGCACAGAACAGAACCACCTGAGAAGTGTAGTTGGCAGATACGATGCTAGTGGGAAGAAGCATCATGTAACCACATTAAAGTTCAAAGTAATTTATAAAGCAGGGCAAAGCACCAATCTTTACGAATAAAACATGCGAGTCTTAGAACACAATTCACATTTTTATCTAGATATTTTAAAATAAAAGTCAGCAGTTAAGGATAGGTTGGTATATTATGACACTACTATGTTTTACAGGCTTATTTTTATTTAATTAAGCCATAAATTATGTACTGCACAATATCTTTTATCAGATTTATCCATGTATCTTTTTTAGTTTTCAGAAGATTATTATAATACAATACAAAAGGAAAACAAAACCGTATTGAAAGCAAAAATACAATAATCTGTATCCTGAAAGGACAGAACAGGAAAATTGATAGATGAAGTCCTGGTTCTATTTTAAACTCACCTGAACAGCTGGACACAATGCAGCAGAAGCATCTAAAAAGATGTGTAAGATGAAAGACAACTACGGAGAAAATCAGAGGGGTGGTATTTTTTGGAAAGGTAGGATTAACTGAAATAGAATTTTTGGGAATTTGAAATCTCTATTTAAGACTGCAGCGCAATTTTCAAATTCTAACAAATCATGCAATTTGAAAGGCAATTGCAACTGTGACGAGGAAGCCTCCTGATCACTGTTCTCCAGTCACCCTTATCAGGTCCTTGTTGTTTTGACAGGATTAGACATACCATAAAATAGTGAGAAATGGGGAGTGCTAGTGGAGAAACACTGCTTCTTACCTTGAAGCTGTTGCAGGAAAAAGGGACTAAATATTTTTGGCAGAAAATTTACTGGATAACGCTGAATAAGAACACATGAGTGCAGCAGATTCAACAAGGCGTGAGGCTGAAACTGACTAAAACGAGTATGTAATATTGTTTCAAGCTTCTTAAACAAGGAAGAAGCATTTGGAGGGAGGTAGTTCAGAGTCCCAAATGGGACAATATATTCAGCAATCTGGTCAGCGGTAAAGCTGTCAGCATTAGAAATGAAACCTTCTGCCACTGCATCCAAGATAGGCTTCGAGAGGATCTTCTTTTGACAGAAGTATTGCATGACTTTGCTGACAGTTTCAGGACACATAGTAGGGATGGACTTGGGAATATGCTTTTCCAGTGCTTCTGTAAAAATTTGTTCACGGTGTCCAAAGAACAGGAAGGCTTCCAGTACACTTACCAACTCATCATCAGTAAAGTAAGGAACATGCTTCACAGAATGCTTACATAGTGCTAAGATTAAGGGAACTACCTGAGTCTGATGGAGAGCCACCAGAGAATTCAGTATTACACTTGTGAACTTTGGACTTAGCTGGTAAGCTAAGGTTAAAGTGGCACTGTTCATCCTGTTTAGCAAGTCCCAGTATTGTTCCCTTTCCCCAACCACCACCTGCAGTATCTTATAAACCATCGCCATTTCCCTAGGACTCCAGTTCTCAATGTCTTTTTCTTGCATGCGGCTCACAATCTGTTCCAGCATAGCACAACTTGGGCCTTTCAACTCGAGCAAACTCTCTCCAAGAGAGCAGAGATTGTCAACAGTCAGCTTTCTGTTAGCAAGCCGCTCTTCACTCTCTGAAAGCAAGCATGCTATCAGTGTACTCTGGGGATCTACACGTAGCTTTATCAAAGCTTGCAGTGCATTCAGCAGGCCGCTGTTGGACAGTTTTGAGGATTCAAATTCAAACTGAAAGCATAATGCCCTGAAAACGTCATTCTCTAGCACATCTTCAGGGTTTTTCAGACCATCGTCATCCACCTCAACTTCAGAAATCCTCTGCAGGGCTCCCGATGCCATAATATCAGACATAACTTCCAAGGAACGAAGAAACTTAAAAATCTCTTGCGACGTATGGAGGCTTTTCAGCGTCCTGAAGAACACTCGTTCATCCATCCACCGCTCATCAGCCTTAGCGCTGCTCCCAGTATCCCCACAGAAATGCACGCTTTCATGAACAGAAAGAGACCGCATCCGCAGCTGCACGTGGTTTTTCCGACAAAACACATCCCGACATTTGTCCTTGGAACACAGCACCCTCACGGCCGTGGGACGATAGCTTTGGGGCTTTCGCCGTTCGCTGACGAAGCTCAAGCTTTTGCTTAGGGTCATCAAAATACGCCTGCTCGCTGGTGCGCCGGGTGAACAGAGGTGGAAGCTTTTCAGGCTGATCAAAGCCATATCGGAACGAGCGTGTCCTCAGAAGACACCTAGAAGAAAGAGACGTGAGCGCACGAACCCGCCCTCGCCTCGCCCCTCGCCCCTCGTCCTTCCTCGGCCCTTCGGGGCGGCGGAGAAGCGGCGCGGGCCCGATGAAGCCTCACCTCCAGCGCCATGACGGGCAGCGCGGCACGTCGGGAGCTTCCGGCGCTCACCGCCTCGGCCCCGCCGGGTGCCGGAGGCTCCGGGCGCTGCTCTCCCCGCTGCCGCCTGGTCCGGGGCCCCGAAGCGAGCTGGCTGCCGGCCGGGCTGCGGGGTGCCAGGGTGCCAAGGTGCCAAGCTGCATGAAACCGGGGCTTGCCGCGTTCCGGCTGCTCCGGCTTCCGGGGGTGAAATAAAAGCGGATGTGTCCTCACTCCGCGCTTCTCGTCTCAGCCCGGAGGGAGAGGAAGGGGACGGGCCTGTTCTGCTGCCTGCTACAGAGAGAAAGCGATTCCCAGCAAGGCAGCTGGGAAGAAACAAAACAAAACGATGCACAGACTGGCCTGGCTGTGAGGTCGAGGTGTCACCGTCCAGCTTAAAGCCCACGGAAAAGCGTAAAGGTACTGCGGAAGTTTCTTCTGTTTTTATCCCGTCCGTGGCCGCTCGGGTTGACGTGCTGCCAAACCGGGTGCGTTAGCCAGCTGGCCTGGCCCTGTGGGACATAGGCTGGCAGAATCAGGGGTTTGGGAGGGATCTCTGGAGACCATCCGGTGCCAGCCCCCCGGCAAAGCAGGTTTCCTATAGCGGGTTGCACAAGAAAGCACTCAGGTGGGTTTTGAGTATCTCCAGAGAATGAGACTCCACAGCTTCTCTGTGCAGTCTCTTCCAGGGCTCTAGTGCCCTCAAATAAGTTTTTTCTTGCCTTCACATGGAACTTCTGTGTTGCAGTTTGTGCCCGTTGCCCCTTGTTGTATTGCTGTATGCCACAGAAGAGAGCCTGGCTCCATCCACTTGACTTTAGACATATATCACTTTAGAAATATATAAGAGGTGATGAGAGCCCTTCAAAGCTGTGTAACTACCAGTGCCGCTGCCCCTGCTTCTATGAAGGCATGCCATGGGCATGCATAGGTGGCTTGCTTGGTCATAAAGTGTGTTGGCCGCAGAGCTGATGGACTCACTGTTAATATTCTGAGTACTGCGAGTATTCTGACGCTTCTGAGTACTAAATCAAATGAGTTATAATGCAGATTTTGTTCCTTAGTTTCTTGTTAAGCCCTAGTTTGAGTCATAGAATCATAGAATTGCTCAGGTTGGAAAAGACCTAAAAGATCATCAAGTCCAACCGCAACCTAACAATAGTACCTTAACTCTAACAACCCTGCAGTCAGCAAATCCTGGTTTGTTTTCCCAGCTTAAACATTATATTGGTTTTTGGCACATAACTGCCAACATAAAACCTGCTAAAACACTGCTGCTATGTGAAGCTCCGTAGAGAAGGGCCTCAGTGTCCTGATGGACAGCAGGTTGGCCATGAGCCAGCAGTGCGCCCTTGTGGCCAAGAAGGCCGGTGGGACCCTGGGGTGTCTTCCAAAGAGTGTGGCCAGCAGGTCGAGGGAGGTGATCTTCCCCCTCTCCTCTGCCCTGGTGAGGCCACATCTGGAGTACTGTGTCCCATTCTGGGCTCCTCAGCTCAAGAAAGACAGGGAACTTCTAGACGGGGTGCAGCAGAGGATGAGGAGGGGCGTGGAACATCTCCTTTATGAGGAGAGGCTGAGAGAGCTGAGGCTGTTCAACTTGGAGAAGAGAAGGTTGAGATGAGGATCTCGTCACTGTTTATAAATACCCAGAGTGCAGGAGACAAGTGGATGGGTCCAGATTCTTTTCAGTGGTGTGCAGATAGAACAAGGGGACAATGGGTAAAAACTGGAGCGCAGGAAGTTCCATGCAACACAAGTAGGAAATTCCTTAGTGTGAGAGTAACAGAGTACTGGGACGGGCTGTCTGGAGAGGCTGTGGAGTCTCTTTCTCTGGCGATAAAGACCTGTCTGGACACTTTCCTGTATGACTACAGCAGGGAACCTGCTTTAGCACTGGTGTTGGACTCAATAAACTGTAGAGGCCCCTTCCAACTCCTATAAATCTGTAATTTGTAATAACACCCAAGTTAGAGTACTTCTCTAGTAGTCAAGCATTATGCTTTTCTTATCTTTTTTTTTCTCTTTTTTTTTTTCCAGTTGAACCCATATCACATAAATGGAATATCATCTTTGAAGAGAGTATAGTGCAGAAAGCAAGAGCAATGTAGGCAACACTTTCACCTCAGCGCGAGTGTGTTTCTCTTCTATGACTGTGCTTGTCTGCAGGTAGGTGTGGCTCATTTTCCTTTAATAGGCACTGTTTGAACAGTTTGTGCCTGAAGCTCTTCTGGTTGATGTCAGAGATAGGATGCTTCATAGGGACACAGTGTTTGGTGTGAATCAAGATCAAAGCAATTTCTCAATCTATTAATGACATAATTAACTGTCAAGCAGTTAATTGAACCGTTGTTTAATCAGTTAATTAAGCTGTATTTTCAGGATCAATAGCAGCAATTAAATAATATCATGGTCTAGTAAAATATTGATAAATTCCTACAAAACAGCCATCTATGCCTAATTACAAGGAATCATGTCATTGTAGCCTTGTCCTTTTTCGCAAGTACATGTACACACCATTATATATGCACAGTTCCCTCTATCAGAAGGAATGCATATCTAGCACAATTTCCTCGTTGGGCCCTGTGAGTTTTCTTGTTTGCACATCCTCTGTAGGAGATGTTGGTCTGACTTCTGTGTCTCTATAAATCTACTAGCCCCCAACACCAGTTAGAAGGGTCCCTGCAGATTCATATATACACACCAATCCATCTTTCCAAATCCAATGTACATGTTTTCCAATTGAAAAGAAGTATGTTGGTTGCTTAGCTTCCAGACTTCTGTCTGTACAAGACTTCTGTGGTACCGTGTGTCCCAAGTGGAAACCCGATGATCCTTCTTCCTTTGTTAGGTATGAGAAAGAATGTAGTAATGAAACATCACTTCAACTTTACTTTTTATCCATTTATTTAGCCAGACATTTCCACTTGCGGACAGGAGAACAATTAGGGTGAAAGCATAGCATATAAGTAGGATTAATCTGTATTTCTAGAGAGATTTGAGGGTATTAAAAATGTATTTCATATGAATCTTCATAATTTCTGTATGGTCAAACATTTCTTCTAAAAAAGGAGAGCAAAAAATCATTCTGTGGATTACTTTGCTTGTATGAAAAGAGTTATTTGAATGAATTTGTTTAAATATCTGTGGATAATATAATCAATTTAAGGTAAAAAATTATGCTGGGAAATATAGAGGTACAGAATACAATGAAAGCCTTATTTTTCCAGTAATTGCATTTTTCTTGGAGTTCAGGTATGGCACAGCCAGAGTGCTCCTAAGAAGCTATCACTTAGTTTTACCACTTTTCATTTACAAGTGTGCTTTTAAATATATATGTGTATTCTAGTAGGAGATACCTTCCATTGTAGTGTTGGGAGAAATATCTTGCCATGTGCGCAGAGTACAGTATTCTTCTATTTTCCCTGGTAGAAACAGCAAAAAAAAAATGCCTCAAATTATCTTGCAATAGGTTTGCACAAATTGATGTGTGGTGTGGATAGTAGGCTGAATGTGTCATGTAGTTGAATCTGGGTGGGCAGTAGGTAAAATACAAGAAGCTGGGTGCAAGAATTTGGAAAAAGATCTCAATTTTGAAACTGAAATTACTGAGTTTTAATTCTGGATATTTTGGTTCTGTTGCATCTCTCTAGTAGTAGCAAAATTTTGGCAGAGGATTAATTTGTAATGTACACATAAGAAATATTCTACTTCATTCAGTAGTCCTTGATGTTGTTCTTGTATCTTTCGTATTCTGTCTGTGTCAAAATCATAAAAGTTTGAATGAGAGAAGTTGTATAGATGAAGATACGCATCTCACTCATGCTACTTGTTGCAAGACTTTGTGAAGGAGTGGCACTTTACCCTGCAGATTTCTCTAAGATTTTTTTCTTATTCCAACAAAAAGAAACAACATCCGTAACAAACAGATTCTGTAGTTGCATTTCTGTAACAAGCACCTTCTTGAATCAGGGAATGAAAAATAGTGTTTGTGTTCTAAAATAAAATCATGGAGGATGAAGCATAAGGGCATTTGTGCAAAAATTAGTAATTTCAGAGAAGATGAAATTAAGAATTTAAAAGATATTTATCAGTTGTTGTAGTTGTGTTTGGATGTCATCAAATCTGTGTATTCTTTTGTCTTGAAATGCATCTCAGAAATGAGACTAAGGCAGCCACCAACTTAAAATGGAAAAGAAAGCTTAGATCATAAAAATAGAATTAATTTTGAGCCAGTCTTCTCTATTTGCACTGCTTATGTGCTAGATTCTTGACTTTGCATATTGCAGTGTAACTGCAATACAGCAAGTGTGGTCAATACCACGAGCTCTTAACACTGTGGCTTCCAAAGCTTGCTTGGAAATGGCTTCTTTTCATAGCAGATACCTCATTTCCAGGTTAAATAGCAATACTGTTAATGCACTTAAGGTATCTCTGACAAAGAGTGCAAAATCTTGCTGTTCTGAATGCAGTAAATTCACATTTTCTTTCTCTTTTTTATCTGCAGTGTCTTTAAAAAAATAAATAAGTAAAGCATTCCCTGTTTTGGAAGATGTGCTGCGATTTAAAAAGGAGATTTTTGCTCCTATATGCAACACAAAAGGGACAGGCAAAAGCCATAGCTGAGGAAATATGTCTGCAAGCAGGTGCCCATGGACTTGAAGCTGACATGCACTGTTTAAGTGAGATGGACAAGGTGAGATACTCTGTGCTGCTTTGAAAAATAGGTATTTAATGGCTGCATTTTTCTTCATTTGCTTGAGTGGTGGCTGTTGATAGCAGCAAGGTCTGAGCACATTTATCTACCTAAAATGATTTTAAATTTTCAGGTCTTTAAGAGTCAGTAACTGGGACGAGACTCACAGACTCACGATAGCCTTCTGCCAAATCTTTCTGATGGTTTTTCATAGTAGAACAGTAAATGCCAGAGTAAATTTTTGTTTCTAACAACAGCCCAGTGACTTTTTGAAAGATAATTATAGATGCAGTACTGGATAAATTTGGTATTTACTGGTCAACTCTCCAGTTAGTGGAAATGATTACTCAGTTTTTTCACTGTTTTTGTTATGTTGAGGTCTGCTTTCTGTTAGGTCTGGGCTCTAGTATGATCTTGACTTTTTGTGGTGTCCTGTTATTGAACATAAGGGTCTGTTCCAGTTCATACTTGAGATGCATTCTAGGGAAAAAAAAAAAAAAAAAAAAAAGCTTGTCTGAAGTAAGGAAGTGGCTTTTCAGTATTTGCTGTTATCCACGGGTAAAGGTCTGAAAACTTAGTTTCTGTCATGTCACGTAACTAAAAGCTTGGTGGACTGTAATTCCCTTCATAAAGTAGGTCCTCTAAAAAAGCAAACAAACAAAATGTGACAGTATTTCAACTGAGATGAACAGAAACTATCACTTTATGCACTTGAAAATGTAAGAAGTTTATAAAAAGAACTTAGATTCCTTTTAGCAAGTTGCTTTCTCGGGAATACAATTTTGTAACTGGACATCTGCTTTTTGAATGAATGTTTACTGAGTAGTATTCAGTGTAAGTATGATGTAGTGTGAGCATGTTGAAGGTTCTTACAAGGAAGCTTGTGCAGCGAGCAGGGAACATGAAGATTACCCTTATATTCTTCCATTTATTTCTTCTGCATTTGACAGCTTTGGAGATTAGTTTCAGAAAAGCAGCAGACAGGATATTTCTAGCCCTATTATTGGCCTGCCACTAAGCTCATTTGTCAGATTTGGCAAGACAACTCAGAGCGATGAATTGGAAAGGTGCACTGAGTTGAGAATGTGAGAATTAAATACTGAGGGAAAAAATAATTTCTGCGCCTTTGTAAATTTCATCACTTAAGCTTTTCCTTTTCCTTACTTTTTGCCGTAAATAAAGGGAACTTCTAGAAATGAGATGTAATTAGAGAGGGGAAGGCAGAATGACAGCTAACAGGAGCAAGAGCTTGCTTGAGCTGTGTGTGGCCTCTGATGAATTCCTCTGGGTAATTTAGATCTGACAGGTTATTTCACAACCTGCATGGTTCACAGAGGTGTGTGTGTGCCTTAGGTGACAAAGCAAAACATTTCTGTTTTGTCTGCACTCGTCTGTTAGGAGAAGGCCGTTCTTTATGCAGTTGTTCAGTATTTCTCCTGAACTCTTCATATGTGTAGAGGAGAATGTGTAGTAGATGATAATTTAAATAGTTCCATGCAACTGTTCTTGGGCTCTTCAGGAAAGTTGTGAAGAGAAAACTGTCAGTGGCAGAGCTGCTTCATAATCTGTCTTTTTGTGTTTCTCATCTTTTTTTTTGCATTGTAAGGGGTAAGCTCCACATCCTCGAGGAGGAGGGGAGATTTAAGTGACTTATTAAGTAAAGTGCTTAGAAGAGGAGTTGTACTCTGACGTTTTGAATTGCAGTCCTGAAACTGCTTAAGATGACTACGCAGTGTTTCTTGACATCTTTCTTTATATTTTCTCACAACCCTACTGTCTCATTGAACTTGGAATGCTGGGAATGAATTTAAAATGAAAGCTTTACAAAGTGGAGATGGGATTGCTTGTAATGGCAGAGAGGAGGCTAAGGAGCAACCCAGCAGTTCATATGCTTTCTGGTAGTCACATTACAATTCTTCTGTTCATTTGGTCCTGTACATTGGATTTAAGCCACAAGCAAGGTTATAGATTGCATCCCCAAAATAATTTCCAATTATTTGAAAGGCTTTCTGTAGTTTAATACAGGTAAGATATGATTAAACAATTTTCTGTGTGCCTTTGGGAGAAGGAAAATAATGCATAAAGCCTCAAATAGTTGTGAAATGGCACCTTGTAATTGCTTGTTCTATTACTTGTAGTACAACTTGGAAACAGAAAAGGATCCTGTAGTTATTGTCATTTCCACAACTGGGACCGGCGACCCACCAGACACTGCCCGCAAGTTCGTTAAGAAAATCCGGGATAAGACCTTGCCACCTGATCATTTGGCACATCTTCAGTATGGATTGTTAGGTGATGTAGTGTTTTGTGTGTTAATGCAGAGCTTGCCTGTCACTGAGTAATTTTGTGTTATACTTCTAAATAAGGTTTGTTTTATTTATTTCTGCAGTATCAACAGTTTTATGGGCTTTTTCTTAATCTCTATGTGCAATAAAGGAATAATATCACAGAAGTGATCTGAATGCAAGCTACCAATTAACTTTTTATAGTTTAATTTTCTTTACATAAATAAAATGTGATATTAACTATCTGTAGTTGCTGAAGTTTTAATTTCATGTGAAATCCCTATGGACTACTAGCTGAGTTTACTTGGCTTTGTGAGTGATTGGATATTTTTCTGTGCAGCAATGTAAAACATTTATGATAAATAAGCTTTTAGCATTATCTCATCCCTTTACATTTGTTATAGGTCTTTTCATTTTAAATATCACACTTAGTGGTGGATAGAAGGAACGTAACCTTGTGTTACATGTTGAATAGCAAAATGCACAGATATGTGATGGATCTTGAGCAGGTCGGTTTGCTGAGGTTTTCGGATTGTTTGAACAAACTCCAGAAACATTTGTTAACCTGACAAATTTAAATTGCTGGAGAGGAGTATGAAAAATTTTAGATTTCTCTTGAGGGAATTCCACACTGGAAGGAAATCTCTTGTGAACCTGTAACATGGCAGTATAAAATACACACATCTTAAGCAGGAAACATTTTGAGAAGATGCTATGTTGCTACCTATTTATATGTTACATTCTGTGCAGTGATTAATTTTTTCATATCTAACAGGTTGAGAGAGTTGGGACTTTTCAGCCTGGAGTAGAAAAGGCTCAGGCCTTTTAGTGACCTTCCAGTACCTGAAAAGAGCCTACAGGAAAGCTGGGGAGGGATTGCTAAGAAGTCATGTAGTGACAAGGGAAAGTGGTTTTAAACTGGAAATGGGTAGAATTACATTACATATTAGAAAGAAATTTTTTGCTGTTAGGGTGATGAGACCGTGGAACAGGTTGCCCAGTTGTGGATGCCCCCTAATATTTACTTCTGATGTAAAAGCTGTTTTAAAGAAGAAAGAAATAGTCCATTGCAAGTGAGCATGATAAGAGTTGTATGCCAGAAAGAGGCAGGCTGTGGAAAAACTGCTAGTGAGGATAGTGAAACATTAGGCAAATTAGAGAATTTGTGGAGACTGCATAACCAGAAGTCTTCAGGATGGCTAAGTAAGTGTCTGCTAAGATGAGCTACATGTGGTTAATCTCTCTGAAGGTGTGTCGGATAACCTTGTCGAACTCAGGTCTTCCATGTAGTCCACTGACTGTAACCCTCCAGTCCCCTGTCTTTTTAAGTGATAACAGTGTGTCATCTAATGTAACATCTTTGTGACAGTTAAAGGTTTTGATATTTTTAAATCACTTAAAATGCTGCCACTTTGTTTGTAATAGAATGTATTACTACTAAACAAGGTATAATGGTAATAACAGTTCTAATCTAAAGGGGAGATACTGTGTGATTTATCAGAAGAGAGTATCAGCTTCACTGTGTTTCTTATTATTTCAGCTCTCTACATTTTCCTCTCAGAGAGATTAGGGGTTTTTTTAATTATTATTATTTTTAAAGTCCCTAACTAAAACAATATTCCTCAGAAATGCTTTCTAAGAAAAGTATTTTTCAGATAAGTTCTGCCTTATATTTGTGTAGGAGAAATGACTTTCTCAGCAATAATTTGGGACTAATACAGATATATTTATTTATTTTTAAGTCATAAAAGTGTCCTCAAAATACAAAATGCTTTGATATATCAGGTTATCTTGCTTGCCTGCAAGAAAGTTGTGTTTTATTTGCAGATCTTTGTGTAGTCTGTGTGGCTGACAGGCTGACATAATCTTTTTTTCTTTGTATATCTTAGGTCTGGGAGACTCAGAGTACACGTTCTTTTGTAACGGTGGAAAGACAGTAGACCGACTACTTCAAGAACTTGGTGCCCAGCATTTCTATGATACAGGATTAGCAGATGATTGTGTAGGGTAAGAACCAAATGAGTCTGAATTTTGTGTCTTTGATATGTATAATATTTAGATATTATTTTGGCGAAACTCTAAAATCAGCTGAACCCAATTGCCTGACACCTCCGAGGAATTAATCCTAACTGAACATAGTATGTCATTTTCAATCTTAATTGCCATTCAATGCAACTGCATTTTTAAGGTCTGAGCAGACATCTGTAATGCCTTTAAAAATGGAGGGCATACAGCAGTTTTATAAACTAAGTTGTTCCAAATAAAGATAAGCTTTTTAAAATCAAATCCAAGTTTACTCAAACAAAACCAGTTCCATAGCATGTGTGCAGTTGGAATGCTTTAGGCATATTCTAAAATATGTTTTACTTCCTTCTCCGTGTTCTGTAAAGCATCCTTTTTTTTTTCTTTTTTTTTTTTTTTGTTTTGTTTTGGTAGAGAAATTATGTAAAAGTAATTTTATTTTATAAAATAGAGGAGGTATGTAAGAAAACAGCTTTCTACCTGTTCTGTTGCTGTCTCTGACCAGTAGGCTGCAGTCTTGGTTTATTTATTTTCAAGTGCAGATTTTACTGGTTTTGTGGATGATGACACAAGCAATGAAACACAAACATTACCATAATCATAAAAATTATATCTTGCATTCTAGAATAGTAAAAGTGCAGCGTTGTTTTAAGGCATTGATGTTCCTGTTGCTTGTGAAAAGCTGCAGGTTTTGCTACCAAGCTTTCAACTTGCTGTCATGAAGATCAGCCTAAGAAAATAAAAATGTGAAACTGGAAAAAGAGTGAGGCTTCTGTGTACTGCGGATTATATACCTTTGCATAGCATTAATAACTAAATGAAAATACTTGTTACCAGGATTATTTTTTTGTTATAATGCCTTTTTTACTTTTCTTTGGTCATTTCTAAATTAACAGTGCAATAAGTTTGCAATGAGTCCATTCTTTTTTTGTCTTTTTTAATTTATTTTTTCTTCTTCTCTTTTCTCTCTCCCTCTTTAGATTGGAACTAGTGGTTGATCCTTGGATTGATGGACTTTGGCTTGCCCTCAACGAAGTATTTCAGTTGCAGAAAGAAAAAGAAGGCATGAGCAATGATGTCAGTGCAGACCCACATGTTGGGCATGAAATGAACTTAAGCTCAAAAATACAGAATTTGAATTTAGAAGATGAAGGAATGAGGAGTTCTGATGGTCCATCACATAAACTGCTTGACATCAATGTTGTGGCTTCAGCTACAGACACTGAACCTTCGCTTGTTCACTCAGTCCCTCCCATCTCTCAGTCTGCTCTTAATATTCCTGCCCTGCCACCAGAGTATATAGAGGTTCAGTTTCAGGACACCCATGGGGAGGTAAGAACTTCACTTTGAATGATGAAGGCCTCCAGTTGCAGTAAGAGCATGCCACTAAAAAGAATAAATGGATACATATCTAAATCCCTGGCCACGGGAGTTTTTTAATTGTAAGTGAAAAGGCCGTTTGTGTGTTTAAGAAAGTAATTTTCACCGAATGAATTAAGGACACAGATGTAAAAATGTATTTTAACTAAATTACAATTTGATAGAGGAACGACACTGCCAGGAATAGGACAAATTAAAATCGTCAGTGTTCAATTTATTTAATATAAATAAATAATCCATCGTGTTCAGACAGTGAAAACATCTTCCTTTGGAAAGGATTATGGTGCAATTTCAGTTCAAATTTTTAGTACTTGCAGAATGCCTGAAGAAGATGTGAAATTGCTCAAAATATTGCTGCATATTTAATAACTTACAAACTAGTGATTGTAGAAGAGTGGCCATAACTGTGCTGTAACAGACAGAAGATGAAGTGCAGATCAAAAATCAGTGTGCTTTTATTATGAAACCATGTAGAAATAAGAGCTGCTACACAAGGAGAAGAATTAGCATAAACTAGTGATCATCTCAAGTGGGCAGATTTAGTGAAATGGCGAGTGTGATTCAAAACTTTTCAGATTAGTTGCCGAAGGGCAGATGTTTTGATTATTCTGTGAGGGAACAGTGAAGGAGCTGGATGTGATAACACAGCTGAAAGGACAAAGGCCCCGTTCCCCAGTACTCAAGCAATGCAAAATGAGAGAGATGGCAGCTGGGATCAGACAAAAGTGCTGGCTATCAGGCAAGTGTATGTGAATGAAGCAGGTCTGAGGCTAAGTTGTTGAGTTGAACTGTCCAAATTACTGAAAGATTTAGAGGTACTCTGCTATTACAACACTCAGGCTGAGAGGGGTGCTGTAGAGCTTAAAAAGAGAGATTGGGCACTCCTGATAAACTACTCCTGAGAGACTAACCCATAAAATCAAAGTGGCTGTTTTTAAGAGCTTTTGAGAAAGGCAACAAGTAGCCGCATTTGATAACAGTTTAGGCCCATTGGACTGTTCAGACATATGGACTTTTTATAGCCAAAAATATGCCTGTTATTACTTAGATGTGATTTTAAAAAATGCAGAGATAAACACCTGTGTTTGTAGAAGATGCGTGTTTTCCCTCTTCTTGTTTTAGTAAGCTGTTATTCAGCTAATTTGCATTTTTTGGTGTAAGTTTTCATGTCCTCTTTTTCAGAATCCTCAACTGTCCTCACTGATTTCAGAGGGAACAACCTTCGAAGTGCCAGTTACAAAAGCATCTCAGCTCACTAGGCAAGATGCAGTAAAAACTGCATTGCTTTTAGAACTTGATATTGCAGTAAGTTAGTGATAGCTTTGTAATTTTTTTTTTTAATGAGTGGGTAAAATGAAGGGGTAAAAAGCTTGTGTATTATGCATAATAACTTATGCATATTAGTTTAGACGAAATCTTTTAACAGGAAAGTATTCTGCTTTTGAGCTTTTCTTCACCGACAAGTCCTGAATATCTCTGGAGAAGGAGACTCCACAGCCTCTCTGGGCAACCTGTTCCAATGTTCTGTCACTCTCACAGTAAAGAATTTCTTCCTTGTGTTTGTATGGAACCTCCCATGTTCCAGTTTCTGCTCATTGTCTCTTGTTTTGTTGCTTGCCACCAGAAAGAGCCACTTGACTGCTGTGTTTAGATATTTATAAACAGTAATGAGATCCCCTCTCAGCTTCTCTTCTCCAGGCTGGGCACTCTTAGGTCTCTCAGCCTTTGCTGGGACTGGAGATGCTTAATCAACTTTGTTGCCATCTGCTGGATTATTTCTAGGAGATCCTTGTATTTTTTTTTTTTACCTGGAGAGCCCGAAACTGGACACAGCATTCCAGATGTGGCCACACCAGGGCAGAGTAGAGATGTTGAATCAACTCCTTTGACCTGTTAGCCACTTCCTTTTTAATGAATGGAAGACTGTTGTTACGAACAAGGATGATGTTGGCCTTGGTTTACTTTTCAGTCTTATTGAAAAGATTTCATATTCTCAAACAGGATACAGCCTTTGATTACCAACCTGGAGATGCTTTCTGTGTAGTATGTCCCAATAATGTCAATGAGGTGGAAGAACTACTTCACATCTTGGGACTTTCTGAAAAAGGAGAGAATTTTGTTTGTATAAAGGTTAAGCAGGACACTAAAAAAAAAGGTAAGGTGTGATACATTGGTTATGAAAACATATTCCTCTCTGTGATAGTAGTAATTGGGTATGCATAGTTTTGAACATTTTGAACTTAGGTATCGGCACACAACTGTTATTTTGTAGAGGTATGCCAGAAATCAAAAGGAGTGGGCACATAAAATCTGCTCCTCTTTATACTGTTGATGATTTAGCTTATGAAAGGGAACTTGATCCTGTCATTGAGATTCTTCTGTCACTCATTGTGTCTGCTTCTGTGCAAGTAACCTAACATTTCTCCAGCTGAAAGTAAAAATCTCCCTTTCACATTCATCTGCCCTACATCCTCGGAGAGCTGCACTTCTGGAGTATAAAACTTACTGCTGCTGTGTGGTGCTTTTTTAAGGGCTTGTTGGTCTTTGTGTATCAGTTTTGTTGAGTTTTGTGGTCCCATTCCTCATAAAGGGATGCGTAAGATTCAAGATATGTCCACATACTACTAACAGGACCTATGAGAATTACTCTATCCTGGCCATGCAGTTGGTGTCATAATGGTCGTGCTGAATCTTGCTTCCAGTTCAGTAGGATGGAGTAGGGGTCTGTGTTGCTCCAGTCTGCCGGTAAATCAGTTCCCACTGCACAATTCCCTGGATCATTGAGGGCTGCACAAATTGTCCCTTAAGTATGAGATTTAAATGGACCCCTGTTCCTGGCCTTGATGAGTAACATGTTTGTTGGTGAGGTGGGTTTATATGACAGGCAGTAACATAACACTTCCATCCACTCTCCCAATGTATGCCATGCTACAGTGGTGCATGAGAGTTCTGGTGATTGCAAAGGTTGCCATTCCCTTAGGTTTCTCGCTCTGGTATACCCTACTTGGTCTTCAAGATGGGGATTTGCACTTCAGATTGGGATCCTGTGCCTTTTAATGTACTGTGCAGTCTTGTTCATACCTTTCCCTCAGTCCTTGATCCATAATATAGAGATTTGGAAGAACAAAGTAGTCAAAACAGTACAGATGGAATGCACAAACCTAACTGCCATTTAAGTATTACCATTCCCAAGGTAGCTACAAGTGCACAAGAAGTTTAGGATATAATTAGGAGCCAGTCCTTTCCTGTTGAGTACAGAGGCTACTTGGGAATGGTGAGTGCAGCAGACAACTGATATTTCTTCCCTTAACACCCTTCTCTGCCAACAAACAATACTGCTTGCATCCCATGTAGATCTGATGAGTTTTTCACATGTTTATGTTGTTTTGTTTCTGTTTTGTATTTGTTTTTTAATTTGGAATGACATAAATTGCTGGTCCCTGTGCTGAGGATGAGCCCCATGTCTGCAGAGCCAGTCTGACTTTTTAACAGCCTTTCTTCAGATTAGGGCCTAAACTCTGATCATTGTCACCTGTTTGCATTGTTTACAGTATTTACAATTTTAAGGAGTCAAATGCAGCTTCAGAGAAAGCATAAAGGAGGAGAACATGAAGGAGGAGGAGGCAGTGAGGGCTAAAACATCAAATCTTAGTAGGAAAGTGGGCTTGAAGTTTGGTCCCTCCTAAAGGCTAGCAAGTTACCCTGTATCAATCAGAACCCTGCTATCTGGCTGCATAAAACTTAAATTTCTCTGTAAGTTGAGGTAATGCTCAGAGTCTCCTTCAGTAGTCACAGAGAGATACTCTTTCATCTCTGCCTTCAGTAGCTCCCATCTGCAATTACTGATCTTATACAGAGGGTGTACAGCTGTTTGAACAGGGCATATTGAGTTCTTTAGTATCAGAGCACTTCTAGCGTGCAATAGAAGTTGTATAGCCATGTAAATGTATCTTAGTCACTTAATTTTGCTTGTATATTGTAGTAGGCGAAGTAGTAGTATATCAAGAACTAATAGTCCTTCCGTGGTAAGGCTGAGAGAAACTCTGGTATAATAGTGGTTTGAAACTGGGAATATCATTCCTCTCTTCTTATGTATGAAGGTATTTGCATCTCTGGCTGCTTAGTGCAGCACTTTTTGCCATGTCTTGTATTTAAAATGTCACACCTGCTGTTGAGTTGGAATGAATAGTAATGGAAAGAAAGATGATAGCACTATGCTGTAGCAGAGAAAATCAAAGATCCTGGTTCTGCTCTTGAGTCTTCTGGGCAACCCAGCGCAAATCATGCTGACTTTTTACATAACTTATGTACTGTACCAGAATCACCTCTACTGTCTTTGCTGGCACGAAGGCAAGTGCTTCTCTAAGGAGTTTGCATCCAACTGTTTCACCTCTATTTGGGCTAGCAGTTGAGCAAAATGATTGTCAGGTAGCATTTTTATTTAGGAAAAGATCCAGTGACCTCCAACCACAGATTACACGCTCAATAATACCCATGGTAATTATGAACTAAAACAGTTTAGGGCTAATCCCAAATTTGTTTGTTTGGAGCTGCCCTGGTGAGCATAGACTCATTAAGTTACTGAGTCTTCATTACTTGCTGTTGTCAGTCTGTACCAGAGACTTAAGCTGCGTAATGCAGCTTCACAATTCCTGGCAATGTTCTTGAGTTCCTTTCTATAGAAGATGGTTGTCCCTTCAACTGTCTTCACTTTACTGAGGAATTTGCAATAAATATTATGGTTGTAGGTCTACCAAATGAAGAAAGCTGAAAAACCTAGGAGAAGAGATGAGTATGAGTAGAGAGCTGTGCATCTGATGCGTGTCTGCAAGACTTAGTAGGAAATCCAATGAATTCTTCTTACAACTTCTCTTTGTTCAGCATGTGATTCTTTGATGAAGTACATGGGATCAAATGAAGGAACAAAATAGAGAAATTATTTAGCAGTCTATTGTTCAAATTCTGTTTTTTCTAGAAGTTAAGTTAATAAAAAAAGTTGTTTTCTGTTGTATGAGCATCCTTAAAGGAAGATTAAGTACTTATTTTGAAAATCTGTCTGCATGTTGGAGGAAAAAAAAATGTTTTTTCTTTCCTGCATTACATTTATGGAATCCACTTTCTGTCTAAAAACTAGTTTTGCTTTTTATAGCAAGAGCTGAGTCAATTAATGCTGATACAAAGAGATAACTTAGAAAGTTATGTAGTTATATTCTTACACTGAAATTTCTGTTTCAATAAAGGACTCTTGAAATTGGAGAAAAGAACAGTAAAAATGAGTAGCTAGAAATGGAAGCCAAGAAACATCAAGATAAATCCCAACGTTCAAGTTCAGTCTGTAATGAAACAATTCTGGATATGCAGAGCTTATTAATTAATAAGTGTTTTCTCCCTTAAGTGATCCTCTATTTCGTTTAGGGTTATCTTAGAATGGGGAATATCTGCTTTAGTGTGACATAACACAAGGATGATGAACTTGACTTCACCCTGGCTGACTCCATAAAGAATGACTCAGTGTATTAAGTGTTCCTCCTTCATGAAAGGACAGTACAGGATAGGGTTTTTTTTTGCTTTTAGAGAAATTCCTGTGATCTGCTGAGCCTCAGAAGCTCCACCTTTGCAATGGCTGTGTACAACTTTGGTTTGATTGTTAGAAAGCATGTTCTGTTTTTTAAGGAGTGTTTATTAATGGAGGTGGAAAAAAATGTGGATGGTCCCTTTGCTTGTTAGCATTCCTCTGCACTTTTCAAACACTGTAAGTGGCAAAAAAGCGTTCAGTGGTCTGGCGAAATATGTTTACACATATATACTTCTCTTATTGTATTCCTTCTTTCCTGTTAACTTCTTTGCCTTTTCCTTGGAAGACTGTCTTGCTGTTTAGTTTGTAATTTTCACTAATCACTTTAGTTCATCCTACAGAACTGAATGTATTCTTCTCCTAAATAGGAGCAACTCGTCCACAACACATCCCTGAGAGAAGTACTCTGAAGTTCATTCTAACCTGGTGTCTGGAACTAAGAGCAATTCCCAAAAAGGTGTTTGTATTTCTTCTTTTAAAGTGAAATCCATAGGAATTCTATGCTGTGTGGTTTCTATGAGTTCTGTCCTTGCTTCATGTGTAGTTACCATGTTTCTTGGTGAATAGGGATTGTCAGCTTGCACGCTGCTGATCCTTTGTTCTGAGAAATTTTGCTTTTAGTGCTTTATTGGGCAAATTGTAAGATACTGAAACTCTCATTCTTTAGTACTTTGATTCGTAAAGGAACTAGACATGAAAGTGCTGAATATTTAGTGCAAGCTAACTGGAAGGCTGACAGAACCAAGCTGTAGGCATTAATGAGGAATCATTCTTCTCACCAAAGATAGCCCAACAGTATTGGTTCTGTTTTGTCCCTGGAAATACACATATTGCTCTACACAAGCATCACAGAATGTCTTTTAAATATTTTAAAGTTTTTCTTGAGCATCTTACTAACGGGCAGAATTCAGAGAAAATTTTTTGCTTGTATGTTTGTTCACACAATGCACAGATATTATTTCCCTTGTATTTTGTACTTGCAAGAAATTGGAAGCTTGCAACTGAAAATGCATGGGTATTTCTGGTTTTGTCAAAACACATTTTAAAGATAAAGCATGATGCTAACCAGCTGTGTTGGTTGGATCTATGAAGGTAATCAGTTTTTGGAAGGACTTCTCATAAAAGTGAATTTCACAAGCAGGATGCAGTATATGTCATTATTAGACAGTGTGCTGTAGAACAGAATCTCTCAACTTGTCCAGCCTGTTCAGTACTGCATTTAATTTGGCAGTTTTTGAAATTCTTTACAACAGTAGGAGTACACTTTTCAACAGTAGGAGTGCTGGCAAGGGAATATCAAGCAAACCAGTTATTATAACCTATTTTATTTCATGTTCAGTGTAGACTGGGCTGTAAGTCCATAATCAAAATGATTTTCTGGATTTTGAGTTTGCCCAAACACTAGGTTATTTTTGCAGTAATCTTTTGCATAAAATATGTACTCTGATTGCATTTGGTGTTTTGGATCACTCTTCTTTCTAAACACTATGTTTATTTTTATCTTTTGGAAAGCAAATGCGCGCGCACACACACACACACACGCAAACAACAACAACAACAAAAACCCTGGCACTATTTATATATGATTTTTACTTTTATCTTTCAGCGCTCTATTTAATTTTATTAAGAAAAGCTTGTGTTAATGTTATGTATTCTTGCAGTACAGAATAAAACACTGCAGCAACATTTATATGACTCATAAATTCCATACTTTATTTACAGTAATATCACTTCTAAGACTTTGTATTATTCCTTTCCCAGCTTCTGCAATTTAGCAAATGGTGTTTTGTCTTGAATTAATTTGCATTATGGAGCTGCTTTCTAAAGTGCCAATACATAAATCAAGTATCTCATAAATTTAGTATTTATCTGGAAATTGGTTAAGTCTGTTTATCTATCTCTTCTGTTCAGGCAAAGTAGGATTTTCTGACCTGCTAGCTTTTCCCAGACATTGGGGGTGAGGGGTGGTGGGAGGAATTTATATTGTTCATGGTAGATGAAAGTGAATGTTGGAAAATAAATTGTATTTTGTATTAACCGTTAACCTGCAAGCTGACCACTTCCTTTCCACAGGCAATTCAAGTTTTTCATAGATTTGTCAACGTTTCCCCAACTGGACAAATTGTTTACTTTCTACTCTCGCTTTCTTTCCTTCAGGCATTCTTGCGAGCCCTTGTAGAATGCACCAGTAATGCAAGAGAAAAACGGAGGCTTCAGGAGCTCTGCAGCAAACAAGGAGCCTCTGACTACACTCATTTTATTAGAGAGAATAATGTTTGCTTGCTGGATTTACTTCATGCTTTTCCAAGCTGCAAGCCTTCACTTAACCTTTTAATTGGTAAGTGGTTTAGACTTAACTGGTTTTAGTTCATTCTGAAAAATGCATCAGACTAAACATTCAGTTTCTTAAAATGCAGATACTCTTCAGTTAGAAATGCTATAGTATTCATAGTCATCAAATTCAAATGTTAGGGGGCATCACTCTGTTCTGTGGTTGTCTGTGGCCTTTGTTCCGCACTTAGTTGCGTACCTGTGCTTTTAATGACTCTGAATTGGTCCTGTGCATAAAAATAAGTATAAGGTGTTTGTAAGAGTAGTGTTTTTAAGAACCAATTCTTCAGCTGGGTACAGTTTGAAAAGACATGTTTGTATATCCCCTGATATCCCTGCCCTTGTGTTTTTTTCTTGGGCTTTTATCTGCAGAAACAAAAAGCTTTTCCCAGTACATTGTTGTTTAAGATACATCTAATACACTTGCTGAGTTCGTTGTGTAAAACTTTGAAGGAATGAGACTAAAACTGCAGGTATATCAAACTCCTCTTAAAATAATAACAGTTACTTTCCAGATTAAAAAACAGAATTTCCTGTTGTGTTTCATTATACGAAACAAAGCAATTGCTTTTTATAGCCTTGTGATCATGTTCTCCATTACTCCTTCTTAGTAAATTGTAGGGATTTAAAGATAGCAGCTCTGCTCCACTTGGTACAAATACTTGAGTCTTCTTGCTGGCAAAGGTGGCATGGAATGTGCTATAAAAACTGAACTGAATAAAATGAAGTTCTGAAAGTTTTTATAAAATGTGTTGTCCCAGGAGAGTAATGTGCTAAATGGGCTTGGTATCTTCTTTAAGTGATTTCAGTGAACTAGTTTGTTTCACCTCTGGCTTGCAACCTGTGTGAGAAGCGTCTTTCAGACATGTTTAAGTCAATGTGCTGGGGAGAACATACATAAAAAGGGGGGCACACATGGAAAACAACTAAAAAGCAGCTGAATTGCACTGTATTTTATCTTGCTATTTAAGTGTGTGTATTCTGGTAATTCTTGCTTCTTGTTACCGTTCTCTACAGCCCTGTTTATTTGGTGACATGTTTATCTCCTTTTAATATAGTCTTCTCCTCAGCCAAAATGTGCAGTCTGCAATGCTAGGTCGTTCCTGGGAAGACATCAGTGAGTTTGACCTTTTGTGTATGTAAACATACATACATATGTATGTATGAGGGCAGTTAGAGGTAGTTGTATGTATATGTAGCATATAGTGGACCTTTAATTATAAGAATGTCCAGTAAACTCCTGTCTCAGTTTTGAATGGATACTGTTGAAAGCTAGGTGGTGTTGAGCTTTTTTTTTTTTTTTTTTTGGCTTCTTTCTTTCCAGTGTTCATTTCAAAAATGTATATTGGTATTCATAGGAGTTTGAAATTAGACTGATGCACCTGCTTTGAGGACATTATATATAGGAAACATTCAAGCAAGTAATTCGTATTTCCAGAACTTATCAACTCCATAAAGCACACTTGCTTGAAAGGGGAAGGAAATGAAATTTGAAGCTTTACTATGTTCACTAACTACTGTCATCTCTTCTGTGTGCTTTACAGTCATTTTTAATTGATCAAGAACCCCATAAATTAACTATTCTGACCTTATTTTATCAAATTTCTAACAGTTGATCCACAAAATCTAGAAAAAAAAAAAAATTCCTATCGTAGTTCCACTGTTAATGGTTTATGTATGAGATAAAACCACTCAGTGTTAGTAGAGTACAACTACACTGGTCTTGTTACCTGTAAACATCTGCTAAATGATATTTTGATTTTTATTGGGGTGAATAAAATTATAAGTGATGGGGGTTTTTTTTGTTTTTTTTTCCAGAACATCTCCCTAAATTACAGGCCAGATCCTATTCAGTTTCAAGGTAACAAAGTATTCAATAACATCTTCTTTGTAATTTAGTTGTGTTTTTTTTCTTAAGTGTATGTGTGTGTGCACGTTACAATTTGTTTTAGAGAACAAGCTTCAAAATATTTCTGTAAGGTCATTCCAGTTAGAATTTTTTTTTATCTCCCATGTACTGTTGAATTTGTCTTTATCAGTTTGAAATCTTACACCCTGCTGCTCCCTTTTCTCACCCCTTTTTCCCACATTGCAAAGACACAAGTAGGCAAGCACATAAAACTCCTCCTGATGAAAAGCGATTCTGCCTTTATTTTTGGAAAGAGCATGTGGCTGCCTCTGAGTGAAGAAGTTGTAATGTTGTCTTCACTCTGGATTTTTCCTAAAAGATTGAATTTGCTTTTTATTTTTCTCAGTCATTACTGAAATTTACTTAATATAGCTTTTTAGCAACGCAGATGGGCTGGATGAATCTTGGCCTGTGAGGCATGTGGCTTTTTCTAATTCTTCAGTGGGGCTGGAGCTTTACTCACTGCCAGGACCTTGTGTTGTTCTTGATAGTGTGTGTAGTCTGACTTGGAAGATCAGAATCCAGCTATTTGTGTTCAATAGCGTAACATTACATTTTTCCAGAGGGCCTTCCTTGCCTTTGGATATCTGCATTTTCATTTTATTTTATTTTTCTTTTTTTGAGGTTTATGGTCTCAGATGCTGCTTTTCCTAGCTCCCTCTTCCTGACAGGTTTCCCTCTGGCTTCCTGAGAAGTTACCTTAGGAGGCAGTTCCTGCCCATGGTGGTTTTTGTTCCCAGTTTGCCTATTACAGTATTGCCTTTATTCCACCATAAGGAAAGAAAAGAACAGCAATAGCATGAATAGTGCTTCAGGTCTTCGGCAAGCCATTCGAGTGAAAGCAATATATCTAAAGAAGAAGTAGAATAAAACAGAAAGATAGAAGTGATGAATGAAGCCTGGAACAGGATGCCCAGAGAGGTTGTGGATGCCCCGTTTCTGAAAGTGTTCAAAGCCAGGTTGGATGGGGCCCTGGGCAGCCTGGTCTAGCGTTAAATGAGGAGGTTGGTGGCCCTGCATGTGGCAGGGGGGTTGGAGGTTCATGATCCTTGAGCTCCCTTCCAACCCTGGCCATTCTGTGATTCTGTGAAGTCCTTGTTATCAAACTTACAAACAAACCAAGCCAACCAAACAAAAACCACAGGATTTGACTATTTCAAACAATGTTGTTTTGTGTGTCTGATAAGAGCTTGGTAGAATTCTCAAGGGCAAATTCACACACATGAAAATCTGATAGAGAGGAATTCTAATTCCATCCTGTCGGCATTGGCCTCTGATTCCAGCCCTAAGAAGCTTTATAATTGCTTATAGATCTCACAGAGCTAACTGAACACTGAGAATCAGTGAGGTTGTTTGGGTTGAAAGCAGACCTGCAATGCAGGAAGGATGGCAGTGTTATCTCAAGTTAATAATTCTTAAAAAAAAAAAAACAAAACAAAATTTGTTCCTTTACAGTTCAAACTTGTATCAGCCAGGAAAACTCTGTTTTGTGTTTAATGTTGTGGAGTTTCCTGCCTGTCCCACGAGACCTGTCTTACGGAAGGGAGTTTGTACAGGCTGGCTTGCTGAGTTAGTTGCACCTCTACTGCACACCAATAAAGACACGCTGGATATAAAAAGAGAAAGTTCTGCAACTGAAAAGGTATGAATGTTACATTTAAATTCCATTAACCTTCAAATTTGTGCATGTTTGAAGTAATTGTAGTTTTCATTACTTCTCTGATGTAAAGCAGCTGTTTTGGCAGGGGCTGTGTGCATCTGCATTTTGCAGTTCTGCCCTTCTTTCAAGTTGACCCTTCGCTCTGTAATATGTTTAAAACTGCATTGATAAGTTGCTAAAACTTACATTTTAATTTAGTTGTGGATACTTGAGCAGTGAAACTTCCAGTTGCTGAAAGGCCAGAGTCATCACCCCACTGTAGTCCTAAATGAGTCTTGGAATATACTTTCATGGACTAAGAAACCAGTTAAATGGTTATAGCAGTTTGAGAAGCACCTGGTCACTTTCAGGAAAAGCTGGCAGACAGTAGGGGGACAGATCTTTCACAGTTTGAAAGGACTGAGTTACTGAATGTGATACAGAGAACAGTCTTCTGTGGTATTTCTGCTGTGCATTGAAGATGTTCTGGTATAATGGCTGTTATTGGGAGATGATTCTCTTCTTTCATCTCTCTTTTATCTTTGTAATCCATCACAATCTCAAATATATTAGGTGTAAGTTAGGGCATGAGGGAGTGGCTTAAAGCTTCATGGGGGAAGTTCAGGTTGGGTGTTAGGAGAAAGTTCTTCATAGGATGGGTGGTCAGGCACTGGAACAAACTCCCCAGCTAAGTGCTCACCACTACAGGCCTGCTGGTGTTCAGGAAGCATTTGGACAACATTCTTAAATGTGTTTTAACACTTAGGTTTTTCTTTGTAGAGTCACGAGTTGGACTTATTCCTTGTGGATCTCTTCCTACTCAAGATATTTTATGGTGTATATATTAGAGTAGACTGCAGTATATAATATATGTAGTATATTGTATGTAATATGGCAGAAGAGCTACTGATGCTATGTTTGTTCAAGAAAAATGGAAACAAGCTTATACATTGGTTATAAGAAAACTGCTGATAATACAAGGTCTTTGGCAAAATGGAAAGAAAATCCACGAAGTTATCTTTAAAACCTATATCAAAGGAAAAACTGATATGTGCATGATGAACCTTATTCTAATTGTCACATCACTATTTATTTAAAATGTAGTTGACTTGCAATACGCTTAAGATCAAACTTGAGAAAGAGGTGGGTTGAAAACAAAAACAAAAGGGTTATTATAAGTTGAGTCAGAATAAAATTCAAAACCACTTGCATCTGCTGTGCAAGCTAGAATCCAGCACAGATAAATGTTCAGCAATGCACATCTATTAGAAGGGTATATAAAGTACCAATACAAAGTGGATGAGTGTGATCCTATGCAAAAATATCTTAGATTAATTGCAAAAACTTTACAGAACAATGTGTATACTAGTTGAATTATTCTTTTTTAGGATTGGCAAGTTTGGAATTCTTTATAGAAATGGTAGCCTCCTAACTCAAAACTAGCTTGAAATAGTTTTACAGAAATATGAATATCATTCCTCCAGCAAGAATTATACTATTCTTTTTTTAATCCTGTTGAACGCTGTAGTGATTTAATGATAAGGAGGGGCGTAGAGATAAACCACTCAAGTTTACAGAACAAACTTTAAATAACATGGCCTAACATTTAACTCCTTAAACTTGAAAGAATACTGAAATAATTTCCTAACTAATGTGCAAAATAAATCAGATTCTTGCTTATGACTTTAATGGGTGAAGGTCAGCTGTTGATTCTTTGTTGATTCGAACATGATCTGTTTGGAGATCATGTAATTTTTTTGTGTGTGTGTGAAAATTAGAAAGCAAGCTCAGTATCAGTAGACTTCAGTTTACTGTGAATAAATCCTTTCTCCTGCCAGAGTTTTTGCAATGTTAGAAATAAATAAATAGATAATAAGATAAAACTGAGTTTCCTGTAACAGTTAGTATGGCTAGTTTACTGCTTCCTTTTGCCTACCAAGCTTTCTGTGAGTTCTAAAACTGCATTCAGCAAATGTAATTTGCTTTCCTTTCATAATCAGAAGCTCATGTTTATCTGGCTTTGTCTGGTTTCTCTATAGATGGATTGGTAAATCTGTAAATAGGGTGTGTTGTTCAGCAACTCCTGTAATTTTGTTCCAAATGTGTGGCATTACAAATAAACTCTGAAATGCAGGATTTGGAAGGGTGTCTGCACTCATGTAATAATACATCAACATACTGAAGGTTCAAAAAATTCTATGCTATTTTATGTCTTACAAATATTCTTTGATTATCTTCTATCTAATTTCATTTTAGATATCTATTTTTGCTCGTCCAAACAATACTTTTCACTTACCTTCAGACCCATCTGTCCCTTTTGTGATGGTCGGTCCAGGAACGGGAATTGCACCATTTATAGGTTTCCTGCAACATAGGTATGTACCAAACTTCTACATGGAAAGCAACCTTTTAATGTTGAGAAAAAAATACAGGCACAGATATTTTTATTTTTTAATTTGGGAAAAAATTGTTGTTTTCTTGTATGTTTTTGTATTTGTTGTTGCTGTTAAACTAAAAACAGCAGTGGAAATTTCACAAATATGAATTATTGTTTAGTGCTTTATTTTTTATACTGTTTTCTCTTTATGACACTTTAAGAACTCTGTGGAAGCCAAAAAAATATAACAAAATCAAACCAAAATAACCATAGAAAACAAACGTAAACATTTAGTAGATATTATGACAAGGGACACTGCAGTTTTTTGCTTATCTACAGACAGCAGTCTTTTTATTAGTTCTGTTACTTGTAGATGCCTTTCTTCCCTCCTACAGCAGCTTAATTTTGTAAGGCAAAAAGAAACTTGCTCAAAAAGTGAGATCACCACCACTGATATGTTTAAAAAGAAAGAAAACTGAGAGGTAGAATTTTTTTAAATTCTTCTGACTGCATGAATCTGCTGTAAGCAAAACATTGTGTACAACCCTCACTATTTACTTAATTTTATCCCCTAAACATTCCTTTCTCTCAGATTTATTTTGTGTTTTTATTGTCAAGGATTTGTAGCATTCCATACATATTTGATCAATGTTAAATAAGTTCTCTCAAATATAACAAGGCAGTTTCAGCTAAAACCCCTGTAAAGTAATTTCTTTAGCGTTATTTGAAGAAAATAAAATAATATTTCTGATGGTATAGTAGTAAATTGATTGTTGTTCCTGAACTCTTCTGCTGTCTTCTGCGGCTAAATGCTGAAAATGATTTGTGCTGAGTTTTCCCCGGGTATTTTTACTATGTTTCCACTGAAAGTTAAGGGGTAACAATCTCTTATTCGATCAGAATTGTTTTGTGAGATGTTTGGAAGTGCCAGTGTGACTATTCCAGTGTGAAGCTGTGACAAAAACAAACAAACAAACAACAAAAGAAAAACTTTGAAGTTGATTGAATTTGAGCTGGGCCAGAAGTGAGTACTCAAAATCAGGAAAGGAAGGTTATTTACCTTAAGTCATTTCACATTAATAAGCCTCAGGGCAGGCAGAAAAGCACTATCATAAATGAGAATTACGCTATATGAGTTTTAGTTTCTGCACTTGATAAAACAGGATTGGATTTACATACATTTACATAAAGTCAGTACATTAATATTTTTTTTTCTTTTCTGTTCAGGCAGAAACTGAGAGAAGAACACGCAGACTGGGAATTTGGAGAGACATGGCTCTTCTTTGGTTGTCGGCATCAGGATAGAGATTATTTATTCAAGCATGTTCACTATTTAAAATTCTGTGTGTCTCATTTGTGTTCATGAGGGGATGTTTATCTCAGAGCCATTACTAACACTTTTTATTGCCTTTCAGAGATGAGCTCAGATGTTTTCTTGAAAATGGGACGTTAACTCATCTGAAGGTTTGTTTCTCAAGAGACTCTTCAACAGCAGAAGTAGCTCAGCCTAAGTATGTGCAAGATGTCATTAGGCTTTATGCTAAGGAAGTTGCCAGAGTCCTGCTGAAAGAGAGTGGTTACTTCTATGTATGTGGGTGAGTAGAGTGTCATGGACTGTCTCAGAAAGACAACAGAATTATCAAAAGTTTGAAGCTTTAGAAAGAGTTAAAAGATGTCTGAATAAAAGGACCAGCATGACACTGAAAGTTCCTTTATGGAACACCAGAATTTATTGTGTCCATCAGTAAACATATAGCTTGTAACCATGCACTTCCCCTGCTGATTCAGTTGCTTGTTAATTATTTTTCTGTTTTAGTATTCAAATGAGCTGTAATAGGTTTCAAACTAATAGATTGCTCTTAAGAAAATTAGATACTGGAATACATGTGGTGATAAAGCACACAGTGGTGAGGCAGCAGAAATTTCTGCTGCATTCCACACTTTGATGGACCAGGATGTTACCTGAACCTAGAAATTTAAGGTTTTTCATTCCAGATTTCAAAGTTCTGTTGCCATCGTAAAGTTCCATAATAGTAATACACTTTACAGTAAAGTCTTATTTGTGAACGGAACTTATCTGGATGTTTTGTATTCTTAGAGAGAGTGTTGATAAATGGAGAGCTGTTTGAACACGGGGCTCAATGTTAGTATTTTCTCCTGCAGATATTAAGGTATACTGTTTGTATTAAAAATAACATTGATAAGAAGTGAGGATTTTTATGTGCGCTGTATAGTTTTGGAACCATGCAGTTACTATATAACATACTTCAACATGTCCAGTTCTCCCTGAAATAAAAGAATTAGTTTGTGACAGCTCAACTGGGGATCCAATGTTTTTTTTCCTTGTAAATTACCATGTAATATTTGTTCGAGAGAAACCCTTGTTCTTGTCAATGCTCAGCTGCGTGAAAACTCAGTGGATCTCTTGCCATACAATACATAAGCTGTTTTAGTCTGTTTTTTATCTTTTCCAATATTACAGCTTCTTAAACTGTTGATAAAAGGAAAAATACAGTATTTTGCATTTTCCTTCTTTTTTTTTTCTCCCCCAGAGATAAGAAGCACATGGCTGATGATGTAAATGATGCCTTATTGGACGTTTTAAGTATAGAAATGGAAGTTGACAAATTGGAAGCAATGAAAACCATGGCCATGCTTCGAGAAGCAAAACGTTATTTGCAGGATGTCTGGAGCTAACCAAAGCTAACCATTTAGCTTTTTCTGTGTTGTTGTAAGACAAAAGATTTTGCTTTGCTTTCACGTTTATGCTTTTAATTAGAATCATCAAAAGTGCCAGTGTCATGCACATTTTAACTTTCTCTGCTGATCTTTCACTTAGGAATGTGAAGCCTTTTCAAGGATGACAAACCAATCTGTCTTCGAAATGTATTGTTTGTAGCAACATTGCATAGTGGACTGTGTCAATACCTTGAATCTCTGACTTTTGAGATTGCTTTCGTATAGAAAGTGAGAACTTACCTGTACAAGTATAATTGTATGTTTGTTACATCACATATTTTTTCCTGTAATTTATACATAAAGAACCTACAAAGTAAATATGTTACTCAACTGCACACCATCAAATACATTAATGACTTACACACCATTTGGACAAGAAGGAATGGCCTCAAGTTGTGCTGGGAAAGGTTCAGGTTGGATATTAGGAATAACTGATTCTCCAGAAGAGTGGTCAGATGCTGGAATGGGCTGCACAGTGAGGTGGTTGAGTCACCATCCCTGGAGGTGTTCAAGAAATGTTTAGATGTTGTACTAAAGGACATGGGTTAGTGGGAAATATTGGTGGTGAGTGGACAGTTGGACTGGATGGTCTTGGAGGTCTTTTCCAAGCTTGGTGATTCTATGAGTCTGCACACATACATGTTTTCCTTTTTCACGAACAGTAACTGCCAAAAGGAATAACAGTCGAGAATACTGCAAAAACCTGCTGCAGAATATCAACTCTGAAGTATTTTTTTTAAATACCTCTATTTTTTATTTTCCCATTCAGATTTGTGAAGTTTTGCTACACTCTGCTAATCCTTATTAAAATTTCTTGCACCATGTTTTTGAAGTTTTTTTTTTATTCTTATCACTAAAATATTAGTAGTTTAATTTGTAGAAAAGATCTCCAGTTGGGTTGAATGTGATTCCTTAGTAAAAACTTCATCAAATTGCTAAAATAGTATTTTTTTTGTATTTTAATTTGAAAGTATAGTGAAATGATGTGTTTTAAAGCAGCACTCACTTAAGGCAATCTATTTTATAAATCAAGGTGTTGAAATCAAATGGTTGAAATACCCAGCCTTTTTCCTTCCTACAAGGACTGTTTGGAATGCAAATAGATGGAAGAGTAAAAGTGCAAGGCATTCATACTTCTCTTCAGAACAAATGGTTGTTTGAAACTTGATTTATGAATAAGTTCTCTGCCTGTACTAGTTTGTGGTGGTGGGTATTTCAGTGGCCAGCAGAAGTTTCCGTGTCTTCTCATTAGATGTTCTTCAGTGTTCTATATGTTCACTGCGGTTGTTCATATTGCTGTGTAGAGCTGAAGATATATGGAACATGGAAGACTTATTGGCATCTGCCCAAATCACTTGTGAACTATTCCATTAACTGGTGCCTTACTGCACTAGTGGTTATTTTAAAGACTCTGAAGATCCTAACCTGTTTTGGAACCATCCCTGAACGTTATGTGAACACTTCAGCAGTTGCAGCTTATGCTGGATGATAGTAATTACTGTTGCTAGATAAAGACAGAATGCACTGTCACACAAACCCTACAGATAATGTACAGTGCATGTTTTATTTAAATTTAATTGTGTAGCCTTGCTAGTACTACTTCCCAGATTATAGCTAAGGCAGTGGCCATAGTGGATCTGATTTCAGATGCCTGTACTCGAAGACCGCGTGCTTTTTAAAAACTTTGTCAATACCTGACCATAAATAACTTCAAGATGATGTGCTGGAACGAACAAGTTCTAAAGACTGCAATCTGTATATAGAGGTACATTCTACTTAAATAACTCTGAGTATTCAGTCTGTTCTTCTGTAGGCAGTTTTTGGGGGAGCAGCATAAAGCAGTCCTTGAAGCAAACAGAAATGAAATGCTTAATGTTCTATTGAGCTTTGTCAGTTCAAAAGAGGACACATTCTTGCAACTTTTATATGCTGTAACGTAAATACAGGTATTCTTATTGCATATTTATGCATTTAGCAATTTGGTATGTTGATGATCTTAAACAATTTTGTAGCAATTCATTTTTGCATGATTTCTTCTACCTTTGTATGAAAAGAACCTTTTAAAAGCCTTATGCCTCCATATCTAGATCCAGTTATGCTTCATCTGAGTTGAGAAGACCAAAACTAAATCTGGTGGCCTCTCTAATTGTTTCTGTATTTGTTTATTTGGTTGAGTGTTGTGGAGGAATAACAGTGGCAAAAATGACTAAATGCCAGCTGGTGAACATGAGAAGAGTATTACATGTCTGTGAGTTATGGTCTACATAACTGATCGGTGATGAGTTGAGAGGTGAATCTGCATTGCAGACTGGTGCAGACATTTGGTTTGAGTCTAAAAATGGGGCTAGTTGATACAGTGGTCTAATATAAGAGCTGTAGATTACTTTAATGAATCTAAAGAGTCTATTGAAGAAAATTGATATATATAAAAATCTGATCAATTTTATTGTCTATCATAAATGAAAATACTTTGTTGGCAAAAGCGGTATGTCTGTTTAGTCTCAAAATCTTATTCAAATGCATTTCATATTGGAAAAAATTGGAATTTTATACAACTGCAAATTACAGTCTTGAGAAGTTGATTCAGCACCAGTACAAATTACATTTACTTTCATTAGCATTTGAATAAATGCTCCAATTCTGGTGGAAAAGATTTGTCAAATTCACAAAGCATTCAAAGCCAATTGTGCTTCTTTAAAAAGAATAGGTTTTACCAGTGATTTAAAAACAGTAATTCTGTATGACTCAGTCATTCAGGGATATTCATTTCTAAGCTGCTTTGAACTGTATTGCTTAGATGATTGACTGAACTCCGTTTTCTTTTGTTTTGTTTTGTTTTTTAATGCATTTTATGCTAACTTGGTAAATCAGCAAGGCTGTTTCCAGTGCTTTCTAACAAGATGATCCTCGGGACTGACTTATCTGTGATGGGACATGACATTTTTGAACTATCTTTCAGGTGTTGTGAGATGACAAGTTCAATTGTGCTCAATTTATGAACTTCAGCAAGTAGAATTATTGTGTGAGGATTGCTGAGTGTGTGGACAGGGTCAGATGCTGGGATAGCTTATTGTACATACTTGTCTCTTGTACTGCTATGTCTTCATATAAATTGTTCTGTCTTGCAGTTAAATGCTAGCTCCCTTCTTCTGTCTTTTTTAGATTACCACAGCATGAAATGAAGATGATCCTGCACTTTTTTTTTGCTGGTGAGGACAGATTCTTACGGAATGAACCAATCTTTACATCACCAGCACTCTCTTATAAGATGAGAAAGAATCAGTTTATAAGCTTTTTAAACTGTGTTTAGATAAAAACTCTGTAACTCTTGGAAGATACAGAGTTTTGAATGTGGAACCTTTCCTGTTCTCATGCTGGAGTTTCTAAACCTGCTGGTAGGGGATGACATTGATACCAGTGGAAACCTCAGTTGGCACAGCTTGAGGGTAGTACATTTTTAGATTTGCTTCACCTAACAACCAAAGCAAAGACAGAAGGAGGAGAAAGAGATCCTGTATTTTTTTTTTTTTTTTTAATAAATGATTGAATTTCTGAGAATTTCACACATTAGCTTTTAGAACACTTGTTCCTATGAGAAGCAGAATGCAGTGATTTTTTTTTTTTTTTGGTATGTGTGTGTGTGCACGAGAATTTTATGAAAATAACAACCAAGTTAATTCCTAAGTAGAAATAGTTATATTCTTCCCAATACATGAGATTGTTAAAGCTCTTAGAGCTTTGCAGAAGGCAAGTAATGCTTTTCAAGGTAAATGGGAACATTTCTCATCTTTTTAAAAACTTTCTACGAAAGTCAATTTAGATCTTGTAGGAAATAATTCTTTCAGCTGTTTTCAGTTGTTTTATTTTTCTTTATTTTAATGAGCTTTGTAAAATATCTTTTTTTTTTTTTTTTTTTCCACACACCCCCAGGATCTTAATTTAGCTTTTGTCTTCTTTACATGTTAGACATATTTTGAAATATTAGTCCAGACAGCTCTGCCTTTCAGTTTACACAGCTCTATTTTACTACTAAGGTACATGTAGACCTTTGTTCAGAGGATGTCAACAGAATACTGCTAAGAAAAAGATAGCTACCAGGTATTTCCCTCTATTCATTTTGTGATACTGAAAGAATACAGAATTTTCTTTGCTTTTTCATTTACCAGAAGGAGACTTAGGAGTTCATAGATATACAATAAAAAGAAATGCATGTTTGTGTAAACTACTGTACAGATATAGAAAAAAATTGATTATCTCATTCATTGTTTCTTATTGTGCCTACAGCATGATAGATGCTTGCAAAGACACGAGCTGTTTCTTCATCTAGTTCATATTAATCTCACTAACTTTAAAGGATTTTAAAGACCAAAACATTACGAACTCACATTGTTGTCAAAATATTGAGGAAGAAGAAAGCGTGTAAATTCTTTAAGTAGAGAAATAGAGTTATCATCCAGTGTTTTTATTTACGCATTCAATCTGTAGATTGTGAGTCTGTTCTAGATTACTTTTGAAAGGTTGTGGTAACAGAGAGGTTCCTGAGGACTGGAGGAAAGCAAATGTCACTCCTGTCTTCAATAAGAGCAAGATAGACCTGTGGCACCACAGGGTAGTCAGCCTTACATTATGGGAATGGTGGAGCAAATCCTTCTGGAAACCATTTTAAGAATAAAATAGCATTTGGGATTAGTCATCATAGATAAAGGGGAAATTGTCTGATGAATGTGGTAGCCTTGTAAAATGAGAAGACCAGCTTGGTGGATCAGGCAATCAGTGCAGCACTAGATGATGCTTTCTAGCACAGTGTTTCCTTTTGATTCCTTAAATGGCTTGATTTCATTTCACAAATTATAAAATGTCTTTAATATTTTACTCGAACTTAGCCACCTCACTTCAGGAAAGCAAATCATGTCCCTGTAATGAACATCCATACTTTATGGAACTCCTGGATTTGGTGATAATTCAGTCTCTTAGAATTCATGAAATTTACAGTTTTGATGACAATATAACCTTTAATATACATGGATTTCAATTCACCTGAGTGTGTAGTGGGTGCAAGAGTTGAGGTTATTATTGCTCTGCACCCTCCCCTGCACACCAGTCAGTTGTCACCTGTGCAGTTTATGCTTAGGTTACACACAGTCAACTCATGAAAACATCACTAAAAATCACTCAGTAGTGTTAAAAGTTTACGACCTTGTGGGGCTGCATTACTAGCTGTCTAGGGTTGCATGGGACCTATGGGCTACAGGTTGGACAGACCTGTCTTATGGTCTGCAGTCTGTTGTCCTAACCCTCAGTGCTTTCTGAAATGTTCAATATTGCACATAGTAGGAAAAGGGAGGGGGACAACACTGCATGGACAACTGCTGCTAGAGCCATTTCTCTTCCTTGGATGATTGCATTAAGAAATGATCACTTACAAAATTGCTTATACTTTGCATGTC